GCATCTCTCACCTGGACTTTTGTAAGAGAGTCCTGTTTTGCATCCCTGTCTTTATTCTCATCCTCACCAGTCTGTCTTTCATACGACATATAGACAGATCTTTTACAAGCAAGAAACATAGCATCTCATGCTTGCTTAGAAAATCTGTGAAAAAGCTCCATATTGTTTAGCTTGAAATATATCCCCATCACAAACCAGTCTCTAGCAATCCTTCCAGCTCATTATATTTTTATTTATGCCAAATTAAGCTACTTAAAGTTCAAGTGTGTGAGGTCTTATCGGCTTCTGTGCTTCTGCACATGCTGTTCCTACTGCTTGGGAGACTTTTTGAGGCTTCTTCTTCCCCACCTTTGGCTGGTAATGGAAAGATTCTGTGTCTTGGCTGGTGCTAGTCACATGGCAGTATACATTTGTCAAAACTCATAGACCTGTAAGCCTAAAAAGTTGGATTTTAATATATGTAAATTTTACCTAAATAAACCATACTTTAAAAAAAGATATCTGGGCAATGTCCAAATATTTGGCAATTAAAACATTTCTAAGTAACCAATGAGTCAAAGAAGAAATTTCAAAGAAAATTGAAAAATATGAAGTCAATGATGCCAAACATTTTTTAAGCTAAATAAAATTAATAAATCTCTAGCTAAACTGGCCATTAAGAAATGAGGGAGCAGGGGGCCGGCCCTGTGGCCTAGTGGTTAAGTATGCACTCTGCTTCGGCAGCCTAGGATTTCGCGGGTTCGGATCCTGGGTGTGGACATGGCACCACTCATCAGGTCATGCTGAGGTGGCGTCCCACATAGCACAACCAGAGGCACTTACAGCTAGAATGTGCAACTATGTACTGTTGGGGCTTTGGGGAGAAGAAGAAGAAGAAAAGAAGATTGGTAACAGATGTCAGTTCAGGTGCCAATCTTTAAAAAAAAAAAAAAGAAACAAGGGAGAAAATGCAAACTACCAATGTCAGGAATGAAAGGGGATATCAATAAAAATTCTTTAGACATCAAAAGAATACTTTGGAAATATGAACAACTGTGTGCCAAGACATTAAAAAATGGGAATAAATGTACAAATTTCTTAAAAAGCACTGATTATGTAAACTGACAGAAGAAGAAATAGAAAATTGAGTACTACAATATTGAGTAAAGAAATTAAGAACTTAAATAAAAGTTATTCTACAAGGAAAACTCCAGGCCCACATGGCTTCAACTTTAAACTCTATCAAAAATTTGAGGAAGAAGTTAATAATCTTATAAAATTCTTTCAGAAAACAGAGGAAGAGGGAATACTTCCAAATTCATTTTATGAGGCCAGCGAAATCCTGATATCAAAACTGAATGAAGACATTGCCAAAACAAACAAACAAAACTCCCCAAACCCTGCCCCATCAGAAAACCCAAAAAGCAAAGAAAGGAAAAGAAAACTATAGACTAATGTATAAGATAGATGCAAAAATTCAAAATAAGATATTAGTAAATTGAATCAAGGAATATATACAAAGGAGATGATATCACAACAAGGGGAAATTTATCCCTTTTCATTTAATACCCAAAAATCCAACAATTCATTTGGCCTATTAACAGAATAAAGGAGAAAAAGCATATGATCAGCACCATAAATGCGGAAAAAAAATTTGACAAAGTTCAACATCCATTCATGGTAAACTCTTTCAACAAACTGAATAGCGGGAAACGTCTGTGATCTGCTAAAAAGGATCTATAAAACACTTATAGACAACATTATAATTAAATGAAGAAAAATTGAATCCTTTTACCACTGAGATTAAGAAAAAACCAATGATACCCACTCTCATTATTTCAACTCAACATCATACAAGATTTGCTAGCCAGTGCAATAAGGCAAGAAAAAAGAAACAGGATACAGATAGGGAAGAAGGAAGTAAAACTTTATTTGTAGATGACATGATCATGAATGTAGAAAATATTAAGGAATCTGCAAAAACACTACAACTCATAAGTGAATTTAGCAATACCGTAGGATACAAAGTGATTTTGTGTATTCTAGTAATGAAAAATTGGAAAATGATATTGAAAAAATACCATTTATAGTAGCATCGAAATCATAAAATATTTTGGGATAGATTCAATGAACTAGGTACAAAGGCATATACACTGAAAAGTTGAACACATATCTGAAAGATAAAAGAAGACCTAGATAAATAGAGATGTATCATGTTCATGGCTTGGAAGACACAATATTGTTAAGATGAAAATTCTCCCCAAATTGATTCATAGATTCAATACAACCAAAATCAAAACGTCAGCAGAATTTTGTAGAAATTTTTAAGCTAACTTTAAAATGTATACTGAAATGAAAAGTGCATTGAACAGCTCAAATAATCCTGAAGTTTACCAGGCAGTAAGCTTCTTGACATTGGTCTTGGCAATGATTTTTTGGATTTGACACCAAAAGCAAAAGCAACAAAAACAAAAATAAACAAGTGAGACTACATCAAACTAAAAAGCTTCTGTACAGTAAAGGAAACCATCAACAAAATGAAAAGGCAACCTACCTAAAGGGGATAAAATATTTGCAAATCATATATCTGATAAGGGGTTAATAGCCAAATTATAAAAAGAACTCATACAACTCAATATCCAAAAAAACAAACAATCTGGTTAAAAACTGGGCAGAGGAACTGAATAGACATTTTTCTAGAGAAGACATGCAGATGAACACCAGGTACATGAAAAGGTGCTCAACGTCACCAGTTATCAGGGAAACGCAAATAAAAAACACAATGAGATATCACCTCACACCTGTTAGAATTGATATTCTCAAAAAAGACAAAAAATAAGCGTTGGTGAGGATGTGAAGAAAGGGGAACACTCGTGCACTGTTTGTGGAAGGTAAATTAGTGCAACCACCACGGAAAACAGGACAGAATTTCCTCCAAAAATTAAAAATAGAACTACATACAATCCAGCAATACCACTTCTGGTATTTATCCAAAGAAAATGAAAACACTAATTCAGAAAGATATATGCAGTCCTATATTCACTGCAGCATTATCTACAACAGCCAAGATATGGAAGCAACCTAAGTGTCCACTGGTAGATGAATGGATAAAGAAGACATAGTATATATACACAATGGAATATTACTCAGCCAGAAGAAAGATTGAGATCCTCCCATTTGCTACAACATGGAGGGATCTAGAGGGTATGATGCTAAGGCAAATAAGGCAGACAGAGAAAGAAGAATACCATGATTTCATCTTATATGTGGAATCTAAAAGAAACAAAGCAATGAATAGACAAAACAAAACAGAAGCAGACTCATAGATACAGAGAACAAATTGGTGATGGCCAGAGCCGGGGGGATGCGAGGGGCGGGGAGTGGCGGGAGGGTGAAATAGGTGAAGGGGATAAGAAATACAAATTTGTAGTCATAAAATAAGTAAGTCATGAGGATGTAATATACAGCACAGGGAATGTAGTCAACAATATTGTAATAACTTTGTATGGTGACAGATGGTAACTAGTGTTAAGGTGATCATTTTGTAATGTAAATAAATGTCCAATTACTATGTTGTAGGTCTGCAACTAATACAATATTGTATGTCTTCTATACTTCAATAAAAAAGTAGATAAATAAATAAGGATGGGGGTCTCATGAAGGGAGAGACTCTGGAGGCCTGGCCCATCACCGACCTCTGTGCCAGGCAGGACATGGGGCGTGCTCTAATAAATCTCTGTAGAATGTATGAAAACAATTGCTTTTATTTTCTGTGAAGGCAGCACCACTAACATTTCTTTAAATGACAAATTGAGAAAAATACTTGTTATATATATGAAACAGGATTAATATCCCTCTCTTATTAAAAGTTCATGCAAATTATAAAAAAATTATGACCTGTAAGATAGACAAGTACGTGATCAAGCTATTCACAAAAGTGGGAATACAAAGATTAATGAACATTAGAAAAAATGTTGAATATTAATAACAAAGAATTGCATGTTATCTATCAAATTACAAGATTTAAAAAAAATAAGAATATTCAGTGTTGCTCTGCGTCTAAGTATAATAGGTCATCTCATACAGTTTGGGAGGAGTTAATACAAACTCTCCAGGAAATAATTTGGCATTCTACATCCACAGCCTTAAAAATATTTACTACTTTTGACCCTGTAATTACTTTTCAGAGACTATATCTTAAAAAAGTTATCTGCTACAAAGAAAACTTCATAACAATGTTCATCATAGGGTTAAACATGGTAGTAAAAATTTGGCAACTACATGTGCAGCAATAGGAAAATAGATTTAAAATTATGGTATAGCCACACAACAGAATATTATGCCACCATTTAAATCATTTCTCTAAAGATTTTAAAATACCATTGGAAAATAATTGTTTTAAAAGATACAGCGAGGACACGAATTATCTTGTGATTGCCAACAATGTAAAATACACATAGAAAAAATAATAACGATAGCATATGTATTAACTTGTATTATCTCCTTTACCCTCACATCAAACCTCAGAAGCATATATTTTCTTACTGGTCCCATTGGACCCGTGAGGAAACGAATACACAGATGGATGGAGCTACTGTCTGATCTAATGGGTGGGCTAGCAGGATTTGAAAGCAGGTTGGCTCCCACCTCCATGCTTTTAATCAGTGCTCTATACCGTTTACTTTCGTTAAAATATAACAAAATGTTTTCAGTAGGGTTAGAGGTTTGGGGGCTCAGTAGCCTCCCTTACACTTTTCCATAGCTTCCAATAGTTTCTACAATAAACATGACTTTTAATCATTATAAATGATCTTAATAACAGTAATATTAAAAAAAAAATCCCAAAGTCAACTTGATTTTGTCTAGTCACGGTCAGAGTCTATAACAGGGGATTATCTACACTCCCACCCCCGCCCCCTATTTCCAGTTCTCTCTCCCCAGATGCCCTGGGGAGGCTCTGGTCTCCCTTCCGGCTTGTTCACGGGGTTTCCCCAGGTTCCACCCACAGGACCCGGATCCCCATTCTAGAAGCACGCTCTTTTCTCCCTGCGCCTGCGTCGCAGCAAACAGCTCTAAGGTGCAGTTGCCAAGCCTTCAAAGGCCGCAGGACCTTCCCGGGTGCCTCCCCTCGAGGCCCCGCAGACCCCTAGCTGCCGGGGGTTCAAGCTCCAGTCGCTGGCCGAGGCCGGGCACCCACCCGGGAACGCAGCGACCTTCCCGGGAGAGCGGCGCCCGCGGGACCTCCCCCAGGGCTTGCAGGGCGGGGTGGCCTCTGCCCACAACGTCCATCCGAGAGGCCAGAGGCCGCTGAGCTTTAGGGTTCAAGTGCGAGGACCAGCTCCGGCTGCCAGCGGTCCTGGAGCGGTGCCCCTCGGGGGTCGCGCAAGGAGCCTGGGAGGCACCAGCCCGCCTGGCTGACCATCCATTATCAGATTAGGACCGTTGCTGAAAACAATGGTTATTTCAAGCTGAGAACTGGTCCCTGAGAAAATCGAGTGTTATTTAAAGAGAGATGTCTGGGACAAAATTTACAGCTTGCGTCCTGGGGGAAGTTATTTGTGGGGTGAGTGTTTTTTGAACACTATCTCCTTGTGAATTAATTCTCTCTCTGGTCGCGAGCAAGAGTCGGGGGAACTGTTTGTGTAGCCTTGGGAGCCACAGTGCCCCTTTCGGGGGGCTAGGGTAAGGGTCGCCCTTTGGGAGCGCGGCGACTGGTCCAGAGGAGTAACCAAGTTTTCCGGGTCGCTGGGGCAAGCTTTTCACTTGAGCCGGCCTTGCTCATGGAAGACATTCACACGGGGTCCCACAGCCTGGCTGCGGGGTCCTCTGCCTGGAAGGAGCCCTTCACTTCCCAGGTCCGCTCAGGGGGAAAAGGGTGAAATCCCCAAATCCGCTTCCTTTTGTGGTTAATAAAAGGGCGCAGACAGCCTGGGAAAAAAAAATTACAAGTGCAAGCGAGTAGCTTGGGAGTTTCAAAGTTTGCAAACCCGACTCCGGTGAAATCATTGAATCATATGTTGCAAGTTTCAGAGTCTAATGAAGTTTGGGGGACGCATATTCCTTGTGTTGGTAAAATGTTTGCATCGCGCGCCCCAAGTCTGCTGCTCCAACGCGGAAAGCGGGGCCCAGCGGGGGTGGGGAGGGTCTCCAGTCCGCGACGCCGTGCTCGCTCGGGGCTTCTGCCCAGTTTCCTGCCTCAGAGTCGCCGTGTCCGCCCCAGCCCAGAGCAGTTTGTGCAATTTAGAAACTCGATAGGAGGCAGCAGCTGATCTCCCACCACCCTAAAAATAATCTGCTCCGGCGCCCTGCGTGCTTCGGCCAGGGGAGGAAAACTCTGCCTTCCGAGTAAGTGAGTCCGTGTCTTTTACATAAATATCATTTAAAAAATTTAAGAGTAAGGCTAAGCTGTTGTTTTTGATCTTAACATTTCGGCAACCAAAAGGCGCCCGCGCACTCTCGAAGCGCTTTGCTTTCCCGGTCGCTATTTCTAGGATCCAGGCACCGGGCCCCTGGCCGGAGGAGAGAGGGCGGGGGGATCAGGTTTCCAGCTTTACTTACAGCACTCTGCCGGCTCCCGCTTAAACCATCTGGAGATAGTGCAAGGAGTTATTACAGGGCTTTTTTTCTCTTCGACATTTCCTGTCTTGTTCGTGAAGGAGCTTTCTATCTGCTTAATTTTTGTTACTCTCTACTTTTTAGGAGTTCTGCGTCCCGGTTTGAAATGTACACTTAAGACAGTGTAGGAAGCCGGTGTTTTGAAGGTAGTGCAAGCGCACCAGTAGGGGTGTGAAGCAGCGTCAAACGATTGCCCAAGGTATTTATTTGTTGCTTTATTTGTTCAGTTTGGGATTTTTTAAAAAAACCCATTGAGGGGTCTGTCTAAGGAATCTTATCTGCTGAGTAGTCCCAACATTCCCCTTGGTGTGCGATAGAGCTTCGGCGGGTGAATTCAGATCAGTATTAGATCAGAAGTCTGTGGGCGTTTTTGCTAGGGATTTTTCTACTTGGATCTGTCATATTCATAGATAAATGGGTAGACAGACATCTTTTAGTACATATTTTATGACCCATCGGCTGAATAACTTCAAAAAGTTATTACGTTTGTTTTCATAAGTGATCTGATCCTGAAAATGCCCTAGATAATGATAAAGCCCTAAATAAGTTCTTGAAAATGTCGTGTTTCTGTCTCACCACGTAATTTGGTTAATCTCTGAATAACTGAAGAACGAGTTATTTTGTATGTAGGAATGAGAGCTTTTATATTGCCTTCAGCGTGTTTGCTTCAGGTGTTTCCAGCATGTTAAATTCTCTGAGGTTTGTACTCCTTTAGAACTGACACTTTCTGCTGGGTGAACAGGAAAGAGTGTTACTTTTCCCTTGCTTTATTGTATATTCATCAACTAAATCCAAATTTTCTAACTCCTGACGGTGTGAAACTTCATGCAATGCATTTCAAAGAATAAGAATGCTGAGGGTAGTATTCCTGCCTTGAAATCATAAGTTTGGCATCAAGGAGTATTTTCTTTTTATGTTTTCTGCTCTACAGACCATCCCTGTAATCAAAGTTTCACTTTTGATGTTTGTCTTCAAAATCCATACAGTGAAGATCTCCAACCTTATCTGCTGTCATAAACGCTTGAACATCTTTCCGTGGGGTCATGCTTGTGGGGAGAAAAATGTCACGTCTTCCTGTCTGGCCTCTCTTCCCTCTCCCCCATCCTTGATGCTTGGGCCTGTCAGTGCTCAGCTGAACCAAACAGCTCCAGAAAGGGCGGGGCTGAAGGCTGTCACGTGACAGAGTTTAGCCAGCAAGAGCAGCAATTTATACTCTTCCCAAAGTGTTCCTAACTTAACCTGGGTTCTGGGAGGGAAACCCTGAATGACAACTGGAGATTTAAGAGTTAGTTAAAAATCCTGATTGAAGAAAATGCCTTTAGTAAACAATAATTATCAACATATCTACAGGTTTACTCCTTCGCTCTTTTAGTCCATGTAAATTTGTAATATGGGATGGCTGTTAGAAATGTGCGCATGCACATGGCATATTGGAAAGGGGGCCTAAGGGACAAGGGGAAAAAGATGGAGGAGGAGGCAGGAAAAAAAAAAACAAAAGGAGGGATGTGGTGAGAGGTAGTGAGCAGGTTAGGAGCCGGCGGAAATGTGAGGGTAGAGATTATGGTAGAAGGAAGAAATCATTCTAAAGCTTTTACTTTACTAATCTGAAGTATACACTTAGTATGATTATGTCATTGTATGTTTCCCTATCTGGTAGATCACAACCTTTACATTATACCAACAACTATTGGGATTAGTGTGTATATCAGGAGTGTAGTATGATTTATATAGTCTAAGACCACAGTGACTATTTCTGTCATGTGCACTACTGGATTCCTAGTGTGTAGCACATGGTCAGCATCAATAAGTATTTTTACAGTTAATTACTCAATGGCCTAGAATCCCAGCCATCAGGTACATGGCTGCAAATGTTCTTTGACTTCTTCAGGTTGTTGTTCTTCTGTGATATTTTCTTTCCACAATTACACACATTTATCCAAAGATTACTTAATTGGTAGGTTTCAGGATTCAGACAGGCAATGCTTATAGCTAATGAAGTCTATGTTTTGCAACTTCAGATTATACTTTAGCATCTGGCTCAATGATGATGATTAAATATCAAGGTTTATAAATGTGGCCAATTGGAATATTATAATTTGGATAAAATTATAAAACTAGCTAAAGTAAAAATTATTTTCTGGTTTGTTCTAGGAAAGTTTATACATGTCTTTCAAGTAACAGTTGGCTTTAAGTTTCCTTTTATCATTTCTTCTAAATAAAGGAAACAGTCTTAGAAATTCCACTACTACCTGTAGTTTCTGTTCTTTCCAGTTTTACTGAGAAATAATTGCCATACATCACTGTTTAAATTTAAGGTGTACATCATTATGGTTTGACTTACATGTATTGTGAAGTAATTACCACAATAGGTTTAGCTAACATCCGTCATCTCATACAGATACAATAGATCATACAAAGTTTCCATTTTACTGTTATTTAAAAAAATCTCAAGTCCTTTTAGTCTTTTTATCCAACTTCAAACCTTAATAGTTGGTAAGGATTTGCCAAGTACGTAACCTCATTTTGAATTTTTTTTAAATGTAACTTTTTTTTAAAGATGAGAAAAAGTCTTGAGTAGAAAGCATATCAATGATTTGTCAGAAAAAGGGCTTACCAGAAATAATATGTGGGAGGAATTCTGGATAAGCATTTACAGCCTGTAAACTCCTAGGCTTTCTAAATAGTTGTTCGACTCATGTAATGCTTTACAAAACTTTTGCTTGAAATTTGGTTTCTCCGATAGTTTACCCATTGTTGCCAATCTTTTCTGTGTAACACTCTTTGTTTTTTTCTAGGAAAAAATATTGTTTGTGACCCTTGCTAAATCAATTATCAATGAAAGGGAAGAGAGAAAAGGTACAACTTTAGTTATTCAAACCTTTGCCAACCTTTAATAATCTAACTCAGAATCCAGTGTGGCATAAATATGGAAAAGAAATAACGTCCAGTGAGGTTAAAATCTTAAACCGCTACTTATTTTAGTAAGAACGAATAAGATCTTTTCTTTAAAAAAATAGCTTGGAAGCTACATGATACAGTGGGAAGAACAGAGTTTATAGTCAGACATGTGGGTGTGGATCACCACTGCCCCACTGGTTGGCAAGTTACTGAACCTAGTTGAACCTCAGCATCCTACTCTGTAAAATACGAATAACTTCACTAATATTGCATGGTTGTTCTGAAGACTTAAGATAGTGTATGCACAGTGTCCAAATTTAGTAGATATTAAATAAATAGTAGGCGTTACAAAAGAAATTTTCAGAACGCTAAAACTCTTGCTCGGATTTCACAGTAGTATTTTGATGGAGTAGACCCATGCTCCTATACCATCTGTTTCAGCACAGCAATGAAAGGAATTCATTTAAAATGTAAGTCAGAGTGTGTTACTCCTCTGATCAAGACCCCCTGGTGGCTCCATTTCACTCAGAGTAGAAGCCAAAGTCCCAAGAATGGCCAAGAAAGCCAAGGGTGATCTTGTCCTCTGTTTCCTCTCTAAACTCTACTTCTACCCTAATGGAATGCAGATTTCCAATTAAAAGGCGTCCTTTGTTTCAAAGCTCAGTTAGGGTGCATTTCATGTCAGAATATGCTCTGACTACGGGACCTACCTGAGTAGTTTCATTAAATTGTCACATGAGTTATACTTAATTTGTCTTAGTATTCTTCAAAGAAAGGCCAGTTGCTGTTTGCAACCACATTGGTCTCTGTTTATTGGCATTTCCTGCAATTAATGAAATGTTGCAGTAAATTGTGTCCTGCTGAAGTGATTTGTTAATGCATTTTCAATGAATGAACGTGGGAAAAGATTTGATGTTACACCATTTTGTCTTTTCAGTCAGTAGTTTCATTTTATCTCCTCGTTTTTCTTGATATATCACCACTTTTGTTCTGTGAAACCATTTTAGTCCAACAAACACTCCTTTGGGGTACCACTATTGGTAGATATTGATTTTATATATTTTCCAAATTAAAATGAAATATCTTTCTCTGAAAAAAAAAAGATTGAAGGGAAAAACTGGCAATGTTTAAAGCCATTATGAGAAACTCTCAAATGGCTTTGGCATGAAATTTCCTATTTTCTCAACTACAAAAATAAAGGAGATTAATTTTATGATATGATCCCCTCTTTAAGGCTATAATTTATGAACGGGGATTTAGTAATAAGAGGTTCTGTCTCTTTTATCTCTCTTTTAGAGTAAACCATATAAGAAGAAATGAGCCTTTCATTCTGTGGTAACAACATTTCTTCATATAATATCTATGATGGCGTGTTACAAAACCCCTGCTTTGTGGATGCCCTCAACCTGGTCCCTCATGTCTTTCTGTTGTTTATCACTTTTCCAATATTGTTTATTGGTAAGTAATCTACTGTCCAATATTATATCACCCCATGTTTTATAAAAAATCTTATTAATGGCTGAGATTTGGTATAATGTTGACTTAATTTCTTCAATGTGAAAATTGATATGTAAGTCTGTGAGAAAACAACAAGCAAGTATTTTGTGTTTTCCAATGATTTGTATTCTTGGCATATGATATTCCATAGGTAAAAATAGAATGCCTTCTAGAAATGGCCTTCAAGAAGCAGTGGCGGTTTTTTAAAAAGAGAGAATTATATGAGATGGATCTAAAACATTTGTTTGGCACTTGCTTTGTGCTAGGTGAAGAGAAAGGAAAATGGGTAAAAACACAGTACTTGCCTGGACTATTCACCAGAATTGTCTAGTGAAACAGATTTTTCAAAGTCAAGAGAAATGACTATACCACATTATAAACCCATTTACAGATACAGGAACAAATTATCGTGGGCATGAATCTGCTAGAACAACTAATTCTTCTTGGGCCTGATGGGGAAGATTGCATAGAGAGTGACATGTCTGGGGACTTGAGGATGTAGAGTGTGCAAATTAAAGTAAGAGTGATGAGTGTGTGTTTCAAGTAGAAAGAGGACATGTGTAAACCATTTGCAAAGGAATTAAAAATATAGTTTTCTCTAGTATTTTACAGTTTACATATACACAGAATCCTATTATTGAGAGCAATCATGTATAATCTGTATAATTCCCCCAAACAACCAAAATAGATCTTTTAACTTTGGTGAAATTATAAAATACTTTTCATATATAAAAATGACAGAGACTAATATAATAAACACCTGTTGAACTTACCACCACCCATTGTAAGAAATTTAACAGTAAGAATATAAGTGAATCCCTCTGGGTACCATTTCCTGATCTTGTTACTCTTCCCACATCCTACATTCTTATCCCTTCAAAACAGATAATTGCTGTTTTCAATTTGATGTTTAATATTCCCATGCATAATTTTGCTCATAAAAGTAAATGAAAAAGCTATCTGACTGATTTTCTTAAGAAAGTTAGCATAATTTAATGATCTGCTTTAAAAGAAGGCTTAAAAATAATTTGTATGTTTTATTTCTTCATTTAACAAATATTAATTGAGAGACTACTGTGTGCCTGGCATTCTAACAGTGATCAAAGAATTTCTGTTATATGAGATAGCATATCATGCAAAGGCCAATATAACTTTTGGTACATAGTTATTCATATTAAACAAATGTATAGATATTAAATATATTGGGATCAGAGTGGCCATATATAGAAACACTCGTTGTTTATGTGTTATTATTTATAGGACATTAAGAATGTCTTTTGACCAAAAGTAGAACGTCTATTTTTTTATTGCAATTCTACAATTAATAATTCATTTTTGACATCTAATTGACTTCTTGAGAGCGATTACTGTGACAGTCCTGTTTGCATCTCTCGCCTCGACAGGCTGACAAAAGGGTATTTGAATCAAATGGAATTGGAGTGAAGGTTGTCAGAGGAAAATGGTGGATAAAAACGCAGAGTGTTCATCTATAACATTGGCTATTTGAGTTAGGGAGAGATCATAAATAGTAAATCTCAAAGAATATCAGGTATAAGGAGAATTATGTTGCAAAAAAGACAGAGCTTGTCTGCAAGAGTTTGCAGCATAAATGCTAGTAGAATATGTTAAACATAACTAATCTTCCAATAGTGAAGTTCATATTGGAACAACTAAGACATGAATTTTGTTTTCAAATAATGCTTCAGGAATCCCTTTTGTCCGTACAGAAATTCCTTCCTGCAATATTTTAAGCACAAACTCCCATTCATTCTTGAAGTATGTGGGGCTTCTCTATGATCAAAAAAGTACGAAAAAAAGGTGACAAAAGGACACAAAGTGGGGTCCTTTCCTGGCACACTGTATATGAGTTGGCATTATTCTATCTAGAGTTTTGAGGGGAAATCATCAAAATTTTACTGAAGTGTAATCTTGAAGTTTTTCTTTAGGGATGAGCTAAAGTTATAATATTCTTGATCCTTCTTAAAAGTTCATCAATGAACAAGACTGTAGCTTTCTTTGAGAAAATATCACCACTGTTGAACAATGCTAATCCAGTCATAAGTTATCATTTTTCTCACATGATATGTATATGATTGAGTTGATTCAACTAAAGAGTCCTATATTTCATCACTAAATACAGCTTTTTTTGTTAGTCTCCCCACAGAGCCCATGTTTTGAAAGATTTTAGACACCAAATTGCTTTTATTAATATCATCCTTAATTTGGTTTCCTTTTGAATGTATCAGAGACCTGTCATTAAGAGCTTTGATTAGCATGAAATAACCACCCCGAGTTGGCGTTATTTTTGAGCAATGAAACAAATATCAATGTGTTAACGTAGGCAGTCTTGCAAAAATTAATTGAAATTGTGATTTTTTTTGACAAAATGAAAACAGACCAGGATTTCCTTGCTACCCTAGAGAGCACCAAGGTTTTATGAACCCCCCAAAACATATCACAATGGAAATTATTTCCGTGGTTATGATTGATCCTTTTGTTTATCTCTTTACTTTTTTCTCTTCTTTCAGGGTGGGGGAGTCAAAGCTCAAAAGTGCAAATTCATCACAACACATGGCTTCATTTTCCTGGACATAACCTGAGATGGATTCTCACATTTGCGCTCCTATTTGTGCATGTTTGTGAAATAGCAGAAGGCATTGTTTCAGATTCGTAAGTTAGTTAACATGATTACGCTACACTGGTGAATATACTGATATGGGTAGTAGTTAAGAGCGTAGTGGGTCAGGCTTAATTTTTTGGTTTTAACTTATTAGAAACAACAGCTATCACCCATTTTATGTGATAATCATGAGTTTTGTCCATATTTTTGTGTTGCTGCATAATTTCTCTGATAACGTAAGTTCAGATTTCTGTGACTTGTGCTCATTCATTTACTTTCTGTTTCTTTGCTCCTTTCATCTATGTAGCCCTTCCAGAAAGTTCTCTCCTTTTAGACACTTCCCTGTTTACCTTATCTTTCAAAACAGTTAGAAAGATTGTCTATGTTGACATATAGCTCTAACAACTATGTATTTACATATAAATATATAATCAATTCTCACATGTTTCAATTTATTTTATAAGAATCAAAGATAGATGAGACAGGCATGAAAGAAGTCTGAGAACCAGTGAGGATATAGCTATAAGTGGAGGCAAAGCACAAAATTATTTTAAAATCAGGATTTGTCATCAAACTCCTATTTCGGAAAGAATTTTGTCATTCTTATAAAAGAACTAGTTTATATTAGACAGTTAGGATATAATGAATTCTGTTTATAAACGTGAACATAAAATGGAAAAATATTTTTATCGCATAGTAACAGAAAATAAACTCAAGTAATAGTAAAATTTTGATTATGAAATTATGCTAAATATTACACCTTTCGTTGAAGAATTGATATGAAAGGTCTTTAAAGTTTTTAAAAAGAAAGCTCCAAAAATCATTGTCTTCTCATCTCTTAAGAACCTCCCTTGACATCTGTTTATGGTTTTCTGTTGCAATTAACAAGGAATGAAACTTCTAAGCTTTTGTCATGGAGCCAGCTATTCTGTAATGTTTTGTGACAGTTCTTTGCATATATTTTCACATCTTAGTTTTTTATAAAGAGAAAAATCATAGACTCTAAGATATGCTACACCTCCACGCATTTAGAAGCCTAATTGGCTATTATTGATAATTGTTTAAAACTCTTTGACATATTTGCATTACGTTGTATTCGCATAGCTAATTCTCATCTTCATTTTTTTCTTCCCTTAACATATAGATTGACCCTATATGTTACTGTGTGTATGTGTAAGGTGGGAGATAGATCGGTTCAATATTTCCTAAAAACTTGATTTCATGAAGGCAAGGATGACTCCTCCTTTCTAGCCTCATGGTTGATGTGTAGATTCAGAACAGAGGCTGAACTAATAATGATAACATATGCTAATGGCAGCAACTTGTTTTATAGTGATCGTGATGCAAGAGGCTCATCCAAAAACGAGCAGAAATACACTCTTGACCTTGTGCTACCCCTCCCATTCTTTAGCTACAGACTTCTTCTCCTTACCTTTTTCTCCAGGCCTCTCAAAAAGTCATCTTTCAGTTACTTTTGATTCCACAGATTTAGTTTGCTTTCTCTCTTGCCTTGTCCTATTCTGGAAACTGCTTCTACAAGAATCCCAAAGAACCTTAATGACACCTTAATGGATGCCTTTTCCTCCTTAACATACTTATTACATTAGACACTTCTCTATTCATTCCTTTCTTCCTTCTTTCTTTTTTAACAAAATCTTTATGAACTGTTCTTTACTTAAAATATCACAAATGCTCCTTAGAGTTAGGGAAACAATGCAAAGACTTTCCTGACTGAATGTTTTATTTTTTTAGTAGTATAAATATTAAAGCTGTTAATTTTTCTTTTGAAACATCCTTATCTGTTTTACACAGGTTTTTGTAAGAAGTGCTCTCTTTTTTATTTCTGTCTAAATAATTTGTGGTTCTGGTTTAGACTCTCTCCTAGATCTAGAAATCATTTTCATTTTGCTCTTTAGTTTAATTGGATTGGTTTATTATTAGAGCCTGTAATTTGTTAAATGAATACTTTTTGGGATTTATTAACATTTTCATTATAGTCAAATATTTGATTATTGTATAAGTATTTAATGTGTATTAGAAAATAATATATATTCTTTGTAGGAGACAAAATTTTATTGAGTTTATGGATTGGATTACCAAAGGCCTGTGTGGTGATTATTTTTATGCTATTTTATCCATCAAATTCTAAAAGCGTGTATTAAAATCTTCATTATTATTGTGTTTTCATTTAGGTTTTTATTTCTACCATTTTCTCTTTCTTTAAAATTATCCTTTTGTCCTCCATGCTGTATGCTTTTTGATTTTCTTCCTAACTTTCTGACTAAAGATTTTCTGCTATATTGGGGTGTATGTGCTTCTACCAGAACACTGAGGTCTGCGAATCATACTCTAAAAATAATAGAGATTAAAGGAAAAGGTAGGGTTGGGACACCACTTGAAACCTATACAACTCTATAAGTGGAGCACTGACAAAATCATAGCAGTCTTAATAAAAACACTAGTATGGTTAAAAGACACCTTAAATCTCTAATGAAGAAATGCCGCGGTCAATATAAAACCTTACTATTGCTGCTGTCTTTATTAATCTTTTATTATTACCTCCCTTACTGATGTCCTGTCATTCTTTTTCTAACATCTTGAATTAACTACTTGATTTATTTGTTATAACTATTTCTTATTGAATATGTTTAAGGTTATAAACTTTCTTCTGGGTATGGTTTTGACCACCTTTTATAGGCCTTGATCGATAGTATGCTTATTTTTAAATTTCCTAAATAACAAGAAAGTGATTTTTTTTTTATTCTTTCTTTGGTTCAATAAGAAGAGAGTATTAGAAGCATTTCCTAATTTCTATACTGATGAAATATTTATTTCCTGCTTTTTTTCTCTTTGACCATTTTGTACTTTTTCGGGGAGGTAGGGGGTGGTTTTTAAGCCAGCTCTTACGCTGTCGTAGTACTTTCACATTTTCGTTAGCGTGTCTGTATGAATGACCCCCAATACATCACTGATCGTGTTCTGAATCTCTGCATACAGTTGCATATGAGACAACTCCCTTTGCGTGTTTATTAGACACCTTCAGAATCCACATGGCCCCACTGAAACTTACTAGCTTCCTCTCTCCAATCTGCTCATCCTCTTAAAATCTTCTTTGGTCACCTCATCCGCCCAGGCACCCTGGGAATTATTCTCTACATCCATCACCATCACCCTCCTACCCTAACGCTATTAGAGTCCTGTCCATTTTGACAATTGTTATTTTCCAAATGTATTATTTCCTCCATGTTACTGTTTCCAAAGCTTAGTTCAGATTTTCATCATCTCTCACCTGGCCTATACCCACAGTTTGTGAACTGCTTTCCTACCTTCCATGTCTGTCTTCTCACCTCAAATGCACACACTACCTATGAACTCCATCATCCACATTGTTACCAGATTGATCTGTCTAAAACACAAATCTAACTGGACCGCTTACCTGTATTCAATTTTCCATAAGATTAGATACCAGCTCCTTACCATGGTATACAAAGCTTTTCATGATACATCTTATTTTAAACTTTCTGTTTAAGAAACATTAAACTAGTTGGAATTTTGAACATGTTACACTGTTTCATGCTTCTATGTATTTGCACACTCTGTTCCCTCTTTTTAAAGTGCTCTTCCACCTCTTTCCTGAGTACCAGATTCCTTTTTTTACATTTCAGTTCCCATTGTCAACCACACCTCTTCTGAAATAATTTCCCCAAAAGTTCCTGTTTCTCCCACTCTCGAACTAGTCACTCAGTTCTCTATACCAACTATTTATGTACCAACATATTTAAGTAATTTGAGAAAAGTTAAATGTTTAACTATGTGGCATTACTAATGCAAATAGAGTTGAGGACTGTCCACCATGCGAATCTGGTCCAGTCATATTTCTGATCCACCTAAAGCGCTCTGTTGCTCTCAGAATGAAGTCTAGTCTCCTTGCAGTCATACTGAATCACTTGCAATATCCTTAAGCATATCTAGATCCTCTGCCTGGAGCAGTCTTCCTGTCTTCTTCCTCTGGGTGGCAGTTCCTCATTCTTCAGGGCTCAGTTTAGCAGTCCATTCCTTCACAAAGCTTTCTCTATCTCAGACACTAGCCCTGCGTGTGCTCTCAGTCCCTTCACCCGTGTTGTAATATCGTATTTTCTATTGCTGTCCTCAACAGACTATAGATTTTGTGATCATGGACACTAAATCTTGTCTTGTTCACTGTTCACTTGTTCACTGTTGCATCCCAGAATCGCATGTCTGGACCAGTAAACATGTGTTCAATGAATTAATGAAAATAGAGAAATCACTGAGAAGCTTAGGAAAGCTATCAAAAGAATAAACATACTTTTCACGTACATTAGAGTACATATTCAGTTGATTGTTTTTACTTGCTTTGGGTGTTAAGTTATTTCAGCAGTTCTGCCCTTCAGTATAGGAGTAGTCATGTATTTGTTTTTGTTGTAAGCATTTTGAGGTCTTGTTAGCTGTGTTTACTCAACCCTCCGTGTTAGGGTAAATCCTTCCAGCGGAATTATGTCTCCCAATATAGTCTTTCTTTATATATTCTTTTAACAACTACTACTGCATTCTGTATTTTAAACATTTTATTGCTGAGAGAGAGTTTTAATGAAAAAATTGGAAACAAAATGAGAAACGATCTGGAACCATCAGCTTTAGACTCTGATACTCTACCGCTCTCCGTAGACGGCGGGAGTCGCGGCATCTCCACCTGTTCATGCCAGCTGTGATGGGATTTGTGGCCACTACAACATCAATAGTATATTATCATAATATTGAAACATCAAATTTTCCTAAGTTACTTTTAGGTAAGTATGATCAAGTGGTTTTTTTTACCCCCCAAAGAGGGATTTGTTTTTCTTTTTTCTCATAGTATGTGCTATCCCTGTGGGTTGGGAGCGGGAAGCATGGGAAAACCACAATAATTAATTCTTCAGTACTCTCCCAGCAAATGTGGAGAGGAAAATAAGCTAAGTTGCTCTGGGCTGTGAAAACTTCGTTTCCCCAGGACATTGTTTCTCCAATAAGTGCCCCTCATGGTGTACTGGTGTGTGGGAGGAAGAAAGTGGCGGGGATGTGCTGGCCTTCTGGCTCTCAGAAGCTGTAATCTAAGAATCAGAGCTCTGCAAGGAGCTGCTGCATGGTACTGCCCCACGAACAAGTCATCTCATCTAGTTCCATGTGTTTCTGCCTCTGGCTTAGAGTCTTGAGGCATTTTTCCCAAGGTTCCACCCTTTCATTGATGCCGTGGGAATCTCACACTCTTCTTAGAATTGCTCCTGAGCTTCAGGGGGCTCCCTGGAGCAGTGTATGCTTCCCAGCATGCTGAAAACCATGTTGTCCTGAGAAGCAGCTGCCCCCAAAGCACAGCCCTTCACATCTGCATCATGCTTAGCATTGTCTTTTCAGCCTCTCTCGCCTCCTTGTCTTGTGGAAATCAGAGGATGTCTAAAATGTTCCTAATTTTATTTTTGCCTTAGGCTGAAATAATATAACTCATCCCAATTAGTTAGATTTAGTGCTTTGTCCCATCCCATCCTTGCATTCCTTGGTGTACACCTTCATAAAGAGAGCTAAGGTGAAGGTATAGAACAGGGATCATGATAAGCTTCAGGGTCCTGTGAGTCTCCGAAAATTGTAGGTCCAGTTGTGCGTGCTCGTGTGAGTGAATGCGTACAATTTTCTAAGCTTCATAGATTTTCATGTGATTGTTATATGATGAAACGACATTGACTACTGACACAGAAATTAGGAAAAGTGATAATTAAACCACACAACTATTATTTTATTTGCTTGTCTAGAAGACACTACAATTTAAAATGGATAGTGGAAAATACTGATTATTTCATGCTATGTTGTGTCACATTATGTGACTGGGCAAAGGCAATCTAACAAAAACAAGTAGACAGGGTTAAAGATTAATTGAAAAGTCTTGTCCAAGTCTAAATTATCTTAATTGAAAACTGTTCAGTACAAAATGGTAGGCAGTTGTTATCACAGAAATCTCTTTGTGAAGATGCCAAAAAAAAGAGTGAAATTTCCAACAGGCAGCAGCAAAAAAAAAAAAAAAAAAAAATGGCATTGGGAATTTGATACACTAGACATTAGGTTTCTGAAAAACTGGTGATATGTTATAATATGTAATTAAAAAGAAAATATGCATTTTAATAATATTTTGAAAGAAATGATCAAAATCTGGCTGTAATTTTTATGTAGAGACAAGGAAGAGGGCACAATTTGATCATATTGCTGGAAGGACTTAGAGAGATGAAAGTCTAACTTTCTCCATATTTTAGGAGAAAAAAACTTGGACCTAGAAAAGTTATGGCTATTTTAAGACCAGAAACTAGGAGTTTTGTCCCAACGTTATACTATGAACATCACCAAACATACAGAAAGTTGAAAGAATTATGTGAGCACTTGTATACCTACCACCTAGATTTGATTGAACTTACATTTTATTCTGTTTTATCACATGTCTACATCGTTCCATCTCTCTATCCATCTGTCAATCTCTCTTATTTTTTGATGGATTTTAGAGTAAGTTGCAGACATGAACGTGCTTCACTCCCTGATTGCTTCAGGGTGTGTATCATTAACTAGAGTTAAATATTTGTTTACAGTTCTTTTTGTGACATAAAATTTACATTCATGAAGCACAGAAAACGTACTTAGCCAATTGCATACACCTGTATAACCCCATTGTGATAGAGAACATTGCCATCATCCATGACAGTTTTCCTATGCCCCTCCCAGTCACTCCTCATTTTCATCTCTACAGAGGCAAGATCTAGTCTGATTTTTTTCCCACCATAGATTCGATTTGCCTGTTCTAGAACTTCACAGAAATTGGATCAGACAGGATAAACTCTTCTGTGTTTTAAGACTCAGCATGATTTTTGAGGCTTATCCATAATATAGTATCAATCACTGTTTTGTTCTTGTAGTTGTTGGATAGTATTCCATTGTGTACATATACCACAGTTGTTCCATTCTCTTGTCGATAGACATCTGGACTGTTTCCAGGTTTTGGCTATCATGAAAAAAAAAGCTGCTATAGAAAAAAACAGAAACAAAAACAAACAAAAACCTGCTATAAACATCATGTGCAAGTCTTTTTGTGGATCTGCTTTTATTGCTCTTGGGTAAATGCCTAGGAGTGGAATCGCTGGGTCATAGAGTAGGTAGGTTATTGTTTATATTTGTAAGAAACCACCAGATCTTTTCCCAAAGTGGTTTGTTTTACATACCCACTAACAATGTGTGGGAGTTCCAGTTGTTTCACAGGCTTACAACATTTGATGATCTTGATCTTTCTAATTTAGCCACGCTGGTGGGTATGTAGTGATAACACATTGTGGTTTTAATTTGCATTTCCCTGATGACTAATGATGTTGAACACTTTTTGATGAGTTTATTGGCCATTTGTTATCTTTGTGAAGTGATTATTCATATCTTTTGTCCATTTTTTATTGAGTTGCATTTTTATCATTGTGCTGTAGGAGTACTTTACATATACTAGATACTAGGATGTCATCAGATAGATGTTTTGAGTATATTTTCCTCTCAGACTGTGTCACATATATTCGTTTACTTAGTGAGGTCTTTTGATGAGCAGATTTTAATTTTTATGTAGCATAATTTATCATTTTTTCATATATAGTTACTGCTTTCCGTGTTTTGAGAAATCTTTGCCTTCTCTCAAAATATGTTTCCTTCCTATTCTCCTGTTTTCTTTTAGAAGCTTTACAGTTTCAGTTTTTATTTTTAGGACTATGATCCCTTTAAAATTAATTGTGTATATTGTATAAGGTTGGTGTTAAGGTTATTTTTTTTTCCCAAATGGATATGGATATGTTCCAGCACATTTGTGGAATAGACTTTCGGTTTCTCATTGGATTGCTTTGGAAACTTTGTAAAAAAATTAAATCAAAAGACTGTTTAAGTGTGATCTATTTCTTGGCTCTGTATTTTCTGTTTCTTTGATCTATTTGTGGATTTTTATACCGTTGCCGTTCTGTCTCGATTACCGTAGCTTTGGAGCTATTGAAATCAGGTATTATAGTCATACATTTCCTTTGTTTTTTCTCCCAAGATTGCTTTGGATATTCTAGTTCTTTGGATTGCCGTATTTAGTTTAGAATCAGGTGATCAACTTCTCCCCCCCCAAAAAAATCCTGTGGGATTGTGATAGGGATTGATATGAAGATATAGAACGCTTTATAGGAGGATTGACAACAACACTGAATTTCACAATCCAGTCTTCATTGATTTGGGTCTTCTTTCATTTCCCTTGGAAATGTTTACACTTTCCAGTCTAGAAGTCTTCCGTATCTTGCTAAATTTGTTACTAGCTTTTTGTTTCACTGCTGCTGTTATAAATGGAATTGTGTTTTAAATTTCATTTTCTAATTGTTTCTGCCATTGTGTAAAATACAATTGATTTTGTACATTGACCTTGTATCTTGCAATCTTGGAAATTCACTTATTACTTCTAATTTTTGCTTTGTAGGTTTCTTAGGATTTCCTGTATAAGCAAACATACCATCTGAAAATAGAGACAGTTATACATATATTTATCTTCAGACTTTATGCTTTCTTTGTCTTGTCATGTTGCATTAGTTAGGACCTCCAGGAAAATACAGAATAGACATATTGAGAGTGAAATCCTTGTCTAGTTCCTGATTTTAGAGAAAACAGTCTTTCACAACTAGTTATAAAGCTAATTATAGGCTTTTCATATAAGACCTTTATCAGGTGAGTAAGTTTTCTTCCATTCAAAGCTTTCTCAGAGTTTTTTTTTTCTTAGCATGAATAGATGTTGAATTTTATTAAAGTTTTTTTTTTTGCATCCATTGGGAAAATTTTATTTCTATTGGTGTGCTAAATTACATTGATTTTTTCATATGAAAAAGTAACCATGCATTCCTGGGCTAAACCACACATGGTCATGATGTATTATTCATGCTATATATTGCTATATTTTATTTAAGATGTTTTACATCTATGTTGTGAGAGAGATTAGTGTTATTTTTTGGTAATATCTTTGTCAGATTTTCATATGCTGGGTTATACTGGCTTCTTAAAATGAATTGGAAAGTATTCTCTATTTTCTGAAAGACTTTGTGTAAGATTAATTTTACTTTACCTTAAATGTTGAATAAAATTCACCGGTGAAGTCATCTGGGCCTGGAGTTTTAATAAGGAAGGATTTTTAATTATAAATTTGTTTCTTTATTGGATATAGAGTCTCCAGATTCTCTATTTCTTCTTATGTCAGTTTTGCTAAGTTATGGTTTTTGAGCAACTTTCCACTTCATCTAAATTTTTGATTTATTGTCATAGAGTTGTTTATGATATTCCCCGATTATCCTTTTGTGGATATGTAGGATATGTAGGGACCACTCCTCTTTCATTCCTAATAATAGTAGCTTGTGTTCTCCTTCTTTTCTTGAACAGTCTAACTTGGGACTTAGCAGTTTTCTTGATCTTCTCAAAAAATCAATATTGTTGGCTTTGCTCATTTTCTCAATTATTTGTTTTTTATTTTATTGCCTTTTACTCTTATCTCTCTTGTTTTCATCCTTTTATTTATATTTTTCATTGTCCTTCTTCCCCTAGCTTTTAAGGTAGAAATTTAAGTCATTGATTTTGGACTGTCTTTTTTCCTAAAATAAATATCTAAAGCCATAATCTTTCCTCTAAGTACTGTTTTAGTTGCAATCCTTATATTTTTAATGTGTGCTATTCTCATTATAATTTAGTTAAAATATTTTCTAATTTCCCTAGTGATTTCCTCTTTTTTCTTTTTTTTTTGAGGAAGATTAGCCCTGAGCTAACTGCTGCCTATCCTCCTCTTTTTGCTGAGGAAGACTGGCCCTGAGCTAAGGTCCGTGCCCATCTTCCTCTACTTTATATGTGGGACGCCTACCACAGCATGGCTTGTAAAGCGGTGCCATGTCTGCACCCAGGATCCGATCTGGCAAACCCTGGGCCACTGAAGCAGAACATGCGCACTTAACTGCTGTGCCACCGGGCCGCCCCCCGCAGTGATTTCCTCTTTAACAGTGGATCATTAGAAACGTGTTTTTTTCCAAATATTTGGAGACTTCTAGATATCTTATTAGGTAGAAAGACCTCCCTTATCTCTGTGCCTGGTGTTCACACCCTGTATAATCCTCTCCCCTTGGGTGTGAGTGGGACCTATGACTTGCTTCTCGCCGATAGAATATGGCAAAGATGAAGATACCAAATCAACTGAGCCTCTGTTGAGACTGCAGCCCTAGTCAACACCTAAACTGCAGCCTTGGGAGACCCTGAAGCAGAGAAGCCAGTTGACTCATGCCCAGACTCTTGACCCATGGAAACCAGGAGATAATAAATGTGCATTGTTTTAAGCTGTTAAACTTGTCATAATTTGCTAAGCAGCAATAGAAAATCAATACACTTATTTCTCTTGAGTTTTCATTGTGATCAGAGACCATACTCTATATGATTTCTGTTATTTTAAGTTTATTGCTCCTTGTTTACTGAATGAGTATATATAGTCTGTCCCAGAACCATGTACACTTAACAAGAATGTATATTCTGAAGATGTTTGGGTGTGTTTTTATAATATTAGATATTGAGTAGTCTTATAAATATCAAATAGTTCAAAGTGGTTGATAGTGTTTAGATCTTTTAAGTCTTTATTAGGCGTATGTGTATTTTTATTATGTTTTTCTGAAAAAATTGACATTTTATCATTATTAAAGGGTTTTTGAATTTCTAATAGTAGTCTTTGTCTTGAAGCCTACCTTATCTGGTACTAATGTAGCCACTCCAGGTTTCTTATGCTGTTTTCATTGTATATCTTTTCCTTCCACTTATTTTCAATCTGATGTTTCTTTATATTTAAGGTGAATCTCTTTAGATAGTATATAATTTTGTCTGGGTTTTTTCCTAAATCCATTCCAACAGTCTCTGTACTTTAAGTTAAAAAGTATATATATGATAAGCTTATATGGCAATGTTCAGTTCTTTTTCACTAAGGAAGTTCTGATCACCCTTAAACTTTCTGGCTTTGATAAGTGTTATCCAAAGTGGATTGTCTTATGTATGTTTTAGATTTCTTCTTTCTCATCCCATATTCATTTGTACCGACCTTTATTCAAAGTTTGAAGTATACTGAGTCCTCGACAACAGATTTCTAGGAAAGTCTCTGCTTCCATTTCATATTTGCTGCAAAATGTTGGCTGTAGTTATGAGATGGTGTTGCTCCCCACCTTTCTGACTTCACCACTTGCAGCCTGGGGTTGCTCTGTAGGATCATTGCTCTTCTCTGTGCTCTGTGGACGCACGTGGTGTTTTAAACTGTTTGGGTGAGAAGAGTCACTTACTACTTGAATGCCGATCTGCAAAGCAGAAAACCATGGCTACATGGATTCCAGGGTACAATCACTAGACAGATCCCTGGGAGTTCCAATCCACTTTCCTATTGGGTAGTTTACACAGATACCAACTTGTGAATTCTTCATATAATCAGGGCTTCTTAAGAAACAAGACAAGAAGATAAAGTCAATTTTAAAGTCTACAGAATTACACATAAGTTCTGAAGAGTGTAGGCTATCTTATTTACACATCTCCTTACGTCTGCCCATCTATCACATGTGATCAGAGTAGAGGACAGTCATTTTAAAGTCATTACCACAACATCAATTCAAAACTCCAGAAGTGCACTAAAGCATCTGTGTTTGTTTTCTTAACAAATAAAATTATCTAGAAATAGAATATTTAAAATTGTTTGTTATTAAAATAACATTATATATTTATTAAATATTCAATATTTTTATTGAAATTTCAGTGAAGTTTTAAAAAGTATCAGGGAAAGATTGCATCATTTTCTCTTTACTTTTCATTTTTCCAGCTCTATTCCTGTATTGGGTAATGGCCTTTATTACAAAAACCATAAAATTGGTCAAGTACTGGCAGTCTGGTTGGGGAGTATCAGACCTGCGTTTCTGCATCACAGGCATAATGGTCATCTTGAATGGACTCCTGATGGCTGTGGAGATCAATGTCATTCGGGTCAGAGTAAGTGACTAATGATTTTTGTTTAGTTACTGGAACTCAAGACCCCAGAGTTAAAGGTCACAGTCAGCTAGAAATTATTAGTATGTAAGAGGATGAACAAATGTATATTATCTTTGTATGTAAATATCAGGTTGAGTTAATCACTCAATTTCAGAGCATTAATGTTCTAGAAAACTCAGTATGACCCTAGAATCTATTTATTCATTTCCAAATATTGATTGAACGCCTGTTATGTGCCAAACATTTTGCTTACTTCATGTTATAGATAAAATTGTTTTCATCAGGAAGTTCCATCTTCCATGATTGGTCCAAAGCAAACCTGAGTTAATCAAACTATGTATTCTCAGAAATTTTGAACTAAAAAGGAAATAATCTCATCCAGCTTGCTCGTTTCACTGGTAAGAAACTTCTGTAGAGGTCACTGTAGCCGTATATCCAAAGTTACATGGTCAAGAGTTGTACTTCGTCTTTGATTACAAATGTATTGTACTTTTTCGCCACATGATGCTGCCAGTTATATTGTGTGACATACTAGTGACTGACTTTTCACTGTTCATTTTCTATCAGAGCACTTTGAATTTGCTCTGAAAGGCAAAGATACATGCTACAATGAGTAGTGGAGAACAGTCACTTAACATCAGCCAGACAACGCATTAACAGAAAGTGACTCAACAATGGTGTTGATAACAAGTTTTAAAAATCTAAGTAATATAAAAATCTTCATTTAGTTGACTGTATCACAGGATATCACGAAAGATTGATTTTTAGTAAGTAACTTTTAAAGGGATAACTCATTTTTCGGAATTGGCCCCAAGTGGATTAAATGTGAAATTCTGGAATTTAACTAGTTAATCTAGTTAATTAGTTAATCTGGTCACAACAAAAGGGAAATATTTAGAAGAGGAATGGAAAGAGGTATGAAAATATAAATTTTGGGTTCCTGAAATGAAAGGTAGAGAAATTTAACATTTCGTTTTTAATATCTGGAAAAAGAATTAGGCTAATTGCTATTCTGTGGAATGTTTCTTTCCATAGAGGTATGTATTCTTCATGAATCCTCAGAAAGTAAAGCCTCCTGAAGACCTCCAGGACCTGGGTGTGAGATTTCTTCAACCATTTGTGAATTTACTGTCAAAAGCAACGTACTGGTGGATGAACACGCTTATCATATCCGCTCATAAAAAGCCTATTGATCTGAAGGCAATTGGAAAATTACCAATAGCAATGAGGGCAGTAACAAACTATGTGTGCCTGAAAGAGGCATATGAAGAACAAAAGGTAATTTAGTATCTGTTTTTCGTATCCATCATTGTAGCGAATGGGCCTGTTAAGTATAGAGACACTAAGCTTAAATAATGTCTATGGTTAAGGAAGAGCAGATTTTCTCTATCTGTCGTTCCCAATAGTTTTGAGTCATGTTAATTGGGCTGCTGAGGAAACAGAAGAGCCAATGAAATATAGTTTTGTTGTGTTAGTTGCACAGTCAATACACGAAGAGGGCTAGAGAGAACGCTGTCTTCTCTCTGGGACTGAGGAGAAAGTAAGAATTCAGTTCAGTGATTATGTGTGTCTAATCTTTGTTTCCATGTATAGCTTTGTTACCATATAATAGAATATTAATAATTCATGGAAATTTTTATTAAATCTTTTTTAAGTATCTTGCCAATAATTTTATTTAAGGGAAAATATATCATATCCATCAATAACTACCTTTAAGCAACTAAAATCCTTAAATTAATTATTAACTAAAATTTGGACTCTATTTCAAGCTTAGGAAACTAAATTAAATAAAAGGGGGTCATCTACCTACTGAATGTATCATCTTATATATCTACCAAAATTGATTTCTCCTGGTACTTCCTTTGAGTATTTATAATTGCTTTAAAATTTTTAAATATGAGAATCTTTAGATATTTTCAGTTTGTCTTGTTATCATTCTGAATGGTCATGTATGCTATCCACATTAGTAGGTGTATTTTATAAGCAATCATCTACAAATATTCTTGTCATTAAAAATACGAGTATTTATAACAACATTGGAAGAGAGTAGGGTATGGTGAATCAGTTAAAGAGTTTTTGGCTGTTCTGAATTGAGATCAACAAAGCATTTATGGTAAATGATGAAAATGACCTCTGTTTTGTGTCAAAAAAGAGTGTTATGAAATTAATATTGCAGGAAATGGTTACTACAAATGAACCTGAGTCATCTCTCTGGTTTCACCTCTGGGAAAAGTATTGCATAATATTTTTTAAGCTTCTCTGCTGAAGTAGAGATTAACAGTATAGCCTAAGCACAGCTTAAGTTTTCTGAGTGCTCTTTGTAACACAAAGTAGCTTGAACTTGGTGTGTTAATATCTTTTATCAATAGACTTTGAAAAATAATCCAGTTATTCATCTAACAGGGAGTTGAATATGAATCACAATTGAACTCAATTGCATTGGGCTGGCTTCTTTGCCACAATGAAAGAACTTTCTCCACTTCCTCTCCAAGACCTAATCGTGATGATTGTTCAGACCTTAAAATCTTTTCGACAGATGACTGTAGATGTGTGAAACCATGAATTGGCTTAAGCATATATGCCGCTTTTCATTCTGCGTTCCTTTGAGGAATAATTAGGAAACACAAATCTAACATAGGTTTAAAAACTATTAACTACCGTTCATGGCGATGGGAAATACCTGCAGGAGAAACAATTTGAAGTTGTGATGACCTGTTTTGTTTCACTTGTAGTAATTTGATAGATTACTCTCTTATGATCTAATAACTCCAGAAATCTTGACTAACCTGTCAATAACCTTGATCCTTGTACCTTACTATCGCCTTTTCCTTACAATATTTGGTGAGATTTGTAACAGATTTATACTTTCTAAATCAAAAGGGATTAAAATGAATTCGGTCTTAAGAATTTTGGGTCATCCTTTGACAAGTAAAAATAATATGAAGTCTTCGAAACACTGGCCTGGTTACTTTTCATTCTCTCTAGTTCATTAAAATGCTTTCAGTAGCTACTGTTTGCATAGAATGCAAGAATACAGAATTATACATCCTATACTGAAAGGGACTCATTAACATTTATTTATAAACTTTTAAAATAGCAGAAGGAATTTCCATAGTTGCTGAGATTAATCGCTGCTCTAGTCATTTTATTTTGGTTCATCTGTTCTTTTTCCTTTCAGAAAAAAGTAGCAGATTATCCAAATCGGACTCCATCTATATGGCTAGCAATGTACAGAGCTTTTGGGCGACCAATTCTCCTTAGTAGCACATTTCGTTACCTTGCTGACTTACTGGGTTTTGCTGGACCTCTCTGCATTTCTGGAATAGTTCAGCGTGTGAATGAAACCCAGAATGGGACAAATAACACAACAGGAGTAAGTTTGTGGTGTTTTTGAAGAGAAACATATTATTGGCAGATTTCATTGTAGTTACTTTTTATTAACTCAGTTTTATGAGTAGTTCAAACAGGCTTATTTACAGAGAATTGAGTGTTTTTTTAAAAAAAGAAAACAGTTTTGCTTATAGATAAAATTACGTGTTTATGTATTCATTGAATGGATCTGGCCAATAGCATTATTTCTCAGATTCAGAGCCTATGAACATTAATAAACATCTACTGTGTGCCGGAAACTATGCTTGGAAATTTCACATTGATTATTTTATTTGGTCTTTATAGCAATCCTTTAAAGAGTTTCAAGCATGAGTACATGAGAGGTGGCTGAGTCATCTTTTTAGAGGCCTGTGACCAATGATGTTATCACATGATTTGTAATCTATATATGTCTCTTTTTTTATATGATAAACGCTATCACCCTGTTTCCCAGTGAGCAGGGAAAGTCACATTCTGATATTTTTATTAGATATTATGGTACTATTTGGCAGCTACATAGTATAAGATATTTGCTATTATAAATTTTTAATCATATGTTTTCTGCTCTTAAGAAAGTCTGCATCATGAACGTCCTAGTTTCTAAGAGTTGATTTCCCTAGTTTCGTGGGTAGAAACCCTAGTCTAGTTGCATCAGTTTTCCTTTTCTGTGCTCTCAATCCGATTTCCTGTCCTCTTTTCTTTACCTTTTAATTTTAGGTCTTATTTGCCTCAGTGAAGGTTTTTCTGGTTGTCCTAGTTGAAATTTGACTCTCCTTGGCACTCCCCTACCACACTGTTTACTTCACGTTGGCACCTCCTATGAATGCTATTTATAATGAAGTGTGTTATTCATGGATATGCTTATCTTTCTAAGCTGTGAGCTCCTTCAACAGAATAGCTGTGGACAGTTCATATCTGTCGCACAGTGCTTAGTCCGGTCCCTTTCCTATGTTAGTGCTCTATCATTATTGGGGTGAAGCAGATATTTTTACCGTTAAATGTACTTTTGTGATGTTTTGTCCCCAGTTGCCTAATTACACACAGATATCTAAATTCTACATAGAATTCTGTCATCCTTCTGCCTTACTCATGTTAACCATGTTTTTCTGAGAAGGAACAGAACTCACGCATTTGTATGTATCCCCGTGAAACTAGAGGTAGGGACAAGAAGTAGAATTTAGTGGATCTAAGTCATAAAAAATGAGTGGCCAAATTGACATGATTTGCTTATTCAAGTGGTACCTTTCCCTCACTTCCAGCAATCCAGTTACCGTATGCTATTGTTACAAACAAAAAGCGATCAATTTTGTGTATCCTATGATGACTGCAGTCGTATTCCTACTAAAACAGTTTTTCATTAGTTGTATTTTGTCACTGAAAGTATCATGTGGGCAAAATCAATAGCCAAATTATGTATTTTATAATTTATAATTTGTTTCATTAATATAAATTAAGATCTGAAACTTAGAAAAAGTCAACTGTGTAGAATTATTTTAAATGAATAAGGCTACAGAAATTGTGTTTTTTCCCGTTGGTCTTGCTGACTGACAATCAGTCAGTTTTGTAGGTTCTGCTTCTAAACTATAGTTGAAACTAACTTCTATCTTCATTTGCTACTTTGCGTTTAGGTAAAGTAGAATAATCTTTGCAGAAAATCTACTCAAATCTTTTCTTAAATTAAATTGTACCCTTTTTCTACAGTCAGGCATTTCCAGCAATCTTAATGATCAATTTGGGATTTTATGCATTGTATCTGTGGACATTATGAGGAAAAGCCAAAATTGCCTTGCTGTGGCTCACTGCACTACTGTGTTATCAAGACATTGAGTTTTTGTATTTAAAAACCATGTAATGCTTAATAAATGCAAACTGTACACCCAGTATATGAAAAGTCTGGTCTTAACATATGTCTTTTTTCTTTTGGGACAAGACTTCAGAAACCCTCTCATCAAAGGAATTTCTTGAAAATTCTTATGTTCTAGCGGTTCTTCTCTTCTTGGCTCTCATTCTGCAAAGGACATTTTTACAGGCTTCTTACTATGTAACCATAGAGACCGGCATTAACCTCCGTGGAGCTCTCCTGGTACGTCCAAGCTTTGAACGATCTTTCTTTCTTTTCTTTCCTTTTCTTTTTTGAGGAAGATTAGCCCGGAGCCAGCATCCGCTGCCAATCCTCCTCTTTTTGCTGAGGAAGACTGGCCCTGAGCTAAATCCGTGCCCATCTTCCTCTACTTTATCTGTGGGACGCCTGCCACAACATGGCTTGCCAAGCGGGCCATGTCCACATCCGGGATCCGAACCGGTAAACCCTGCTCTGGGCCGCCGGAGTGAAATGTGCACACTTAACCACTGGGCCACTGGGCCAGCCCCTGATCTTTGTTTCTTGAAAATGCCATATACCATCCAGTAACAGGAATGGTAGTGGCTTCAGTCTGGTTTTTTCATTTGGTTTTCACTTTGATGTTCTGACATCAACACTGCTAGGATCTACTTAATAAAAGAAACTCAGAGCTAATTAGTAAACCCATTGAATTAAAAATAACTGTTATAATAATGTAGTAAGAAAAATATTTTGAAATCTTGCATTTACTTATCTCTGTTTCCATTTGTTCTAGAGCTTATATTTAAATTTGAATATATCTTTTGATTCTATTGCCAGAAAAAATAAGTTTGTATTTAGCTGACGATTGAAAATAACTATTCTAGAATGAAAATAGTGGTTGACTTAAGAAGATAGCATTCTAGGGTTTCTTTTTCAGAAAAGTTTAAAATGCTGTTTTTCCAATAAAGACAAATAAGCATAGTGTGAATTATTAAGTTTAGAGCTTTAAGTTCTTTTTTTTTTTGCAGGCCATGATATACAATAAAATCCTTAGGCTCTCTACGTCTAATCTATCCATGGGTGAGATGACCCTGGGACAGATCAATAACTTGGTTGCTATTGAGACCAATCAACTCATGTGGTTCTTGTTCCTGTGTCCCAACCTATGGGCTATGCCTGTTCAGGTAGGTCAATATGAGTAAGATTCTCTTTTGCAGAGGAAATAAAACAAAGGAACGGAACAGATTTAGCTTAGTAAAGGGTAAACTTTCTGAATGTGTGAATGTTATTATACCCTTTGTGTAGACAAGAGACTCAAAAATGCTATGATCTAGGTTAAGAAAGTGGGGTTTGGAATGATACTGCTTGGGTTCACATCTCTGCTCTACTCCTTGTTTGCACAAGTGCTTAATCCTTCAAAACATTAGTTTCCTTAACTTTAAAATGAAAATGATAATAGTGTCTGCCTCGTAGTTGTTGGAATTGTCAAGATTAAATACATTAATACGTGTAAAGCGTTTAGCACAGTGCCTAGCATTTTGTGGGCACTCAGTAATTGCTAGTTGTTATTATTATTGCACAAATTCATAAAGTCAAAGAGCCAAGGTTTGACTCCTTTTGTTTTGACAAGCTCTCTCATAACATTTCCAAACTAGAGCAATTGCTTTAATCCATTCCATAGTTTCAATAGCTGGTATACTATAAAATGTCAAACCTTATAAGATGGTAGGAATGCTGACAAGCTGGAAGTCTACTTAGCTATTTTCTAAGGAAAATAACATTTTAGGAAAGACGGGTTTTTTTTCCCCTCATTGGGTAAAAATGGTGAAAGAAATGTCTCCAGATTTTTCCTCTATGTAATGCTGAATATTTTAAATTATCTTGAGTTTTGCACCCTGTAGATGGAGCTTAAACTGTAGATCTCATCTTGTTCGATGCAGTCTGTCACCTGTGTGCCTGTGTAGCACGTTTATTAAAGTGCATATAATAATAAAGAAGATATGGTCATTTTAAAACTTACTGCTCGCCTTTTCATTTTTTAATGGAAATTCAGTCAAATAAAAGTGTTTATCAAGTGCTTGGCACAAAGTAAAATTTAAAATTTACTTTGTCTTGTTTTATCAAAATGTATGTATACACAGGTGAACTAAGTCGCTTGCCTACAGGGTATAATTTAAAGTGCACCGAAAATTCCAGACTGCTTCTGAATGACTGCATCATGGGCAACCTTAAGGAGATTTTCATTCTGATTGGAATTCCCAAAGAGCCTAAGTGGTTAGGCAGTGAGCATGCATCTTCGCTTCCAGAAGGCCACTATTAAGCTGTTGTCATTGGCATATAGGCATGGGTTCAGTGCTTTCACTGCATAGATACAGTTTATTAGTTGATGTTTTGAACCATGATGAGCTGACCTACTGGAGAAAAATTTTTCAGGGAGAGAAGATAGCAGGGTTAAAGCCTGAGTTTTCAAAAGAAGAGAAGAAAGGGTAGAGAAGCGTGGGGAGGCGTAAGTGGTTCAGCCTTGGGTTTGAGAAATAGATTTAACAAGGAAAGTGAAATGAGATGGAGAACCAACTTTGGCTTCTTCACAGTGTTAGTTAAGCCTAGGCTTCTTGTCATTAAGTGACTTCTGGGGTCATTGAGGAGGTGAGGAGCTCAGATCATTCCTTAAGTCCACAAACAACCATCCTGTACTCATATTATGGTGCTACCCTCTACTTTCCATCGTCCTTGCCTTGAAGTGCTAGTATAATTCCAAGAGAATATGGAATGTCAGATTTATGGTGGGTGAGAAGCTTTTTCAAGAAAAATTTCATGTCCCTTTAAAAATTTGAAGACTGCTTTGGAAGGTTAAAAGCATCATGGGACCACTCTGCAACTTCATGCAATAAATTGGTTTGACACCAGTTGTACAGATCATCGTACTCAAAATAAATTCCTACTACATAGCCTTCTCCAAATAAATCATGGTAAAACCCAACTGTCACAGTTGAGTTGACTTCCAAATAAACTTAATATAATAATTAAGAAATACTACATTTTCACTAAAAAATATTTCCTTTCATTCAGTGGTCCCCACACCCCCATTCATTTTCCCTTTTCCATGTGTTTTCCTTCCTAGATCATAATGGGAGTGATTCTACTCTATAATTTACTTGGATCGAGCGCATTGGTTGGTGCAGCTGTCATTGTGCTCCTGGCGCCAATTCAGTACTTCATCGCTACGAAGTTGGCAGAGGCTCAGAAGAGTACTCTTGTAAGTAACATCTTTTGGAAACCTTATTAGGAAAATCTAGTAATGCTGTTTTCTTTAAAGTATGGGAAATGAATACATACCATTCAGGATTATTTGGAAATCATTATATTTCATTTCATGTCTTAGGTAGCGAAATGTGTACTTTCTGTGTTGCAAAACAAGTTTTAAAAAAGGATCTGAAATCTGAGACTCGATGAGCTTAGACCCACAATGCCAGAACACAGTTCCTGATGTTTTTAATTGCCATGAGGTGATGGGGCTTGCATATTCTCCTAGATGACTTGCCTAGAGAATACACTTACTTGTCCTTTCAGGCCATTGGGTGTTGATTATTGACATGGGAGAAAGAGATCAAGGAACAAATAAAGAGTCAGGTTTGGTGCTTCTGAAATTGAGTTTCCCTAGGTTTGAATCAAACCATGTGATGATCTATGGAGTTACACTGAAATGTTTCTGTGGCAGCTGCCCTGGCTAAACATGTTCATGGTCAACTTGGCAAGCAAGAAAAAGCCCAATTATTGACCCTTTCTGGCTTTAATTTGCCATGAAATCATTTTATTTGAGCAAGAATTGGCTTCTTTTACAGAAATGTTTGCAAATAATAAAATTGTTGACAGCATGTTTAAAAATAAAGTTTGATTAAATATGAGCAAAGCTGTTTGTAAATCAGCCGTGAAATGTAGAGATGCTGCCACTGATGGAATTGTTTCCCAAGTTGGTGTTTCTGCTGGGACAAGCAAGTTGCATGTCACGCAAATGGTTTTTATCACTTGTTTTTCTGCTGCTTCTGGTAAGGTTACTCATTATTTCTGTCTGAGCCATCTACCCTCTTTACTCCAGGACGTGACTACGGAAAGGTGTGGAAGAGGGGAACAAATGGAGAGCTGACTATCCTCAAGCATCTGTCTTTCATTTAGCCATTCATACTGTGTTTGTCCACTCATTTAACAATCGTTTGATAGGCCTCTAAGACCCTGAAGAAGCAAAAAGATGAATAAAACACAGGCCTTGTGCTATTTTTGCTTCCTCCCAGCTGCCTTTTGCCACTCTACTGCTCCTTTTGATAGTTCACAGGTCATATTGTACCTTACTAGTAATTCTAGTGTAATTGTTGGTTGAAGAAGCTGAAGCAGTTGACTAAATTGAGGCTTTTGAATCAGCTACAAATTTCTCTGCAGTTAATTCAAGTTGTTAATAATCTGTGAATCTAATTTACACCTTAACCAAGAGCTTACAAAGAAGTATGTAGCAATCCCTTGAAGTTAAAGATAATAGACTTGGTTTCAATAAGTGTGTTATGAAGATGTGATATGAACACACACAACATTGTACCCTCACAATCCCAAATACGAAGCAAGCTAACTTTTCTTAAGTTCATTGTTTCTCTTCTCTGTGTAAGTGATAGTGCTGAGGGGAGAATAAAAAATGATTTAAATAATAGAAGGAGCCATTGGAAGTCTCTTTATCATGTCCCTAAATTTACATCTGTATTATTTGCAGATGTTATTCAAGGAGATCATGTGAAACTTAAGAAACTGCTTTTATTTAAACCAAAGCAACAGAGATATAAAAGTTTTTAGGTGGAAAGAAATTTGAGGCCATCTCATTCAACTCTCTATTTTAAAGTTGGAGGCAGAAGCACAGAGAGTTTAACTGCTTCTCCTGGGACTCTCACAGCCATAATTAGTGGCAGAGCCAGGCAGCAATCAAGATCTCCTCAACCCCTGTCTATTACATGGTCCCGCCACTCTGATTCACTTGGATGCAACTTCCCTTGTTTTTCATTCCTTTTTCTAATAGGATTATTCCACTGAGAGACTGAAGAAAACAAATGAAATATTGAAAGGCATCAAACTTTTAAAGTTGTATGCTTGGGAGCACATTTTCTGCAAAAGTGTGGAAGAAACAAGAATGAAAGAATTATCCAGTCTCAAAACCTTTGCACTTTATACATCACTCTCCAGTAAGTTGCTGTTGCTTGAAGGCCCACCAAAAAAATATATGGTCTATTCAGTTTAGCTTGTGATCATTGAGACATTCTAGTCAACAGAAAAAGCCCACTTATTTTCTACATATGTACTGTATGTGCCTATACCCACTAGCCACATGTAGCTATTTAAATTTAAATTAAAGAGCAGAGTTAAGCACAGGCTAAGAGTCAAGTAGACCTGAATTTGATTCTTTACAAGTTGTATGCCTTGCCATGTTACTTTACATCTGAAATCCTTGGTTTCTTCATCGGTAAAATGGGGTTGGTGATGATAGTAGTAGCTGTCTTTGAAACCCTCTTACCAGTTATGATTGGGATGGATACTGGGTCTTCAGTAAAAATTTGTTTATTTAAATTGATTGGACTGTATTACTGTTGACCTTCTTATCTCCAAAGATCCTTAAAAATTATCTGCAGTTGATTACCTGTCTCTTTGGGAGCTTATGATATTTTATTTTCTTGAAGACCGTGCTTGAAGTGCCATTTTTGATAATTAAGGAGCAGAAATGTCAATGTTTCCAAGTGAAAGAAGCCAAACTACATTCACATTAAACTCTCTTGTCTATTATGTTTTCAAGAACTTTTAAATACAGAGCACTTTTATCCTCAACTGTGTTTATGTGTGTGTGTGTGTGTGTGGTGAGGAAGACAGGCCCTGAGCTAACATCTGTTGCCAATCTTCCTCCTTTTGCTTGAGGAAGACTGTTGCTGAGCTAACATCTGTGCCAATCTTCCTCTATTTTGTATGTAGGATGTGACCACAGCATGGCTGATGAGCAGTGTGTAGGTCCATGCTTGACATCCAAACCCACGAACCCTGGGCCGCCATAGGAGAGCATGCCAACTTAACCACTACACCACTGGGCCAGCCCCCTCAACTCTAATTTTTAAAAAACAATTGTTACAAGAATATTTTTTTCACAAAGAGTGACACTGAGTACTCTCAAGAATAGTGAGTTTATGTTAGTAAAATTCTTACAAACTTAGCCAAACTACTCCCACTAATATTTGACTGGTTTATGTGTCAGTTTTGCTCATCTCTGTTGTTCCCAGGGCTTTTTACAATTTCAAGTTTTGGAGATTTGTATATTGTTTCCTCTTGAATTCTAAACTACTTTAGTTCTTAGAGATTATAAAGACTTCTTTTGTGAAATAGATTTAGAGAAAATATTTGGTCTTATAACTCATTTATTCTAGCCCTAATGCTTGATGCATTAGAAATGAAATGGGAAGGAGACTTATGTGCCAGCTGAGCGCCCCTACTAATATGGTGTCGAAATGCTAGAAGACGGAATGATGGATAACCACTTGCTTATACAATAATACTCTAAACTTGTGGCCCCTACAATGTATTCCTTTTTGCAGTGCACTGAAATTCTCATGGGGAAGATGGCTGCAGCCAGAAATAATGATGATGATAATAATAATAACAAAAATATATTGAGATACTCAGCCATTTATTGCCATAAGTGGCTTTACATCTATCATCTCACTTAATCCTCACAACAGCCCAATGATTTAGATTCTGTTATTAACTTCATTTTGGAAATTATAATGGAGACAGAGAGAGCTTAAGTAACTTGAACTTGCCCCCAGTCATCCAGCTGCTAAATGGCAGATGTGGGTTGTTAACCTAGTCTGTCTGTCTCCAGACATGAGATTTGGGTTGGTTTTTGAAAGTCAGATACAAGAGGAGAGAGGACAAAAGAGGCCATACTAGGGGAGAGAAACAAGAAGTCGTGAAGGTAAAAATGCATAATCATATATTTATGATAGGCAGCAGGAATTCTTGAATCAATGGTGTAAAGTTCCAGTTAGCCCACTTCCAAGTTTTATGATTTGGTTAAGTACAGTGTTCTTGGTGGTTAAGAGCTTGAACTATGCGAGTTGAATAGACCTGACTATAAATCTCAACTTTGCCACTTCATAGTGGCATGACCTTGACCAAGTTATTTGTGTTCTCCAAACCTCAACTTCTTCATCTGTAACATGGGATAGTAATAATATCTACCATGTAAGATTGTAGTAATGACTAAAATAGATAATGAATTCTACAGATGTTGATTGAGTTGTTGCTTGACTCTATCCCGGGCACTGTGTTAAGTGCTTCATACTCATTATCTCATATAAAGCACGTGGCTAAGGGTCTAGTATTCAATAACCTCCCTCTCTCAGTTTCCTCATCAGGAAGCTGGCATGTATTAAGAGTACCTTGGGGAAGCAAATAAGATAATGTATGTATAGTGTTTTGAAAAGCACCTGAAACATAAAAATGCTCCATCAATGGTATCTGAAAATATTGAAAAGCAAAAACAGGACAAATCCTAGTAGAATTGAAGAGCCATCTCTCCTTTTATGAATCAGTCTTCTTGGCACTTGAGATAATATCTGGGGGGGAAAGAAATTCTGTTAAATAATTGCCAATGGTCCTGTGCTGTCTGTGGATTTAATTCATTGGTAAAAGGCAAAAAGATACTATTTTATTTTTGTCTCTTCACTTTGATAGCTTCATATGGAGAAGTGGTAAGAACAGGAAGCTTTTGACAGAAGTCTCTGGGTTTTAATCCAAGCTCTGTCACCTCCAAGTGTGGAATCTTGCATGCTACTCATCCTTTCTAAGCTATTTCCTCATTATTGGGTGAGGTAGTTGGAGTCATTAAATATGAGAGTGTATGTAAAAGTACTCCCATCATACCACAATAATTGTGAGTTGTTGAGTAGTAGAGAGCAAAGTGGTGTGGAGCACTGTCTGAGGAGCTAGACTGCGTGGGTCTGAATCCCAGCCGTGTGACTTGAGCTTGTCATTTTCATCTCTATAATGGGGCAGGAGGAGTACCTGCTGCCTGTACCTGGTGCAGAGTGCCATACAAAAGGTTTTTAATGAAAGAGCAGTTGTTCTCACTCTTCCTCATCAGAAGGAGATTACTTATTTAAAGACGCAGAATATAAAAATGAATTATAAATAATGATGAGAGGGAAAAGAAAGAAATACACTTAGAAAAAAGGGTGATAATAGCCAGAGAAAGAAGATGAAGACAGAAACGTGGCTCCTCATCTGTGCTGTTATGAAGCTCAGAGCTGTGTTTGGATTCTTGGTACTGTTCAAGAGTTCAGATTTGATAACTAAGCCATGTCAGATCCTGAAAAAACATAAGCTGATGCTGGGTACAGTGGGAAGGATAGTTCATGGGAGCAAGTCATGAGCACTGATGACGATTCTTGGATGGACTGTCTCCTGCGTGTCAAGATAACTCGGTTCTCTCACTCTGCCATTGCCTGGCTCCGTTACCAACCATTCGCTTAATCTTTTAGTCCTCAGTCCCTAAAATTCTATGGTTTATGAAAAATATAGCTACAAGTCATCAACTTGGCTTTTTTAAAACTGTGACTTCCAAATGCTAGTATTTTAGCCTAAAATATGAGTTTTTCTTGTTCCACTTATGCGTATCATGCTTATCAAATGATAATGCAATATATTCCTGGAGACGCATTTAAACAAGCAGAGGATCCAGGATATGAAGTTATTTTATTAAGCAAAAGGTCTGTAAGTTATTAATATTAATGTCACTGTTGGAAAGAGAACTTGAAGTGATGTCAAATTCTTGTTTTTAGTCTGTAATAACCCAGTTTTCATATATTTAACTTAGTTTAGTGGACAAAACAAAATATAGATTGTAAAAACTCGAAAGAATGCAAAAAAGAATTTAAAAAATTCTAATAATTTGCATCATTAAAGGATTATTTTATCTGAGTTTTGCTGTTTGTAACATTTCACAAAAACAGTAATCTTGCAGTAAAGAGAAACATTTTCTGCTTAAGACTAATGTGTGGGAGCTCATACAACTGCGATAAGGAAATACCAACTGGGAAATGTTTGTGGACTCCAGACAAAATGTTATTTAATGCACTTGGTCCTTTTCTTCAAGGAAAGTTAAAGTAATAATAGATGATTAATTAAAGTTACTGAAAATGTTTCACAGTTCAATGTAACTAATGTATTTGATTTCTTTCCACAGTCTTCATGAACGCAGCAATTCCCATAGCAGCTGTTCTTGCTGTAAGACATTTTTTCTTGCTTTTAGAAATGGAACTAAGACAGTGTTTAGAAATGATCTATGAAAGGAATGTGCGGGTGGTAATATATGTTACCTCACCTCTGCCAGTTTTTCTCTTTGCAGACCCCACTGCAATAGTTCTAATCTGGGTTTTCTTAACTATGGCGCTATGAGCATTTTGGCTCAGTGATTCTTTGTTATAAGAGCCTGTCCCCTGCATTAGGATGTTTAGCAGCATTCCCTGGCTTATTAGATGCCATTAGCACCTCCAGTCATGACAATCAAAAATATCTCCAGACTTGCCAAATGTGCCGTGGGGAGCAAAATTAACAGTAGTCGGGAACTAACTGTTCTAATCTCCGTGACCGGGGTTCCTGGACATTCTTACGGCAAGATGATGCTACATCAACAACCAGAAAATGTTATATAATTGCATTACATTTCAAACTCAAATGACAAACCCCAGAACTAGTATTATATTTAAAATGTAATTAAGTCTCCCTTGGACACTTGTGTTGGCAATTGTAGTAAAAATCCCCAATAGGGACCCTAAAACAATGGAACGTTCTCTTTTTATCTTAGAAAATTTAGTATTTGTTGGAAAGAGCCTGACTGATTGTTAAGAACTCAGAGTTCTCCTCATAGTTATTCTCTCTACTCAGTAATTTGACAGAAGTCAGTTTCCTAATCTGTGAATAGAATCTATTCTGTCCTCACAAGTTTATGCTAGGACGATATGTAAACCATGAAGTACTCTACCAAGACCAAGTATGACTTTTCTTAAGGGGTAATTTGGATGAAGTAATTGTTTTCATAGTTGCGATGGACATATTGGCATAGCAGAATATGTTAGGTTTGTAAAATTGAGTGTAAGCATTTGTGAAACTTTCTCCAGCTTTCTCTAAAGAAATCCTTTCTTTGCACAGACATTTGTGACCCATGCGTATGCTAGCGGGAACAATCTAAAACCTGCAGAGGCCTTTGCTTCACTGTCTCTCTTTCATATCCTCGTCACTCCACTGTTCCTGCTCTCCACGGTGGTCAGATTTGCGGTCAAAGCCATCATAAGGTAGGCACTGGAATGCCTGAAATTCTTTCTTTGATTTTAGAAATAGTATATACTCATGGTAGTAAATTAGAAAAGGTGTAAACAAGAACATTAAAATCACTGCCCAGAGAGAACCATTGTTAAAATTTTGGTATGCTACCTTTAAGTCTTTTATAATTATTCTAAAATGAAAATAATAATTATTATTCTAAAATAAAATTTTTGAATGTATGTAGCTTTTGTCTCCTATTTTGTGTATTGTTTTTATTATTTTCCCCTCATTAAGATCATAATACATAATGTTAATTGGCTGTGTGATAGTCCATTCTTTGGAAGTACTCTGTTATTTAATGATTACATCTTTATTGGACATTTAATGTTTGTACTTTCTACCTCACATAAATAATATAAATAGCATTGAGATAAACATCTTTATCTTTAAATTGTCCTCTGATTATTTTCTTAAGTCAGATTTCTAGAAGTGGGGATGCTAGTTCTAATGGTATGCACATTTTTAAGGTCCTCAATGAATATGGCTGTGGTGCTTTCCATTGAAAGAATGGTAGGTCAAAGGTGTACAAATTTTTAAGATTTTTTAAATGAGTACAACCATAATATTTTCCAGTGAAGTTGTCCTAGTTTATATTTGCACCAACAGTGACAGAGAATTGTTCCCATTAGTTCATATTTACTGTTTTAATTTTCATTTAGTCTGGAAAAAAATTTCAGGCTCATAGTCTCTTTGCAAAACCCCTCAGTGTTTTGTTCATCTTAAATATACTTCCGTAGTGTTTATAACCAGTGTAGACTCTGTCTGAGACTGACAATTTCCCACAATGCACAGCTGTAAAAGTAGATGTGATATGCTGGGCCAGCCCCAATGGCCGTAGGGGTTAAAGTTGGGTGTGCTCTGCTTTGGCAGCCTGGGTTCAGTTCCCGGGTGTGGAACCATACCACTTGTCTGTCAGTGGCCATGCTGTGGTGGTCGCTTACATTTAAAAAAAAAAAAAAAAGAGGCAGATTGGCAACAAATGTTAGCTCAGGGCAAATCTTCCTAGGTAAAAAAAAAAAGATGTGATATGATAATGACAATTTCCTCACCATCTTTACTTGTATTATGTAATAAATATGTTACCAAACTGTATTATACTACACTGTATGTGCCATAGTCTACTATAGCCTATACTCTATTATAAATAAGACAGTTTTAAAGCAGGATTTTGCTTTTTGCTGTAATATCTTAGAAACCTTATAAAACCTCAGCATGTTTCATAAACAGTCACTATCATATTTATATCTGGCTTTTGAAAGAAATGCCAAGATGTTGCAGCATTGAAGAAAAAGTGAGGCCTTAAGTATACAAAGCATGATGTTGCCATTCATGGTGATATAGAACATCTCTTGTAAAGTCTTTTAAAATGAGATGATTTTTCCAGTACCTATGTAGAAAACAAGTATTCAACATTCAAAGTACCAGAATTTCCAGTTTCAGGCAATAGTTTATATTGGCTAAACAATGGCTGAATACCAAATAACATTAAAATGAGTATGCATTATCTTATTATAAACCAACTTCTGCTTGGTTACAATAGCGTCATAATAAGATTTCAACCCTATTCTGTAAGATATGTCATTAATAACCAGTCTGGAGCTGTTAGAGTTTAAAGCTTAGGCCCTCTGGCCTCGTCTGCTCTCCTTTTCTTTTCTTATTGTTCTGCCTTCTGAAACACTTAGACAGATCCCTGACCGATTTTTGTAGCCCCACTTCCAAATTAGGCAGTGCTCTGGAAGGGAAGTTACTTCAAACAATAAAATTGATAAATGGCCAGAGTCTGCTATTTTGGTCCTTATTTTCATTTTCTCCATTTAATAGCTGTCCCTCTCATGGTTGCATTTTTAATTGGAATTTGACTTTGTGCTGCAAGTGGAGATAGAAAACAGTTGATAACTTATAATAGATAACTCCTCTGAAATCAGGTTACCAAGCATCAAAAGGACTTTACGAGTTGATATGAAAATAAAAAATCTCGAGGTGTCCCCAAGTCCATAGGATACAATCCTACTGTAATAAATCCTAATAAAATTAGGGTGGATAATATCCCCTGTATCTTTCTGCATAGCACTCTGTCTTCTGTATGTCCCAGGGAAAAGGCATTTGCCAGTTTGATAAAGACCAGTCTGTTTTCAGGGCTCAGCTCCAGATTCCCTAAAGCCATAGGCCAAATAGAATCATCTTATAAAAACTTGCTTCTCTAAAATGAGTTTCAGTGGTTCATTTGTGGGTTGTGCAGGCATGACTGGTCAACAGGGGAGGCCAGTGCTTTTTCCCACTGTGTGCTGGTTCTGGGAACCCAATTGAGCATTTTCCCAGTGTTGACTGTGCTCGGCATTTTCTTCGGTGCCTGGGGACCCGTGACCAGTCTTTGATGCCAGTTGGCCTACAGCGAGTCGAGCAGCCTGTTTATAATCGGAAACTTTCGCTGGCTGATTTTGAAACCTCCTCTTCCGGACTGTGGAAGTGATAGGTTCTTCACTGCATTCTTAAATGCGTTCAGAAATTTGGTGGGTTAGACTGGGGTGCAGCACACTTTCAAACTTGTGTTCGACGTGCATGGAAGCGACTTGTACACTTCTCTGCTGTAGGAAAATTCCATGCCCTGTAAAATTCTCCGCCACAGGAAAATTCTACACTTCCTTTTAAAACTGGGTAGCTTGTTAGCCAAAACTGTCTTCATGGTGCTCAATGAGCGGGACCACATGTGGGCAGAATGAAATGGACGAAAGAGGCAGTTACGATTCAGGTTATCTCCTCACAACCCCAGCAGCCCACACAGTTAAAGCTTTCTGGACGTTTTATGATGATGTGTTCCAGTCTGCCTTTGCAAAACAGAGCGAAGAAATGAAGAGAAGTAGGAAAAGTGGCTGTTATCTAAAAGATGAACATACTTGAATAAGAGTGATTTTTCAGATGCTTGCCTCACTTTTCCACTTTGTTTTATTTGTAAGGAAATAATTTCTATGTTTTGCTTTTTGGAGGAGAATTTAAGTGGATATGTTGTATCTTTTATAAATAATTTAAGTTTCTGATATTCGATGTATAATGCAGTATCTAAATCCAAAGATGTTATTGGCTAAGGGAAAAATGTGTAAAATTGATCCCTCACTTAGTTGGAAAATAACTTGGTGTCCTTTCTCTCATGTACCTCCCAAAGGAATGTGTGCTTGGCTAGTCTACTGCGGTTACCTGCGATCAAATACATTGTTACGATATTTATCATTAAATTTGTGTAGACTTTGACCTGGTCCCTGTTTACAAATGTTTCATAGTTCCCACAAGAAAAACACATAACATATGTAGCTAAAACTTTCAATACTTTTATGAATTATCTAAACAAATGAGAATTAGTAAAATGCTGAACTATAAAGGTTGTGGAGGCAGGATAAGAAATTGGTTGGTATCAAAGATGCCTGATTTCAACTCGTAGACTGCCATGGAATAGTCATTGTTCACCCTCAAGCTCATTATTTAGTGGCTCTGTAGCTCAGCTTCCTCGCTTGTCAAATAAGCACAATAATAGCTCTGCTCATGGCAGTTGAGAGAATTAGATGAGATAATACAGAAAGAGTGCCCAGCATACTGCCTAAATATTTTAGGTATTTTACAATTCTCCATTTTGCTAATTTAACACCATCTTACTAATCTCCATTCCATGCTTCAGAGAGTGATCTTCTGTGGGTCTACATGCGTTTATTGACGCTTCAGTTACATTGCTAGGCATTAGGGATTGCAAAGATGAAAGGTAGAGTGAAATCAGCAGGGAGTCTGCAGTCTACTTGGAGAGACCAGGACGGAAAACTAATTACAATATGGTGTGTTTTGCTGTTATAGCGCTCTACACAATGCCAGGGACCCATATCTGAGAATCCTTGAAGCTCTTCGAGAGAGAAGGCAGATAGTCTGGTCAGTGGAAGTTTAAAGCAGATTGTGGCTTCTTCATAGGATATTAAAGAATAACTAGGATTTGGCCAGTTGAAGGAAAAGGGAGAACACGTTCTTTCTGAGGGAACTACATAGGCAAGGGGAAAGGGTGAGTAAGTAGGTGAGAGCTCTTGGTACATTCAGGGGACTAAAAGTAGTTGAGTGTAGCTGGAGAAAGGTTCTGAGGTGGAAAGTGTCAGGGATGAAGCTGGAGAGTAAAATCCTGATCAGCCTGTATGTGATGCTAAGGATGCTAAAAGGCAAAGGGTGCCCTTTCATATGAACAGGTTTGCATTTTTAAAATATAACCCTGGCAGCATGGTGGAAATTACTTCACCCTTGGTCAGGATTCATGCGTTTTCCATAATTGTTTTGCCTCTGTGATTTCTAAAAGGACCCTTCATGAACAGGAAATGCTTTTTGTATTACCTATTTATTCATTCACCAGACATTTCTTGAGGAATTACTATGTTAGATTTTTGGCTAGATTCTGAAGATGAAAATCTTTTCTCTTAGAGAGTTCACCATCTAGTGGGAGAGATAGACAGTAACAAAACAATGCCAAAGCGGTTCAGGGGACCCTCAGCCAGAAAGCCTACAGTGATGGGGACAGGGAGGAGAAAGGATGGGCGAGGTTCAGAGGAGGGTTAGTTTTGGGGTGCTCCAATGTTCATTGTAATTGGAGCTCCAAAGTAAGATGTTATAAAGAGAAAGGGAAGTTCTCGTCTTGCCCCAGTCATGCTCAGGGACCATTGCTTCCTGAGGTTTAGTAAAAATGGGGCTCATTAATTCCATAAAAGCTTCAGTAAGATTTGTGTGTGTACTAGAAAAGTGAAATAGAGAACTGAATCAACCAACTTTACTTAAATGTCTGAATCATTGGCTTATTCATTCTTTGATTTATTCAACAAACACTCGTTGAGTAATGTGTTCCAGGAGCTGCTCGACTAAGTTACAGGGGCAAACAAGCCTGACGCCGTACTTTCCTTTGTGTGCAAAGACGTAGCACAAGATTGTTTAAAAGATATTCCTTTTATTGACAGAGCTGTGCTCTTTAAAATCCAGTCTCTTCAAAACATAAGAACAGAATGTCAAAGTCTATAAAAGTAAAGAAGGAATAACTACCATTTAAGATGATTAATATGACACTTCATAAGGCATTTCTGACACTGTCTTTCAAGTCTGTGTGGTCAAGCTTTGCTGACAAAGACTCAAGAGAGCACACAAACCAAACTCTTCTTTTTTGTTATTGTTGTTCTGAAATTCTTTCTTTAATTGCTGTAAAATATACATAACGTAAAGTTTGCCATTTAAACCATTTTAAGTTACAGTTCAGTGGCATTAAGTACATTGACGTTGTTGTGCAAATATCACCACAATCTATCTCTAGAGCTTTTTTATCTTCTCAGATTGAAACTGTATACTCAATAAATAATAACTCCTCGTTTACCTCTCCTTGCAGACCCTGGTGACCACCATTGACTTTCTGTCTCTATGAATTTGAGTGTTTTAGGTACCTCATATAAGTGGAATCATACGTATTTTTTTGTGCTTATTTTATTTAGCATAATCTCTTCAAGGTTCGTCCATGTTGTCCATAACTCTGATATATTTAGGTGAGTCAAGAATTCCAGGGGCCGACCCGGTGGCTCAGTGGTTAAGTGTGCACGTTCCACTTCTCGGTGGCCCAGGGTTCGCAGGTTCGGATACTGGGTGCAGCCATGGCAGCGATTGGCAAAAAGCCATGCTGTGGTAGGCGTCCCACATATAAAGTAGAGGAAGATGGGCATGGATGTTAGCTCAGGGTCAGTCTTCCTCAGCAAAAAGAGGAGGATTGGCAGTAGTTAGCTCAGGGCTAATCTTCCTCAAAAAAAAAAAAAAGAATTCCAGAACCAGGGTGCAGCCGCTATGGAAAACAGTATGGCTGCTCCTCAAAAAATTAAGCATGGAATTGCCATATGATACAGCAATTCCACTTCAGGGTATATACCCAAAAGACTTGAATAGATATTTGTGCACCCATGTTCATAGCAGCATTATTCACAATAGCCAAAAAGTTGAAACAACCCAAATATCCATCAGCAGATGAATAAATAAACAAAATGTGACCTATACATACAATGGAATATTATTCGACCAAAGCTTTGCTTAAACAATTATCTCTTTTAGTTTCCTATGAATGCAATTTGGAAGCGAATGTGTAGTTAGACTGCCCCAATGGATTTTATCTCCCTTTACGTTTCCGATGAAAGGAAGCAATTTCTATGGCATATGAGGTTAAAGAGCTTAAAGGATTATGGGCAACAGACTGAATTAAATAGACTTCTCTTCATTTTATTAGTCTGTCACATAAACAAACTATGCAGACCTATCCGGATGCACTTCATTTTACTACAAGTTCGAATGAAAAGAAAAAAGAAACCTTCCGTTTCGAGTGTATATTTTCTAGTTTCATATCAAAGGCGATATTTCCCTGTAGTTGATGCTGCCTGTGCCAAGTTAGTTGGTTCATGTTCTGCATCATAGCATGCTAAAAGGAGCCTTTCTTTTCCTTTGCAACTTCACAGAGTTTTCTTTAGTGTATTCTTTTATTTATAGAAGGATGTTTTCAAATCATGTTATTGTTTTCTTTGATTCTTTTTGCTCCTGGTCCTATGACACTGGTTTGAGAAAATTAGAATGTGAGGGGTAGGTGGGCCAAGGAGTCTTGTGCCCAGCCTAAGGAGACCATGCTGAAGAATGTTTGCAAACCACTGTTCTAGAGCAGGGCTTCTCAAACAGTAATATGCTTATGAAGCATCTCCGGATCTTGGTAAAATGCGTATTTTGATTCAGTAGGTCTTGGGTGGGGCCTGAGGGTCTCTGTTTCTAGTAAGCGCCCAGGTGCTGTTGAGGCCGCAGATCTTTGGCTAACACTTTGAGTAACAAGACTCTAGAGGGCCCTCTGCTTCCCAGGTTTGGAAAATATGTGTAATATCTAGTGTTTCAGCAAGACAGCATAGTAGGCATGGACCCTGGATCTGTGTGTTACATGCTGAATGCTTTTTGGCAGGCCACTTAACTTCTCTGTCCCCATTTCCTCTCATTTGTAAAATTAGAATAATAAGGGTACTTCTCTCATTAGTATTATTATTTTTAACCACCCTGTTTCAAGTTCCTCTCCGATTCTACCGTCTTTGACAAGGAGTACAATTGCAAAAGAAATTTGGCTGAATCTGTGGTGACCAATTGTTTCTGGTTTTCATGAGATTTCTGCTTTTAGCACTCAAAATCCCAGGTCCCAGGAGCCCGTCAGTCCCAGGCAGTTTAGGACGCTTGTTCATCCTAGCTGAATTCCCAGTTGGTCTTGAGAAATGACTCTCAGAGGCGGCTTGCTCAACATGATAATAAGTGGGGAAAAAGCTCGTTTACTTAGGTAGAACTCCATTGGTGGCGGTTTTATTTTTAAGCCTTATTTTGTGTTTGTTTGCTTTTTTGCAGTGTTCAAAAGCTAAATGAGTTTCTGCTGAGTGATGAGATTGGCGAGGACAGCTGGCGAACTGGTGAAAGTTCTCTTCCTTTTGAGTCGTGTAAGAAACACACTGGAGTTGTAAGTGCTTTTCCTTGTTATGGAAGCTCTGAATACGGGACAGTCCCAGATGGATGGTTTAAAATGGGTCCAATTAGAAGAAATTGTAAGCTTTCAATCTGTATGAAGAAAAACTGCCACCTACTTCCACAACAAAGCTCACAAGTCTAAAATCAATACACAAATGTATAAAGCTTGTCTTTATAAATCACCAAAGAATTCTCTCAAGAGGGACAGCGTGTGTTCAATTCAAAAGGAAATCGAAAGGTTGTTTACCCCAAGCTTTATATAAAAATAATACAAAATAAGCTTACAACTCCTGCACCATATTCTTATAATACCTTTTAGCAATATTACACTTTTTAGTTTGAAAAGTGCTTTTTGATGCATTATAACTTTTGACTCACTTAATGCATTACATTGCATTATCTATTTTTATTTTCTAGAAGAGTATATTGAGCTTGCAGGTTGTTTGGTTTGAATAAAGTATAAGATTAGTATGTGGCAGAGCCTGAATTAAAACCTGAGTCTTGTAACTCCTGAACCAGTTTATTTATCCACTATACCAATATTTACTCAGTGTCTACGTAAAGCCTGGAAACACAGTCAGCATTATGTTGTCATGTATTACATGTCACATGACATGTATTGTGTGTTTGCCTGTGTTTCCAGACTTATTGACTTCCTTGTACTTTGTGCCAAGACCTAAGTCTATAGCTATGAACAAGGCGGACAAGATCCTTCTGGTCACAGAATTTGCTTTCTAGGGGCAGGAGTCAGATGACAAACAAATAAATAAAATGAGAGAATTTCGCTGTGGGAAGAAAATAAGAGAAGATAATAGACAGTGATTGAGATGCTCAAAGCAGGGTGGCCGTTTCTCAGAAGGCCCCTCTGAAGAGTTGGCATTTGAGCTGAGACCTGAATGGAGAGTAGATACCTCTTCTGCAAAGATCTGAGAAAAGAGCGTTTCAGGCAGAGAACTGGTAGATGCAAAGACCCTGAGGTGGGAATTAATTTGGTGTGTTCAGGGAACCGAGGGGCACTATGGTTGAAGTCTGGTGAAGAAGAGAGAGACAAGACAAGGTAAGAAGCAGCGCTCAGGGTCTTGTAGACCATGGAAGGCATTTGGATTTAATTGACATGCAATAGGAAACCGTTGGAGAGTTTTAAAGCAGGGCCTAATATAATATTGTTTATATTTTGAAAAGATCACTTTGGCTACTGAGTGGGATGAGAGTAGAACAGATGGATCGGTAAAGAGGCCGTTATAATAACAAGAAAGAAAGAATGATGGTTGGAACTAGTTTTTATTGCAGTTACGGTGGAGATTGTGAGGAAGTAATCAAATTCAGTGTACATTTTCTTAGGCTGAACTGATAAAGACTTGCTCGTAGATTGGATAGAGGGGATGAGGGAGAAAGAAGACTTAAGGAGGAATCCTAGGTTATTGGCTTCACTGCTGGGTGGATGGTGGAGCCGTTAACTGAAATGGGAAGCTAAGAAATAAGTAGGTTGGTGTTGAGGTGGAATCAAGAGACATATTTTGCACATGATAATTCTAAGATATTTATTGGCATCCAAGAAGAGAAGTCAGCATTGGAGAACTAAATTTAAGAGTCATTAGCCATTAGATAATATTTAAATCAATAGGACTGGATTATACCACTTTCTTGAAAGACGTGTCTGAAAAATTCCGAAGTCTTTAAAATTAATATGTATGTTTCATGACAGTAAAGTAGAAAGATGTTATTCTAAAATGAATCATGTTATGAGTTATTATTAGGTATTCATGTTACTCTTAGAGAAAAATATGAAGACCTTTACCATTTGTGTAACCAAACAAAAATGCACATGCAGTCTCCTGACTGGAATTGATTGAGGCTTGGAAATCTATATTAAATTTTTCTTTACATTGTGTTTAAAGCTGCTAAAAATATCTATGATGAGCACTTGGCTGTATTTAAACTTGCTGTTTTCTTCTGCTTTTCTGGAGTTACTTTTCACTCTGTGCTAAGCTGTTTTATTGAGCAGGTGTGATTTTGTCTGAGAGGGAACTACCACTCATGCTTATATACGCTGGAGCAACAATGCTTGAAAATGCTTGTTTGCTATTGTGCAGACATAGACACAAAGACAAGAACACATTATAGAGTGTCTACACTTTGAGGCAGCAAGAAAGTCCAGCATTTGATTAGAACCAACATGGTCACACTTTGGATGGTAGGAGGTTACCAGAGAACTTATTAGATCATCTTTCAGAGATGTGGGGAAGAGCAGAGTGAGATGACCTCACAAAAGGGAATGTCGCAGGTCAAGTCTGCAGAGTCAGGGAAATCTGAAGAATCTGAAGTTTGTGTGAGATGAGGGAGAGAAGAAAAATGGAACCGAGAAAAGGTTTTTGGAAGGAAAAAAGAATCCCCTTCAAATGCATCCAATATCTTCAGGGTTATTGAAACCAGACTGGACTTCTGATGTCTTTCAGGATCATTCATCACTGCTGATGGGCCAAACCACAAACGACAAACTTTTTAAAATGGAGTGAAAAAAGCTGTGTGTTTGAAAATAACACTAATGGAAACTCCTTCTCGAGAGCGCTTACGATGCTATGTATTCTGTAAAAGCTTAGAGTTAAGTGGTTTTGGCTGTAGAATCTCCATGGAGAATTAGTGACATTCTAGAGCCAAAGTCTCTTCAAATTACATCTGTGGAACTCCGACTCAAATCTCTGTCAACACATCTCCTCCTCCCACCCTCTCGTTAATTTTGCGAAGAACGTGAAGTCATTCCTTTTGGGTCTCTGGGGGCAATACTACTATGGAATTGAAGACTCTAGGAGACAGTGAATATATGTATAGGTATAGATGTGTCTTGCATGGGAGGTACGCTTTGCTTAAAAGATAGTGACTTTCAATATCTCACGCAATGCTCTTCCAGGGTCATCTGTGAGGACTGTGAGAAGAAAAACAGAACTAAAATAAAATTTCATGAACACTCTCTTTTTTTTTAAGTTAAATTGCATTAAGTATTTTCTGTGTGACAGAATCACTGCTAGTTCTTCTCAGTGGCTTTTTAGTCTGTGTATTTATTTGCATGTAGCCCAGCAATGTACTGTTTGATAGTTTGATATTCTGTTGGTACACCAGTTGATGGAAGCTGGAAGAGCGCTGTCTTGCTTGGATTAGATTACTGATTATTCGAGGATGTTCCTAATCCCCATAGTAGAACTCAGTGGATTTTTCAAAAAGCTGAACCTGTAATTCCAGGCCAACAAAAAAGAGTTTCATAATTCTAGAATTCTTTGCTTTTATAGGTGATTTACCAGTTTTAAAGTATATTATGTTCAGCCTTCATAATGACTGTAAGGTATTTAAGTAAGATAGATAATTATTTATGTTGAAATGCTTGCTCACTAGATTCCTAGGACAAATTTGGAGCTTACGAATTTTTCTAAATTAGAGGTTTACAGAGCTGAATTTTCTTTCTCTCTAGCCATTCATCTCTATCTATGTGAAATTAAACTCAAAATTAGAGAATAACAAATTTCTAGTCTATGACCTAACTTAAGCTCATTTTAAGTATGTGAAGACTGTCCAGCCATAGCTGGCATCCTCTTTATTATGGCTGCTTTAGTCCTTTCACTAGGAATAAGGCAGTAACACTTGAGAAAGACTCAATCAGTCTACAGTGCTTGTGGATTGCTTTATACATGTGTGGGCAAAAAAAAAAAATCCTAGATCTTTATGCTTTTTCTCACTCCACAGTGGGTCCTTCAGTGATGTGCAGTCTGATCTGATTTATGTGAATGTATCAGGTTCAAAATCCTCATGAATAAGAGGGTGATCAAAAATGTACTGTTGGAACTTTTACAAGCCCAGTGGCCTAACAAGTAGATTCCAGTTTAACCTGAGTTAATCTGCTTGCTTTTTGACCTGACACACAGTTTTCTATTGCCTGGATATATTCGTCTGGATAGCTGGAGAAAGACTATCCAAAACCTAGTTGGGGCTCAGCACTTTAACTTCCATCATTTGCAAGTATCACATCTTTGTATTTTCATTTTTCTTAAAAGCTTTATAGATTAGATTTAAAATGATAGCTTCATGCTTTCTCGTTATCATTTCCTTTTTTCTTCTTTGGAGAAGCCATTGAAATAATTAAAATAATGCATTCACTTAGATCTTTTTCTTGGAATTCAAGTGGAGAAGTAGCAATGTGAGTTAATGTTTGGTAAAACCTCCATCTTTTTTGTAAAATTTCAACTTGTGTTCTTTTCCATTGGGAATGCAGCAGCCGAAAACTATAAACAGGAAGCAGCCTGGAAGATATCACCTGGACAGCTATGAGCAGTCAACACGACGTCTACGTCCTGTAGAGACTGAGGATATTGCAATAAAGGTTATTTCCTGGATCCTTACAATAATAGAAACGTTTATGTTACTATTTTATGGTGAAGTTCTGCTAAAGTGTCCTAAATCGTGTCTTTAAAGTCTCTTTACAGTGATCACTAATCCTCATAGCATTTTCAAAAATATGCTGGAGTTTGTAATTCTCAGTTCCTCCTCACCTCCCAACGACAGTTTTTGCTCCAACAGTATGTTTTAATAACTGGAGCATGAGCCTTTCTTCTGAATCTGCGTTAGAAGCTAGTATCCAACGTATTTCCTCTTACGTTTATCTACCAAGAAAATTGATTTATAGAGAACACCAGTATTATAAATCCAAGTTTTAAGGAAATAAATTAGATAGCAATTGTCTTCAAGCAGGAAAGGCTTAGACCAGCGTTGCGTGTGTTCACCCAGCTTCTCCATACTGCCTTTGATCTCGTTTCAAACTCAGCCTTTTGTACTCTTCCCAGGCAAGTGTGCTCCATAGAACAGGCCACCACAGGAGCACCAGCTAAGGATGGAGAGTTGGGATAAGCCCCAGGGAGGGGTCAGTGGCGTGTGGGGACTGGAGCAGATGCCAGCAGCAGCCAAGGGCCTCTGGACATCGGAGCCACGAGAGTCCTGGCAACTGGCCATTAGAAAACTAGCTGCATCGGCTGCTTGGGGCTGTCAGACTCCCTGCACCGCCCAGCCCGGTCAGAGAGTGGGGGAGACTCAATGGTGGACAGAAGAGCCGAGAGCGACACTTAATTCTCCTCTCTCCCTATTGCCTGACACAATACCTGTCCCACAGTAGGCGCTTGGCAATCGGAGCAAGTGTGTTATTGGATGGAATAAGCTAATGCTAGCCCTGCCTGTGCCATTAATTTGATGTGTGACTTTTGGGCAAACTGTTTCTCTGAGCCATACCATGGCCCGTCTTGAGGTGGGGATGCCGTTTTAGTGTGGTTGTTTTGAGGATAAAATATGTCACCTGTGAATTTAAAGAGCTATAGTGATTCCTAACCTTGGCTGTCCATTAGAATCACCTAGAAAGCTTTAACACTATGTATGTGGGACCTGGACGTCGGTTTTAGAAATAGTTGTAGTAGTTCCCTAGGCAATTGCAATGTGCAAGTAGGGTGTGAACTACTAGGCTATGAAAAAGTAAATAACGAGAGACTAGACATGGTCTTCTATGCTACTGATTCTCAAATATGTCCAGATAACAACTAATATATTAGTGACTAAAAGTCAGTTTTTTAAATTGATATTTTCTATTCATTATAATACGAATCTAAAAATGTATCTTTTCCGTGTGACTTATTCAATTTATTTTCATTCTGAAAGTAAAAAAGGAAGGTATCGGGGCCAGCCCAGTGGCGTAGTGGTTAAGTTCAGTGCACTCTACTTTGGTGGCCCAGGTTCACGGGTTTGGATCCTGGGCATGGACCTTTACCACTTATCAGCCATGCTGTGGCAGCAACCCATGTACAGAATAGAGGAAGATTGGCCATGGATGTTAGGTCAGGGCAAAGCTTCCTTAAGCAAAAAGAGGAAGATCAGCAACAGATGCTAGCTCAGGGCAAATCTTCCTCAGCAAAAAAAAAAGGGGGGGGGTGGGAAGGTATCATGATTTTTCCCCCCAAATTGATCCTTTGTCCACCAAAAAAAACCCACAAAAAACAAGAAACAAAAAAACCCTGCTTATCAATGGCCTAGAATATGCTATGCCTCTGAATGTCCTCTGCAGCTTCAAGCCCAACTTCAAGCAGAAATTATTTATTCATGGTGGAAATTCCCAAATTGATAATAACTCATTTATCTTTTTGAAATCTTTTTTTATTGTGAAATACAACATACTTACATAAAAGTACTTAAAACACATATGTACCATTAAAATTAAATGAAGACCTATGCAACCACCACCAAGTAAAGCTCATCACCAGCTCTCTCCAAAGGCCCCCAACAGACGCATTTGCTGCTCTCTCATATCTCTCCCTCAAAATATAATTGCCACCTTGACTTTTATAGCATCATTTCCTTGATTATCCTTGCTATGGATGACTCCCCAAAGACGTATTTTAGTTTTTTTAAGTTTAAGTGTGTGTGTATGTGTGTGTATGTGTGTGCTTTGTTTCTTCTGCTCAACTTAATGTACGTATAATCCATCCACGTTGCAGTCTGAAGCCATAATTCATTCATTCTCATTGCTGCGTAGTGTTCCATTGTATGCATATACCAGAATTTATTTATCCATTCTACTTTTGGTGGACTTTTAGTTATTTTTCAGTTTGAGGCTATTGTGAACAGGTGCTGAGTCATAGGGTTGGTACTTCTTCAACTTTCCTAGATAGGTGCAAACTGTCTTCCAAAGTGGTTGTCCCAATTTACACTTCTGTCATAATGATCAAGAGTTCCAGTTGCTCCACATCTTCACCGGTGCTTCCAATATTTTGCCAAAGTGTGTATGGTGTGTTGAGGGGAGGTACAGTTGTTGTGGTTTTTATTTGCATTTTTCTGACTTCTAATGAAGTTGAGCACCTTTTTATATATATTCACCATTTGGGTTTGGATTTTCTCTTTTGTGAATTGCCCAGGTTATTTGTCCCTCTTGTTTGAAAAAATTCTGGGTACTTCTTCTCTGGCAATTATGTATGTTACAAAATTCTTCTCCCACTCTGTAGCTTGGCTTTTCACTCTATGGTATCAGAAGTTCTTAATTTAATTTTATTATTTTTGGTGAAGAAAATTTTGGTGAAGAACAGATTTGGCAAATATCTGTTGCCAATCTTACTCTTTTTGCTTGAGGAAGATCGTTGCTGAGCTAACATCTGTGCCAATCTTCATTTATTTTATGTGGGATGCTGCCACAGCGTGGCTTGACAAGCAGTGCTAGATCTGAACCCCAGGCTGCTGAAGCAGAGCGTGTGATCTTAACCACTATGCCATTGGGCCAGTCTGCCAGAACTTCTTAATTTTAATGTAGTCTAGTTTATATAACTTTCCCTTTATGCTTAATGCTTTGCTTTTCATCTCATTTAAGAAATGCTTTTCATTTCTCATTTAAGAAAACTTTTCCTACCAGAGGTCATGAAGGTATTTTATATTAGCTCCCAAAATCTTTGAAGCCACACCTTTCACTTTTAGTTCTTTAAGCGACATAGAATTGATTTTTGTGTTTGGTATGAAGCAGGGTTGTGAGTTAGTAGGGGAATCAGTAATAAATAATTTTAGTTGTAAATTCTGCAGTAGTAAATTTAGTGGTAGTAATTGTACTACACTTAGTAGTAAGTCAGTAAGGTTTGATTTAATTGTTTGTATGATATCCAATTGTTCCAGCCGCATATATTGGTCACTGACCCTGCTGACCTTCAGTGTAGTCTGTCACACATCAAGGGTCTTTATATTTCTGGCTTGATAGCTGGCCTTAATTTGTTTTCATCTGATTTATTTGTCTGTCTAATATTCCACTGTTATGATTTTTCTAACTTCCTAATCAACATTGACATCTTTTAGGAAAGATTCTTACGCCTTGTTCTTTTCCTCCTAAAATATCTTAGCTATTCATGGCCCTTTGGAGGAAAGAAGCTTAGGTGCCCTGAGCTTCTATTTCTGAATGTGTACTTTTCCTTATACTTTGACTTGGCATTTCCTTACTCCTTTCTTTAATGAACTTTTTAAAAAACTATACCTTATTCAGCATTTTTACTTATTTCCAGCAGGAGGAAATGGACAATGGTTTGTGTAAGGTCCTGCCTTTAAATGTTTAAAAATTATTTTAATTGAGTTGAAATTCACACAGCATAAAATTAACCATTTTAAAGTGAACAATTCATGGCATTTAGTGCATTCACAATGTTGTGCAACCACCACATCTATCTAGTTGCAAGCCATTTTCATCACCCCGAAAGGAAACCCCCTACCCGTGAAGCATCTCTCCCCATTCTCCCTCCTCTCTTGCCCTTGGCAGCCACCAATCTACTTTCCATCTCGATGGATTTGCCTATTCTGGATATTTCATATAAATGGAATCAAACAGTAGCTGACTTTCTGTGTCTGTCTGGATGCTGCCTTTACATTTTAGTCCATTCTTTCCTCTTACTCCTGACCCTCGCTCCTATTCACCTCATCCCCCGACCCCATTTTGGTACCAGCTCTAATGTGCTCAATAGATGCACTTAAATGTACTCATATTATTGGAAAATATGTAGTGTTTTCATGAGCATCTATGTGCTTTCAATTTACTAAAATGTTTTTATGATAGTTTGCTTCTTCTAAAGGTACCACTGTATTCTGGAGAATGCATCCCTGTCTTTTATTTATCCCCTAGTGATGACCGCTGGGTTTGCCTCCATTTTCCCTCTATCATAAACCAAGCTGTGATGATCATTTTTGTACCTATCCTTTTATGAGCCTTCGCAGAGATTTATATGTCAGCTGATTTTCCAAGATCAAATGGCTATTTAGGGAAGCCAGGATTTTAACTCTGATAGTAGACAAGTGAGACTATTTCGTAAAAGGCAAGAGGGGCTAGAAGTGCAAATTGCGGCAGGAGAAATTAACTTTGGCCCTCCTCCTCCATCCCCTCAAGTGGACATTGTTCCCTCTTTTACTGCTGTGTAGCACCAAATCATGAGGTGACGCTGCATTCTTCTGCTGCTTTCAGACCTTATCTTTCTTTCCTCTCTCACGCTCTTGTGAAGCTATAGTATTTTCTAGCTTTCTCACATTTATTATCAGAGGACCTCATAATCGCTCCCCACCTCATCGAACATTTGGGTACCTGTATCCTAGTCCATCTTTCTAAATTAGTAGCTGCCACACATGGATGTAATTTAAACTTCCAAGTGCACAGCCTACCTAGTGTCCCAGCCCAGAAATCCCTTAATCTACTGTCACTCCATTTCGACAACCTCACTTATGATCACATTTGGCTACCACCTGGGATTGCAGCCTCTGAAATCTTAAACTCTCTTATACCAGTCAGTCACTGGCCTCAAATCCTGACCCTTTAGCTCTTTTGGGTATTTACCTTCACTGTCATTGTTTTTTAACCTCATTGAAACCTCCAACAACTTCTCTCTCAGTCCTTTAACACCTTTCTGTAGCAATCCAACCTCATGCCTTCTGCACTCCTATACACGGGCTGCTGAGTACTATGGAGGAAATGCCACGATGGTGCAAGTTGGCATAGCCACAGATTTGTCATCTCCAACCTCAGCTGACCCTCAGTAGATCCTGACAGTCCTTCTACATGCATCTCATCAGCATTCTTTCCTGTAACCTACAGTAGCTCTTCAGCTGTCACCACTCTCTTCGCACCTTGTTCTATCTCTCCTTTAGCCTCCTCTTTCTGCAGATAACCTTTACTCCCAATTCACTGAAAATGTAAAGATTGTCGTGTTGGGCCTCTTTAAGTTCTGTGCTGGCCCTCTTCCAGGCCCATCTATGTTTGCAACTCTTTTAGCCTGCTTGTCTACTCTCTCTGAGAGAGAGGGATCCTCAGCCTTTGAGGCTGTGTATTTTCTTTGAACATCATTTGTCATTTAGCCACAGTATCTTAAACTTCTGCCCCGGCCAGCTCTATCCATTATTTCCCGCAATGTGTTTCATAGTTTTCTGATCCTGGGCCTCTTCTCATTGTAGAAATTTACCCAGAAACGCCTTCATTGAAATTCAGTATATTTTCAAAACTAGCTAAAACACCACCTTTTCCAAAAAGCTCTTATTTTCTTTAACTCGTCTCAAAATGACTTTCTTTCTGAACTGCTGTTGAATTTCTGTGTGTCTGCCCCCTCTTTTTGTTACTTAGCCCATCTCTCGTGTATTGCACTTACTTCTGTCCATGATTTATTTACTTGACAGACTGCAAATTCCAAGAGAGCGGGGAGGATGCATTCTACCCTTTTTGTAGCCAACATTAGTCCTAACACAGTGCCTCACATAGAGTGGGTACTCAGCAAATGTTTGTAAAGTGATCAGTAATTCAGCCCTTGCTTCCAGGCCACCCTCCTTCCAGGACTAATGTCAGGCATATCTGATGATGGCTATTACTAAATGCCATACCTTATTTTACAAGCCAAAGAAAACCTACATGGAAAAACACAATCTAACCTTTTCAAGCAACCTTTTCACTCTTTAACTTGTTTGTTTAAGGGCTTTTTAGGGATAGAATTAGTTACAATTTAGACATCCCCAATCTATTCTGCAAAATTCCCAAACACTAAGGTGCTTAGAAATTTCATCATTTGTGGTTTTGAAACACACATTAATATATGAGCAAGGAGTATCCTTATTTTATTTTCGTCTAAGTTTCCAGGCACCTTCCCTCCCCTTACCTGTCTCTATTCACCCCTCCAACCCTCGGGTTCTGTTATACCTCTTTTTGTTTCCCATTTTTGTAACTCTTAAAACTATCGGGTCCACTTGAAGCCTGTTAAAACAAATGGATTGCTTTGGACGACTCTCAGGTCTTCTCATCTTTGCTGGTTGTTGAGTTTATACCACCAGGCAGTGCTGCCTCATTTCTGTGCTTTACTCCTCCCTCTCCTGCGCTCGTTCCTTTAAGTTCAGTGAATAGAGATACATCCACAAAGTTCGGGAAACTCATTCAGTACAAAAATCTTCCTCCTGGAATTATGTTAAGTGAAATAAGCCAGCGAGAGAAGGATAATCTGTGTATGACTCCACTCATATGAGGAATTTAAAATTATTGACTAAGAACAGTTTAGTGGATACCAGGGGAAAGGTGGGGTGGGGGTTGGGCACAAATGGTGAAGTGGTGCACCTACAACATGACTGACAAACGTTAATGTACAACTGAAATTTCACAAGATTGTAACCTATCATTAACTCAATAATAAAAAAAAATCTTCCTCCTTAGCTAACAGAGTCATTTTGTTGGAATAATTTGTAGTCATTTCTGTGCTTTCCTTTGCATCACTGGATTCTGGGAGTTGCCTAGCAGTGAGAAAATGATCAACGTAGAGGTTACATTGGAAAATATTTGGGACGGTTACTCTTTAAGAATGCTCACATGTAAATAATCCAGTAATCCAAAATTTTCAGAGAAAATTGTTGTAATTTTTAGCATTCTTCATAATATGACTCAAAGACTCTCCTTTCACTTCCATTCTTTTTTGTGAATGGAAGTGAAAGGAGAGTCTTTGAGTCATATTTTGTTTCATTTATACCTTTAAATATAGTCGAGTGTCACTTAATGACGAGAATACGTTCTGAGAAATGTGTCGTGAGGCAATTTTGTCGTTGTGTGAACACCACGGAGTGTACTTACGCAAACTTAGATGGTGTAGCCTGCTACACACCTAGGCTGTATGGCACTAACCTTAGGGGACCACCGTTCTATATGTGGTCTGTTTTGACCGAAACATTGTTATGTGGTGGATGACTGTAGTTACAACTCCAAATTAGAATTTCACCACCAGTGTGTTCTGCCTTGTGTTGAAAATCTTTCAGTGCTTTAAAAAGAAAATTTATTTTAATTGAAATTACTCTCTAACAGTGCATATATACATAATTTTATAATTTAATTTCTGTATTCTTATTTTCTAGGTCACAAATGGGTACTTTTCATGGGGAAGTGGTTTAGCTACATTATCCAATATAGATATTCGAATTCCAACAGGTAAGAGTCGTTTTTTACTCAGTTTGTGTAATTGTTAGCTATCACAATCATGGATTTTCTGAGATAATTGAGCCTAACACAAAGAAAGACCTTTAAAGACAAAACATTTTTTATAATTATTTATTTGCACCGTGGATCTCATGAGCCACTGTATCACTGTGGGAATGACTGGAAATGATAAAACTTGCCTTTCACTACAAAGCGTAGCTCTTTGGACAAGTAATTTACTGCCCAAATGAACTGTTATCGGTTTATTTGCTGATTTGTGCCATTTAAATGATGGGATAGTTGATTTCTCATTTTGTTGGAGAGAAAAGCTTAAAGAGTATATGAGAAAATAGTGTTCTATCCCTGAAGAAGACTGATGAAATTTTGAAGATGTTTATGCCTCAAATACCCAATAATTTTTGTTTAAAGTGTCTGGATAATTGAATAGAATATTTTTTGACTTGGCTTGATGGTCGGTTGTCTTGGGCCTTTTCCCCTTTTATCTGTAAATCAAAGTAAGAAATTGGAGAAGATGTCTTAATAACAGCCCAAATCACTTTTATCCCAATTATCTGTTTTAGTCAGAACTGCCTTTTTCACTTGAACAAATTCAATAATAACATTAAAACTCATTTAGCTGGTTTGAGCAATTATTTCATTGCTTTCTTTACTAATGTCAGCTATTCTCATAGTTCTAAAAGTAATAAATCAAGACCTATGTATTTTAATTTTTCTTTTCTTTTCCAAAAAAACTTATGTATCAGAGAAAGGAGCTGTTGAGAATATCTTATTGCTGGAGAACAGAACTGGGCCATTGATTGTGGAACATCAGCCTTTTCTAAATGTGTTTTGATTTGATTTCACTAAGAGCATTCCATCTCATCTTTTTATCATCCTTTGTTTCATTTGTCTAGGCCAGTTAACCATGGTGGTGGGCCAAGTGGGTTGTGGGAAGTCATCTCTTCTCCTTGCCATCCTCGGTGAGATGCAGACTCTGGAAGGAAAAGTTCACTGGAGCAAGTATGTGTATTTGTAATTGGTTTCTGTTGCTCTGTCATGCACCTAATGATCTTCCAAAGGAAGAAATTAGACCACTAGATTCCCTTGTTAGGAGTCTGAGGACCCCTTAGAAATAAGCGCAGCTTTTTTTATTATTATTAAATTAGTTGAAACCTTAAATGTCATAAATCAAAAATTATAAAACAGTTTATTACAGTGGTTTAAAATAGTACAAACTAGTATGTTGCTGAGGTAGAAGTATGATTGCGGTTGCAAAGATAGATTTTTAAAGTTAAATGGGTAACAATCAAAGAAATAACAATGCATTCAATAATAAAAAGAACTTCTGGGAAACTTGCATTATTTATAAAGCTTAAATGCCAACAGAACCTTAATGGTTCAATATTCATAGAAGAAACATCTAATAAGCTTTTTCAAAGTCTTCGTAAGGGGCTGAGAAATCAGCCCTTTCTCTTCACACCTAACTAAGTTTACTAGACATTTCAAGTGTCTGCTTAGAGATATGGATGAGTCAGACTAGTGTGTTGTGTAACCTAATGACATGAAAAAGGAGGTATCTGATGTGGTGCTTCTGCTGGGTATTTGGATGGTTGTCTTGAGGTCTTATAAAGTACATTGTGGTAATAAAGTGACCCAGAACCATAATATTATATAATTATGTCATAAAGAGTAAATCGTATTTATTTAGTTTGACCTACCTAGTAGATTCTCCAGAAGCAGTTTATGAAGAAATTGGCTACAGATTATCTAAAGAAATGGATTGCAGATCAGTGGTTCTCAGTTAGGTGTGATATTCCCCTCAGGGGACATTAGGCAATGTCTGGAGACATTTTTATTGTCACACTGGGGATTGGGCTGCTACTGATCTGGTTGGTAGAGGCCAGGGATGCTGCTAAACATCCTATAAGACAGAGGGCAGCCCTTCACAGCAAGGAATTACCTGGCTCCAAATGGCAGTTGTGCTGAGGTTGGGAAACTGCTCTCCATCTACAGAAGTTCTTTCATATCATTTTGTGCCTCGCCTTGTGAGTTCCATTGTGGCTCAGTCTGCTGTTTACATATATAGACGTCTCTCAAGAATGAGTATAGATTACTTACGGGCATTTTTAGATTAAATTGTGTTTTAAACTTTAAAAAGATAAGAAAATGCTTGGATGTGAAATTTGAACTGGGAACAGAACTGTAAATCTTATTTTTGATATCACTGGTGAAAGAAGGAGGCTCAGAAATGTTGAGTGTACATTTTACTTCTGTCCAGGAAATCTAACAGATAGTAGACATGAAACTGTTTAGTTCATATCCAGCAGAGAGCTCAAGAAATAGTTGATACCTGCAGTTTGCTTCATGACAAGTTCCTGTTGATGGCTGAGGTCAGGTGCAAGTGGTGTTTGCCCTCCACTATCACCTTCCATCTGGGGTGAGTGTAGGTTTTGAGAAGCAGGTCTTACTGGCTTAAATTATATTATGTGACATGTAGGACCATAATCAGGTTATTTGGGTTTTGTTTTTACCTTGTTTCACTGTCATTAAAACAGAGAGAAAGAATGAGACAGTGACAGAAAAAGCGTGAGATTTGATTTTCATACTTCTAAGATGTTCTCTTAATCTAGTCTTCTCCAATGTTAAGACTCCAGGTTCTAGAGCCAGCCCTGATGGCCTAGTGGTTAAAGTTCAGTACTCTCATAGTTTCGGTGGCCCAGGTTCATTTCCTGGTCGTGGAACCACACTACTCGTCTGTCAGTTGCCATGCTGTGGCAGTGGCTCACATAGAAGAACCAGAAGGACTTACAACTAGAATATACAACCATGCACTGGGGCTTTGGGGAGGAAAAAAAAGAAAGAGGAATATTGGCAACAGATGTTAGTTCAGGGTGAATCTTTCCCTGCAAAAAAAAAAGAAGATATGGGGCTGGCCCCGTGGCCGAGTGGTTAAGTTCGTGCACTCCGCTGCAGGCATCCCAGTGTTTCGTTGGTTCGTATCCTGGGCACGGACATGGCACTGCTCATCAAACCACGCTGAGGCAGCGTCCCACATACCACAACTAGAAGAACCCACAACGAGAAATATGCAACTATGTACTGGGGGGCTTTGGGGAGAAAAAGGAAAAAATAAAATCTTTAAAAAAAAAAAAAGAAGAAGATACTTATTAAAAAAGAAAAAAATATTCCAGGTCCTAGTTCCGCTTGGGCCAAATTGACTCCAGTATCATCACTGATAATTATTGTCATTTTGTTAATGGGTAAATAAATGATATGGAAATTAGGAAAGTATTATATACAATCTAGTTATTTATTTTCTTGCATTCCTAAGTGGCATATCCTAAGCAAATGTACACCATTTATATCTTACTTCATAAAGGTTGTGAATTATTTTATTCAAAATAACATAGTTTATACAATAAAGCTTTAAAAGTAAAGATATCAAGAAAGAAATAAAGTTTAAATAATAATCTTACAAGTTAATAGATAGAAATGCATGTGCTGCAGTCCTGCATATTTATAAAATGTGGGCCACAGATTCCACTCTGAGCTTCATGGAAGCTGGGCAAAGAGGGAAATAAGATAAAAACATACATTTACCCAGTAGAGGTTAAGATATTTTTTTTTGTAGGAAAGAAATCTCTTCCGTGGATCCTAATAAAAGGTTGTATCTTGGCGACAGTCCCAACAGGATGAAGATGTGAGAAGGGATTTAAGATAATTCTCAGTATTTATAAAATCCCCATAATTTACAAATCATCTTTTTATGAACACTTGCCTTAATAAATAACAATCCCATCTTTTCATGGGAGACAAGACTAAGATATTCTTAAAAAAAATGCTTGGGTTGGCTTATATACACACACAACTTAAAATCTAAGCCTCTAAGCGATTCGATAAGCTAACACAAGTTCTGTTTTCTTTCAATTACAAGAATTTAATTTTCTTCCATATCTGATAAAACGTATTTTCAGATTAGCAATGTTCAGAGGATACTGACCCTCTTAATGTTATTTGCAATTACTCTTCATTTCAGAAAAAAGGTGCTGTGCCTCGCCCAATAAGAAAAGGCATAGGAATGTTAACTAGAGCAAAGCTAATTTAGAAATTATCAATATTGATAGGTTGATGATGTGCAAATGCTAAAAAGTACTTTAATTCAGCACACTGAATTGTTTGATATTTTTTAAAGCTCAAAAAAAAAAAACAACCTAAAGCAAAACAATAAACTAAATGTTACAGTAAGGCACCAAGTGCCTTGCTGTCCTTCTGTCACCACTGCATGTCTCTCTGGTTGCGTGAATTTTATTTTTAAATGTGTCCTCATAGACTGGCAGGAGCAAAGTCCGATGAAGCGCTCTGCCCTATTGCAGTGAGAAATATTTGCTTTGGGCAGGAGAGAAGGTACTGCTGCTCATCCAGGGCACACCTACCTGGGTGGAACTTGGTACACAAAGACATTTATAGGTGTTTCCTTGGAAGCTGCTGCCTTTGACCTAGTCTGACTTTGTTGTACCCCAGAAGAGAAGGGTGAAAGAAGGGATGGAGCAACTAATAAATTCTCCAAAATTGTCAGAAGGCCAAGGTTCTCACTCCTGCTTCTGGGTGTGCTTTATCATTCTGGAAAAGCAAATGTTCTGCCCCACTGAAGGTGTCCTTTCCTGTCCTTTCCCATCATGATGAACAGTAATTCCTACCGCTATCTGAAGAGCTAGAACTAAAAGACTTTCTCTGATGGAGGGTCCCAGTGAGGGAGTCCAGAACGTGTAATAATTGTGGTAATCATGTGAGACATAGCCATCATTTCTCTTTGGTTTCCTTTTCTTTTCCTTTCCCTCTCTCTAGGCCATCAACCCTCCTACTCTCAGGCCCCATCTGTCCTGATGTTCTGTCTTCTGTCTTGTTGTGATCAACTCTGTAACAGTGGGCTTATTATTCTAAACCTGGTGAATCAAAGAGTTACTCCTTTTCAGGTGACTTTGCCAGGCACGAAGGGATAATGGCACATAGAGTCGGCTGTCCTGGATCACATCTAGCTGTCCCTCTTCCAAATATCCTTCGTGATTTAAGCTTGCAAAAGTCACCCTTTCCCATTTCGGAAGGTGTATCAACCATGATACTTGGAAGTTGCTAGAATACCAAGTTTAACTTTTACTCTTGAAGGAAAATACGCTCAAATCCTGCACACAGAAATGAAATCTGATGCCATTTTCCGTCTGACCTCTTTTCTTTCTGTGTCTCCTCCGGTGCTGTTTACTACCCCATTGAGTGGTGGAGGATGAGTCTGGACATAGATCTGGTGATTTTCATGGAATCAAATAACATCTGATGTTGGAATTCACAGCTAACTCTATTTATTTATTTATTTTGAAAGAGAAAAAATAACACTCTACGATTGAATTTAATTAAACATATTACTCCATGAGAGGGTTGGGAGGTGGTCTCTAGAAGTTAAGGATTATAACATTACTCATGGAAAATGAAACAATAGGACAATTTTTTCGTTCATGGAAGATGACTACCTACCAATGGATCTATATCTACCCTTTCTTTCTTCCTCTGAAACTAGTATATGATATTCAACTTTTATTCTTAAGGGAAAATATAAACAAATCCTGCAAGGGGAAGTCTTCAGAAGTGAAGATTCGCTATATGCTGTCTTGCCTTACTCAGGACATTACTACATTAATTAAGCCTTTTTTCTTATAAAAGACTTTAATTTCTTGCTCTCCTCATTCCATTATCCTCCATTTAAAAAAAGGTCTTGCCTACTTAAAGAACTGGAGCATTTCTCTTTTTAAAAGAGGAGTCTACCCACACTTAACCCCTTTATTTTCCTTTCATTCAGAGCATTGCAATCTGGATGAAAAGTTCTCACCCCTGCCTGCCGAAATGCTAAATCATCATAATTTGTTCTCAGTCCTTCTTAACATCTCCATAGCTTTTGAAACTTCTCCCCACTGATGACTCCTTGAAACCAACTTGTTTCTTGGTTTCCATGACACTTTCACTTATTCACTTGTTAAAATTATTTATTGCACACCTATTACATGTAAATCATTGCGCTGGTTGTTGGGAATGAATAACTGAACAACGGAAGCCAGGCCTCTGTTCTCATGAAGCTTCCTCTTCGGCAGGGAAGGCCACGAGGAAGTGAGAAAATAATTTCATATTAGTTATTTGGTTAGACTTTTCTATAAGTCAGGAAGAAGAAGTACAGGGTTTTATCAGAACAAGTACTGGGTGACCTGACTGAGTCAAGTCTGTGGGGTCAACAAAGGCTTTTTTAGAGGGACGAATAAATGAATGATACTTGAACTTACGTTTTAAGGATAAGCCAAAATTGATGAGTCAAAAAGTCAAGAGCTGCAATAGAAGTGGGGATGGAAGGTGGGGAAGAATATTCTAACTCTCCCTCAGTGTTTCTGCAGTCTACTGTAGGGTCCTCTTCCTTACTCAGCCCTTAACTTATGTCTTTGACTTCAGCTAGTCTGTAAGTACTAATGACATACCAATGTACGTTTCTAGACCAGATCTTTCTTCTGATGATGTAACACCTCCTCCAAAAAGTCTTATACAGGCTGCACATTCAATACATCCAAACTGAACTTACATCCCTTATGTCTCCAGAACCTGCTTCTCCTATATCTTGGTTGGAGTGTGTCCTCACCCCTTAAAATCAGTTGGTGAGTGTCCAAGTCAGAGCTCAAAGAGTCAACCTAGATTCTTCTCTCTCTCTCGCCTGCAAGATCCAACCAGTCACTTATTCAATCACAGTGTACTCACATTTCTATTCTATTTCAATATCCCTGGTTTAAGTACTTATCACTTGTGTGAACTACTCACACTAATAACTTCCTCGCTTTTCTTCACACTATTCCAAGATTTACCTTTTTGACATGAAAATCTAATTACTTCCTTCCTGCTTATAATTTTTTTTATTGACTAGGCAAAGTATACAAGAAATATTCCAAAGACCTTTGCATACTCCATCAGGGCCTTTTATGATCTGGTCCCTGTCTAGCTTTTTAAGTGCACATCCTGCCGTTCCACCCACCCTTATCATTGTGCTCCAGTAACACTGTGCAGATAGTTCTCAAATGTATATACTCCCCTGTAATGCCCTGCCCCAGATTGGTGGCTCCATTCTTGTTTCTAGTGTCAATTCAGATGTCATCTCTCTGACAAAGTCTTCTCTTATTCTCCCAGGTGGATTGTAATGTACGTTTTCTTCTGGTCCCTCTGCACTTTGTTCAAATCCCTAATGTGGATTGGTCTCCTCACTAGACTGAGACACCCTTAAGCCAAAGGATATTGTTTTTTTATCTTTATCTGCTTCATATCTTGCCCAGCCCCTGGCTCTTTCCCATTTCCATTTGTAGAAAAACAGGACTTTTGCATCTCTCCCTCTCTCTTTTTAATCTCAACCCACAGCTACCACCCTATCTCCTTCTTTTTGTAAATAAAAAAAGGTCTTCACTCGTTCTCTCCAATTCCTCTTGTTCTCTTCTTGCCTCAGTCCACTGCAGTCTGGTTTCTACTCTGCTGCTCCACTGAAACTATTCTTATCAAATCCATCAGTGGCATCCTAGCTGTTAAATTCACTGGGCACTTTTTGATCATTATTTTACTTGACAATGTCGACGAAAATAATCCATAACCAATCTATAAATGAAAATTTGGGTGAGTTTATTCTGAGCTGAAATCTGAGGACCATGGCCCGGGGCCTTTCTTCCTGAAGGAAGAAAGGGCACCGAAGAAGTGGGGTACACAGAGTGGTTATATACCCCCAGAGAGGATGTTTCACATAGGGTTGAAATGTCCCTTTTACAGTAGTCGCGAGACTGCTCTGTCGGCACAACAATTGATGGAAATAGCAGGTAGGTCTTCTGTCTCAGTGAACGCAGCAGGGTGGCAGTCTGTTGTCTCCAGCTGAGTGGTCACAGGTGGGCGCCGCAATCAGTTCCTAGCCTAAGGAAAGATGCTTAATCTTTAAGGAAATGCCAACGTTGGGAGGGGGAGGGAAGTTGCACCTTTATCTCAAGGGCCTTTGTTCTTGCCATAGGAAATGCGCATACAGTGCATGCTCAACGGCCACAGTCAGGCCCTTTTGCAAAAAACAAAGGCAGGCCGAATTAGGTTTATACCAAATGGCTTCCTCATATACTGCAATATATCCTATTGCTTGCCATTTTTTTTGGTCATTATTTTACTTGACATTCTGGCCACTTGACATTATGGCTCATGCCTTCCTTCTTCAGAAGATCTTCTTGCTTAGTTTCCAGTAAAACTCACAGCCCAGTTTACTTCTTATCACTTTTGCCTGCTCCTCTTGGTCCCTTCATCAGATTTCTCTTCCTTAGCCATTTGTTAAATAGAGATGTTTTTCAGGGTCTGTCTTTGTCCCCTTCTTTTCTGCCTCTGTGCATACTTGGTGGACAGTCTCATAGCTTCCCATGACTTTGAGATCCTCTATCTGCTCCTGTTCCTTTGTTTGCTTGTGAAACAAACTAGAATGATTTAAGTAATTTATTGACTTTTTACTAATAAAGGATGGAATTCAAAGTCCTTGGTACCTAAGGCGTACATTATGAAGAAAAATCACCCCAAAGTTTTCATTCGTTTATCAAATCTCTCTCTTGAGCTTCAAATTCTGCTTCCTGGCCATGGCCATTTGGATATCCCTTAGGTACCTCGAACTGAATGCGTCTACTGCTGAATTCACTATCTTCCCCTGCCACATGTACTTCCTCATCTCTGTTCCCTGTCCATGGTTCCTTCCTTGATCCTTTATCCCCTCCCATCTTGTCAGTCCCCCACAATCCTAGGTATCTTTGAACATGTCCACTTCTCTTCGTTCATTCCCCATTACCCTAATTCAGGGCACTGCCTTCTTATCTCCCTTACTCTCACGGCTTCTAGCGGTCACTGTATCGCCTCCAGCCTTGTTACCTCCAATTCATTTGTTATATTTTGCAGTCGGAGTGGTATTTCTAAACCGAGCCTATCTCTCTCTCTTGTTTAAAGCCTTTCAGTAGTTTTCTGCTGCTCTGAGGAAAAGTTCAAACTCTGTAAAATGGTTATGAGCCCTTTCATTATCTGCCTGTGTGTACTTTTTAAGTTCACCATGTACTTTTCTTCACTCGCCATTTACACCCACATTTCAGCCATGCTGAGTTTACATTAGTTCCTTGTATGACCAGGATACTTCAAGGTCATTCAAGATGTATTGCAACTGCTCTGAAACACTCTTCAGCTTTTCTTCATCTAGCCACTCTTATTTATCCCTCTGGCATCGACTCTGTTGTTTACTCTGACTTGCCAAAGGTGGCTTGGGTGTCCTTCATCTCTGCTCTGAAATAACCCTTTACCTCATCTATCATAGTATTTGTTCCCTTGCCACACTCCCATAAAACAGAAAGTAGCATGAAAGAAGGAGTGAGTTTTCTTTGTTTACTGTATCTCTCGTATTTTGGCACTAGGAGTGATCAATAAATATTTTTGAATTGATATTGAATAAATATAGTTGGAATTTAATTCATAGTAATTGAAAAACTTGATGAGTTCCAGTTTGGGCTGACATTTTCAAATGTCTAATGGGCATTTCCACCTGGATGGCCAGGAGGCATATTAATCCATAATTTCTGCCACACACCTGCTCTTCCTCATCTGTTCTGTCTCTTCCTCAGATTAACTAAACCATTGAGGTCATTTATTGGCTTTTTACCACTAAAAAACTAAAATCCAAATTTCTTGGCATCTAAACCTATTGTGTGGAAAATATCACTTGGGAAATTGTGCATTTCGTTATTTTTTTATGAGCAACTTAAATCAGGGAATAATCATTATTGAGAAGGAATTTTTAGCCTGAGATTGTTTTTTCCTGCCTCTATTAACCATCTCAAGATGTCATTAGCATTGTGCAGTTGTGAAAGTCTTATCATTAGTAACTCTAAGCCAAGCATCAGTAGGTAACGTACTTAGGTAAATTTTCTCCACAAAAGCATATGCGGTTTTCCAACGTCTAATAGGATCTATTTTTGGAGCTCTTGTAGACTTTAATTATGTGTGTGTTTTTTAATTCAAGTCTTCCAGAATGATGGAATTCAACTGAATTACAGTGACGTGCCACGTAACGACTTTTCAGTCAACAACAGACTACATACAACATGGTGGTCCCATACAGCTAGTACCATGTAGCCTAGGTGTATAGTAGGGTATACTCTCTAGGTTTGTGTAAGTACACTCTGTGATGTTCACACAGCAATGAAATTGCCTAAGAATGCATTTCTCAGAACGTGTTCCCCTTGTTAAGCGACTCATGGCTGTATTAAAATTTAGAACAATAAAATGAACAGGTCCTCAGGTGTTTTTCCCCATAATATAGATTTAACTAAATTCAGTTAGTCAGACACCTCTTTTTACGTAAATCGTATCAATCAATAATTAATTATAAGCAAATGTTGCAGTTTGACTTATTGTGTGTGTCTTTCTTACCATTTCTTTAAGGCCAGGCTGTATCCAAACTTTTCAAGTGGAAAGCCCAAAAAGTATTTCTTCCTTTCATGCCTCAGCATAGCTAGCTAGGAATTTAAATAGAATTCAAATGAATTTGAATTTGAAAGGTAGGGAGGCCAAGGAGATATCAAATTTTTATACAAACTAGGAAACTATTCTAGAGAGATTATCCAAGTTTACACAGGTAGTTGGGGCAGGGTTGGGGCTAGAACCCAGGCCATTGTATGAGCCCAAATTTTGAATGGAAAAGAAGAGTGTTATCTACCCTTGGAAACTTACTAGGTAATTGTTTCCCAGCTGATAGAGACATTAAAGAAGACTGTCATTCATCTGGGTTGTCTCTGAAATTAATATCAGAAACCGTTTGGGAAATGTAGCTGTTTAACATGTCCAGTGTTAATTTTCTCTCTTACCTGATATGTGCAGACATTCATTCTATATTTATATTTCATAATTAATAAACATTGTTTGCCATACTTGCAGTGTTAATGAATCTGAACCTTCTTTTGAAGCAACCAGAAGGTATTATTTCTATTTTAATCTGCATTTGATAAGAATAACTTCCTCCCTCAGACTTTACTTGATACTCAATCTCTTACTGCTAGTCATTTTATGATGGTATACAGTTATTTATTAGAATGTGCTAGCAATAGCAGTGGTTCCCAACATTTGCAGCCTACTAAAAGAATTAATTTGCCAGACAAAATGGCCCATGGTGTCAACTGTTTTCCTCTCTGTGAGTCACACATGTCAAATTGGGCTGAAACTCAAGCTGTTCTTACCAAACATGATTTGGGTTTTCACGAAATAAAAATGCAAGAATTAATAGGTATATTGTTTATGAGTTAAACAGTGATGGGATCTGCCTATAAGCTAGAGATGGAGAGCCAAGTGCTTCATCTATTTTAAAAAACCACTTACAGGACCACGGGGCAGGGGACGCAGACATGCCAGAGGTTGGGAACCACTGTTTTACTGCACATATGGTTATCTAAGTGACTACTAGTATACTATATATTATCCTGTCTTCTAAACTCCTAAGCCGTAATGTTTCAGGATGGTTCCTGAGCATTTCTAACTACTCTTTTTCTTAATCTTACTCTCTTTTAACCTAAATTCCTTAATTAGTACTTACAGACCATGAACTAACTGTGGAAGTATGACTTTTAGGCTGACCCCTTCCCTATCCCAAGCCTGTCATCTTCTTTATCTTCAGCTCACATGCATTTTCCTAATTATTGCAAATTAAAGTCTGATGTATAGACATCTGGTAGAATTTGCAAGCCAGAAAAATGGGGGAGGGGAAAGAGGTTATCATTTTTTAAAAACAAACTCTTTCAATGTGCATTGAAATATGTAGTTTTTAAATGTGTAGTTATTTTAATATTGAAATGGACTCCTTAAGATATTATTATTTGTTTTGAAATATTTATATATTACCTTTTACCTTAAAATATGTTGTGATTAAGCCACAAACACATACTATAATTATAGTATCAAATCATGTCTTTTGTTAAGGTCTGAGTATAAAATTCATAGTTATGTAAAGTGCTTTTATTATAAAATAAAATATCTGTGGCTATTGGAGAGGATGAATTGTTATTAATCTTTTAACTACTTTTAAAATCATGGTCATTTTAGAAAATAAAATTTCAATTAAGAGTTTATACCTTAAAAGACTTCTTTAGCAATAGCAAATCAAATTTTGCGTATTGTGGGACATTTTGATTAAATTCTAATCTCTTTAGGTGGAATATTTAACCATTAATTAATAAGGGTGGTGGTTGTTAAAATGTATCTTTTAGAAGTATTCCATTTCTCTGTTTCAGGTATTTTATCAACTTTTATTTTCCTTAGTTATACTAAAATACACATACAGCACAGCACCCTTGTATAATTTTGGTGTTTTGTTTCTCTTTTCCATTTTCCAGTAGGAACAGGTATTCTGTGGCTTATGCAGCTCAAAAGCCTTGGCTATTAAATGCTACGGTAGAAGAAAATATTACCTTTGGAAGTCCTTTCAACAAACAAAGGTATTTTTGAATGTATCAAATTTAGAACTACAATGAGCAACTATTTCTAATCCTTATGTTTGGTCCTCAGTTTCTGGAACCTTTACATCTGGGATATACTTTCTTCTCCACTTGCCTTACTTCCATCCCATGGCCGGGCCTTTTGAGTCATCTCTTTTAGGAGAAGCCCCATTGGAAGTTTCAGCCCATCCTAGACACTTATTGAGAGCAATTTATACACCAAACCTAACAGCCGAAATTGAAGCATGTATGTATGTGAGGAGGGCTGGGGTGGGTGGTGCTGAGGTTATTGGTAAGCAGAAGGAAAAATCCAAATAAGGAGCAGAAGGAGAATTAATTGCGGAAAGAAGAGGGACAATGTGGGATCTGACGGGTCTAGAGCAGCCATAATATGCCGTCTGTCAACCATCTTTTAAATACCCTGGAGCATACAAAGGTATGACCCTTTCGGTAAGCTCCCTCACAAGGGTGGATCTTAAGACCCTAAGCTGGGTCTTGCAAGTTAAGGACAATTAGGTCGGGGGAGAGGCGTGAGCAAAGGGGAGGGAAGAGAAAAGCAAATAGTGTCGAATTACATGGGATCTTTGGGAGTCTGGAAACAAACCAAACAGACAGGGATTTGTATATGTTGATAGTGGGATACTAGATTGTACAGGAAGGCTGAGATGAGATAGTGGAGGGCCTCAAAAGCCAATTGGATTTAATTCTGTGCATTCTAGGCAGGCAAATCAAGTTTTAGAAAGCAGAATAACGAAATACATATGATGTTTAATCTGGAAGTGTAATGGCAGATATATGTGGGATGAATCTGAATTAAGAGCAGGGAGACATTTAGAAGTTTCTCGGGATAACTATGCAGGCATGCAGTGTCGGTTGCCTGCCTTTGGGGGGAACTGAAGAATTGGAAAAGAGGTGGTTGACAGAAAACCATTCTAGAATAAGAATGGACAAATAAGGGCAGAGAGAAGAAGAGGGAAGAATCAAGAATGACTTGAATGTTTTAAGACTAGGTGATTGAGGAAATGAAACCATTGATATTTTTCCCAGCGCTCCAAATGCCCATGCTTCCCTATACTTCCCATCCATCCGATTTCCAGTCCCAGCCTTAGATCAGTTTGAGTACTGTCAGTGCTCCTCATCTTCCGTTTCTCCTCAGTGGAGCATGCACGACAGTCTGCACAGTTACCCACGCACACCTCTACTTCAGGCTGGGTGAGCCTCCTGTTGGCCCTCGTTTGCACCATGAACTTGTTCACCTTCAGGTGAACCTTACGCTTCCTTTTCCTCATTTTCTTCCTGGGGAATTATGCCTCACCTTTCTGGATACAACTTACAAGTTGCCTTCTCTGCAAAGGTGTCAATGACTTCTCAGAGTGGTCAATCATTTCTTCCTATGTATTCTAGGAGCACGGTTGTACCTACCTATCTATAGCACCTAACAAAATGCATTTTTATTGTATGTTTCTGTATCAGTCTTCTGCCCCACTTACTAGTTTTATAAGAGTGGGAACAAATATCTATTTATCTTTGTATCCACAAAATAATGTAGAGGCTGGTTGTTCAATAAGTGTTTTATTTCAGCTTCTAAGATACTGCACCTGGGACTTAGTTCATGGGCAGTATATTAATAGTGATCCAAAAATTCAAAATTGTTTCTCCCAAAGGTACAAAGCTGTCACAGATGCCTGCTCTCTTCAGCCGGATATTGACTTACTACCATTTGGAGACCAGACTGAAATTGGAGAGAGGGTGAGTTATATATAGTTTCTTTAAACAATGAACAAAAATCTAGTAAACTCTTTTGGTTGTCTTTAACCTTTAAGGAAGCATAATGAAATCTGAGAATTCAGAAATTGTTGTTTTCCTGGTGACAAGTTCCAGAAACAGGAGCACAGGAGCTCTTTGATGCCACTCTCCCCTAAGTATTTGCTGAGTAACCACCATAGACAACATTTTGCTAGTCACTCAAGAGTTCTCAAGGAGAATAAAGCAGTCCCTGCCTTTGATCAAATGTATTTCTACCTACTTGGAGTTGACTTTAGATTGATCTGGAAGCTGGGATCGCTTCCGACAACTTCCAGTCTTGTCAACATCTATTTATTCTTGTTAAAAAGTGTTCTTTTTTCTTTATACGTATAAACATTGACGTCTTACTATTTTGACCCCTGAAAAATATTTATACCTGTATGTAATCTTTATAACAACTTTGGCTAGAATTTTTAACCCTTCTAGGTGTCAAGTACTGGGCAATAGCCTTTATATGCACTGTCCACTTTTGCAGCAAACCTGTTGTGTGGGTGTTATTGTTATCTGCATATTGCAGCTGAGAAAACTAAGGCTGAGAGAGGCTGAAGGACTTGTCCGGTCACAGAGTTACTGGTGCAGCTCCAATTAGTCTGAGTCTGTAGTTGGCGTTCTTAATGACTATTCTTTATTGCAGCATAGTATAGTGTTTAAGAGCATGAGCTGAACTTCTCTGAGCCTTGGTTTCTACATGTGTAACACAAGGAGAACAATACCTACCTTTTGGAACTGCCGTGACGAATAACAGAAATAAGGCCATTGGCGCAAGCCTGGCACGTACTGGGTGCTCAATAAATACTAATGTTTAAAAAATTTATAATTAGTACTTGATTAGTAAAGAATATTGCTGTATAATTTTGTTGAACATAACTTGTAATATCAAATTTAAGAGGTATATGTTAAGTAAACTACAGACACAATTCAAGAAACTAGTAACAATTTTGCAATTGCCTGCAGTCTTCAGCACTCACTGAGGGTGCGTGTTAATTCTTTCCTGCAGCAGAGCTCCCTATCAGAGTGAAAGAAGGATTAATGTTATCCATCAAGAATTGCCTTAATATAATTCAAGTATTGACCAGTAGACACATTTCATTTTATCTTACCAACGTTGTCACAATTTAATTAATAAATTACCATTAATTTAACATCTTTTTAGAGAAGTTTCTATTTTAAAAGGGATGGAAAAAGTGGATGTTTATGGATATTTCTTCTCTAGGGCATCAACCTGAGTGGAGGTCAGAGGCAAAGAATCTGTGTGGCACGAGCTCTCTATCAAAATACCAACATTGTCTTGTTGGTAAGAATATGGCCTTTCCTTTTATTTCTATTTTCTTTTTCCCTCTGGACAAATGAGTCTTCAAAGACACAAGGCAAGGAACTTAAGGAAAGGTGGTTTAACTTGTGAAATCATAGAAAATATAGGGGAAACAAATCTTCACAAATCAGATGAGCATGTGAAGTTGAGAGTTGGAGGAATCCAGACTGGTGTCCAAGAGACTGAGGTGTCCTCAATGGTGGCTTATATGAATTTCTTAATCACGAGGATTCTTAATGAAGTGTGGATGGTGCTGGTTCAACTGGACAGGATCATAGATCTTCTTATTTGTATTTGTTGACAAAGAAAGAAGGGTGGGAAAATACACTCTTAGCGGACATGGGGTAAGTGAGCACTGTGCTGCATTCTAGTGGTATGCAGCTTAGGCTGTGGCTAAGATTTTTCTGCGTTATTTCCCCCCTCCCTCCTTCCCTTCCTTTCTTCCTTCCTTCCAGCCTTCCTTCCTCCTTTCCATCCACCAATATTTAGTGAACATCCTCAGTACCATCTTCTGTACCGGGCAGAGGACACAAAGAAGAAAAAGACATTGCTCCTATCTTTAAGGATCTTATTTATACGAATAATGGCTTGAATGGTTTTACATTTTGCTGTAATTAAACTTTATCACAGTAGCCTTCACACAATATCAAAGGCAAATGAAAACATCTTAATTATGTATCAAGTACATTAGTCATTTTTGAAGCTTTACAGCACCTACAAATGTGCTGTATCGGTAAATATATTTATAAGAAGTTATTTCCAGAATTTATCCATTCAATAATATACTACTTAAACATAGTAATTGAATATAAGAAAGAATATATTAGTGAGAAGTGAATATATGTATATAAAAAAATAATATATTCTTGAAAATGAAGAATTGACCATTCATTGAAGTGGCAATTTGTCAGTTATCGTGCGTTCTTTAAAGGAAGTATCTCCTCAAAATGTTAAGATACAAACTGAATCTTGAGGAATGATTCCCAGTCCATCAAACCTAGATTTTTATTAAGTTATATGAAAGGTTACATTTGACTATAATGCCAAGATGCCCCCTAATGAGGCCATGTTATATAAATGATAGCAACCATTTTCAGGGACTGTCTGTGACCTAGACTTGATTCTAAATACTTTACACACTAGCTCACTCAGTTCTCACAATAACCCTATTAAGTTTGGCATTGTTGTTATTATTACTACTGTTTATAGTTGAGGATACTGAAGCTTTGGGGGATAATTTATCCAAGGTCACACAGCTAGTATTATAGTGAAGCAAGGATACAAACTCGGGTGGTCTGGTTCCAAAGCTTGTGTTCTTAACCACCATGCTCTTCCTTATTAAGAGATCCCTAAAAGTCGCTAAACTCTCACTGTGATGCTTTAAAGGGAATAGCACAGTATTAGTCCGCTACCTTTATTCATAAGAAAATAATAATAAGATAACACTTTTAAAACACTTTGCAGAGACACTTACATTATTTTATTTGATCTTTGCAGCAATCCTCTGTGCTCTCTGACAGGTATCTTTATTATCCCCATTTTACAAATGAAGTGATTGAGTTCGAAAAATTGCCCGGTGCCAGAGATCTACTCTCTTAGCTACTTTCAAGTGTACAAACAGTAGTATTAGCTATAGTCATGGAGCTGTACATCACATCCTCGGGACATATTTATCTTACAACTGGAAATTTGTACCTTTTGATACCTTCACTCATTTTCCCCACCCCCCCACCCCCTACTTCTGGTGACCACCAATCTGTTCTCTGTATCTATGACTTCAGTTTTGTTGTGCTTTGTTTTGATTTGATTCCACATTTGGTGAGATCATATGGTGTTTGTCTTTCCCTGACTTATTTCACTTAGCATAATGCCCTCAAGGTCCATCCATGTTGCCGCAAAGGGCAGGATTTCTTTCTTTTTATGGCTGAATAATATTCCATTGTGTGTGTATATATATATATATATATATATATATACATATATATATGACATTTTCTTTATCCACTTATCTGCTGATAGACACTTAGGTAGCTTCCATACCTTAGCTATCGTACACAGTGCTGCAATGGACATGGGAGTACCGGTATCTCTTTGAGACAATGATTTTGTTTCTTTTGGATAAATGCCCAGAAGTCAGACGTGGAATTGCTGGATCATATGGTTGTTCTATTTTTAAATTTTTGAGGAAACGCCATACTATTTTCCATAGTGGCTGCACCAGATTACATTCCTATCAACAGTGCACAAGAGTTTTCTTTTCTCCACATTCTCGTGAAGACTGGTTATTTCTTGTAATTTTTGATAATAGCCATTCTCACCGGTGTGAGTTGATATTTCATGGTGGTTTTGATTTGTATTTCCTAGATGATTAGTGATATTCAGGACTTTTCCATGTACCTGTTGGCCATTTGTATGTCTTCTTTGGAAAAATGTCTATTCAAATCATCTGCCCATTTTTTAAATCAAATTTTTTTGCTATTGAGTTGTATGAGTTATTTATTTTGGCTGTTAACTGCTTATCAGATAAATGATTCAAATATTTTCCCCCATTCCATAGGTTTCATTTTCATTTTGTTGTTGAGTTCCTTTGCTGTGTAGAAGCTTTTAGTTTGATGTAATCTCACTTGTTTATTTTTGCTTTTGTTGCCTTTGCTTTTGATATCAAATCCAAAAAATCATTTCCAAGACCAATGCTAAGGAGCTTATCCACTAAGTTTTCTTCTAGGATTTTTATGTTTTCAGGTTTTACATTCATGTCTTTAATCCATTTTGAGTTGACTTTTGTGTATGGTGTAAAATAGGAGTCCAGGCTTATCCTTTTGCATGTGGCTGTCCAGTTTTCCCAACACCACTTTTTGAAGAGACTGTGCTTTCCAAATTGTATATTCTTGGCTCATTTGTTGTAAATTAGTGAACCATATGTGCATGGATTTATTTCCGGGCTCTCTATTCTGTTCCATTGATCTATATGTCTGTTTTTATGCCACTAAAATAGTGTTCTGATTACAACAACTTTGTAATACAGTTTGAAATCAGGAAGTGTGATGCCTCCAGCGTTGTTCTTCTTTCTCAAGATTGCTTTGGCTATTTGGGTTCCTTTGTGGTTCCATTACAAATTTTAGGATTGTTTTTTCTATTTCTGTGAAAAAATGCCAGTGGATTTTCTTTCTTTCTTTGAGGAAGATTAGCCCTGAGCTAGCATCTGTGCCCATCTTTCCTATACTATATGTGGGATCCCTGCCACAGCACGGCTGGATAAACTGTGCATAGGTCTGCACCCGGGATCTGAACCAGCAAACCCTAGCCTGCCAAAGCAGAACTCATGAACTTAACCACTATGCCACTGGGCCAGCCACTGCCATTGGAATTTTGATAAGCATTGCATTGAATCTGTAGATTGCTTTGGGTTATGGACATTTTAACTATATTAATTCTTCCAACCCATGAGCATGTAATATTTTTCCAATTATTTGTGTCTTTTTCAGTTTCTTTCACCAATATCTTATAGGTTTTAGTGTAAAGATCTTTCATGTCTTTGGTTAAATTTATTCCTAGGTATTTTATTCTTTCTGATGCAAATTTAAATGGGCTTGTTTTATTAATTTCTATTTCTGATTGTTATTGGTGTATAGAAATGCAACTAATTTTTGTATATTGATTTTGTATTCTAAACTTTACAGAATTTCTCAGTTCTAACAGTTTTTTTGGTATAGCTTTAGATTTTCTTTATATAATATCACGTCATCTGCAAACGAAGATAGTTTTAGTTCTTCCTTACTGATCTGCATGTCTTTTATTTCTTTTTCTTGCCTAATTGCTCTGGCTAGGACTTCTAGTATTATGTTGAATAAAAGTGGTGAGAATGGGCATCCTTGTCTTGCTCCTGATCTTACAGAGAAAGCTTTTAACTTTTCACCATTGAGTATGTTAGCTGTGGGCTTGTCATATATGACCTTTATTGTGTTGAGGTACATTTTCTTTATACCTACTTTATTGAAAGCTTTTATCATGAATTGATGTTGAATTTTGTCAGATGCTTTTTCTGCATCGATTGAGATGATCGTATGATTTTTATCCTTCATTTTGTTAATGTGGTATATCACATGGATTGATTTGTGGATGTTGAACCTTGCATCCCCAGAATAAATCCCACTTGATCATGGTGTAAGATCCTTTTAATGTATTGTTGAATTTGGTTTGCTAATATTTTGTTGAGGATTTTTGCATCCATGTTCATCAGGGATATTGGCCTGTAGTTTTTTTTCTCATAGTAATTTCTCTGGTTTTGGTATCAGGGTAATGCTGGCCTTACAAAATGAGTTTGCAAGTGTTCCATTCTCTTCTATTTTTTGGAAGAGTTTGAGAAGGATGGGTATTAATTCTTCTTGAAATGTTTGGTAGAATTCACCAGTGAAGCCATCTGGTCCTGAACTTTTGTTTGTTGGGAGGTTTTTGATTACCGATTCAACCTCCTTACTAGTAATCAATCTGTTCAGATTTTCTGTTTCTTCATGATTCAGTCTTGGTGGGTTGTTTGTTTCTAGGAATTTGTTCATTTCTTCTAGGTTGTCTGGTTTGTTGGTGTATGATTGTTTGTAGTAGTCTCATGACCTTTTGTATTTGTGTGGAATCATTGTAATGTCTTCTCTTTCATTTGTAATTTTATTTATTTGAATCCTCTCTTTTTTTCCCTTGGTGAGTCTAACTAAAGGTTTGTCTGTTTTGTTTATCTTTGGAAAAAAACAACTCCTAGTTTCGTTGAACTTTTCTCTTGTCTTTTTAGTCTGTATTTCATTTACTTCCACTCTGATCTTTGTTATTTCCTTCCTTCTACTAATTTTGAGCTTAGTTTTTTCTTCTTTTTCTAATTCTTTGAGGTATAAATTTGAATTGTTTATTTGAGATCTTTCTTTTTTCTTAATGTAGACATTTATTGCTAGAAACTTCTCTAAGAACTTTTGCTGCATCCCATAGTTTTGATACATTGTGTTTCATTTACATTTGTCTCAAGATATTTTTTGATTTCTCTTTTGATTTCTTGTTTGACCCATTGGTTGTTCCATAGCATATTGTCTGATCTCTACATATTTGTGAATTTGCCAATTTTCTTCTTGTGATTGATTTCTAGTTTCATATCATTGTGGTCAGAAAAGATGCCTGATATGATTTCAGTCATCTTAAATTTATTAAGACTTGTATTGTGGTCTAACATATGATCCCTCCTAGAGAATGTTCCATGTGCACTTGAAAAGAATGTGTCCTGCTGCAGTTGGATGAAATGTTATGTGCATGTCTGTTAGGTTCATCTGGTCTACCATGAATATTAAGTCCAATGTTACCTTATTATTGATTTTCTGTCTGGATGATCTACCTATTGTTGAAAGTGGAGCATTGAAGATCCCTATGGATTATTTTTTTTGCTATCTATTTCTCCCTTTAGATCTGTTAATACTTGCTTTATATATTTAGACACTCTGATGTTGAATGCATATATATTTATAATTCTATGTCTTCCTGGTGGATTGACCCTTTATCATTATGTATTGATCTTCTTTGTCTCTTGTTACAGTTTTTGACTTAAAGTCTATTTTGTCTGATATAAGTATAGCTACCTCTGAATTTTTCAGTTCAGTTCTTGTATTCTTCAGCTCTATTTCTTTTTGGTACTTCATAATGTTTTCTATCTATTTGTTGAAATTCTCACTTTGTTCATGTATTGCTCTCCTGAACTCGGTGAGCATCTTTAAGACAGTTATTTTGAGCTATTGGGTAAATCACCTATCTCCATTTCGTTAAGGTTGACTTCTGGAGATTTATCTTCTTCTTTTGTTTAAAACACATTCGTTTCTTCATTTTCCTTGACTCTCTGTGTTGATTTTTGCACCTTAGATAAAACAGCCACCTCTCCCAGTTTTGATAGACCTGTGTAGGAGATGAACCTTATCAATCAGACTGGCCTGAGCTCCTGGTTGCCTCGCCAACCTTTGTGATTGTCCAGGTTGCTCTCTTTGTTCTTAGTGGCTCCCAGTAGTTGAATGTGTGCCAAGACCCATCAGTGTCCCAAAGAGAAGGATCACGGTCATAACTTAGATGCAGTCTGATTATAAGCTGGACCCTTAGGCAGTAGCTGGGAAAGCCCTAGTTGAACCCCTTCCAGCAAGAAACTGGGAGATGGCCATTTTTGACTGCTCCCTCTGTGCTGAGCCCAAGTTCATAGCCATGCAGATTGCTCTTGCGCCTGTTTAAAAACTACTTCTTTGTTTTCTATGGTACTGGGGGGCTTATAAATGCAAGCTCCATTGGCTGTCAGAGCCAGGTGATTTGGGGGCCTGTCCTTTGGGTGGCAGCTGTAAAAAGTGGGGCACTAGATGTGTGGATAAACTCCTTTCAGAGAGGTAATGCTCACTTGGTTTTATTGTTGGAGCAAGCGGGAGAGAGAAGGTGGAGGAAGTGCCCACCAGCTTTTTGGGCTCTGAAGAGGATCAAGATCAGCACCTAGCTGTGTGCTAATTAGAAGCTGGACTCTCAGGCAGCAACTTGTAAAGTATACGTCAAATTCCTTCAGGAGAAGACTGGGAGATGGGCGTTTTTTGCATGCTACCTGTGCACTGAGCCCTGGGGCAACAGCAGTGGTAAAGTCTGCTGACAACTGCTTCTTTGTTTGCTGTAGTCTTAGGGACTCAGTGAACAAAAGCCCTGTTGACTTTCAGAGCTAGGTGATTTGGGAGCCAGCCCCTTGGTTGGCAGCCTTAAAAGTTGGGGTGCTAGACATTGGGTCCAAACCCTTTGCCCCTCAGGGAGATGCTGAGAGTTGTGGGTTCCTTCTTGATTGTGTGGTCCTGTGCTGGGGACGCGGTTTATGGTGAGAGGGCATCTCAGCCTTTCCTACCTATTTTGATGTGGATGTTTTCTCTGTCCCCCAAAGTGTAGGAGTCACTCAACCAGTTTCTGGATTTCTTTCAGAGGGACTTGCTTGTTGTGTAGCTGTACGTTCAATGCTGATAGGCGGGAAATTCAGAGCCTCTTAGGTTGCCATCTTGGTCTGGAGTCTAAGCCTATTTTTATTATCTAAAATTCAACTACTACAATTATCATTTCATTCTTTGTTTTGGTTTATTGTTATGGGTTGTTGAGTAATGTCAGTTTTTGAACTTGAAGACTCTATACATAAGAATTCAAACCACTTCGAATATTGTTATTTACTTTCTAAATTATTTTTAAGGTGAAAAAGAAAATAAAAGCTTCATTTTAATTTAATATCTCTTTTCAACAATTTAAAGTTATTCAGGGTCTGTTTATCATAAGTTGGATTTGAGGGATAATTTGCCCGCAGTTATTAGTATATCTACTTTCTAGAGGAATTGAGTTACAATAAAGAGTCGAGAAAATTTTTATCACCTCTCCATTTTGCTGGTTGCAGGATGATCCGTTCTCTGCCCTGGACATTCACTTGAGTGACCACTTGATGCAGGAAGGGATTTTAAAATTTCTCCAAGATGACAAAAGGACACTCGTTCTAGTGACCCACAAATTACAGTATCTAACACATGCTGACTGGGTAAGCATTTAAAAGAACTTTTATTAATTTTTATATTACAGTCATATGCAAAATAGGGACGTTAATAAATGCTTTCTGAGATAAAGGTATTTCATTTGTCCAATTAAGGCTTTTTGTCACAGTTCTGCGAATATGTCCTTTCCTTAGATCATAGCCATGAAAGATGGAACTGTCCTAAGAGAAGGGACTTTGAAGGACATTCAAACAAAAGACGTTGAGCTTTATGAACACTGGAAAACACTTATGAATCGGCAAGATCAAGAATTAGAAAAGGTAATTGCTCATAGTTCAGAAGAGTTCATGGTCCAGGTCAGAAGAGTCAGAAACATACTGTGTAATTACTAAAAATGCTTTTAAAGAAGTATTACCATTTAATGTGTGATAATGGTCCTCATCTGAAATCCAAAATAATTCTATATTTATATTGTTAATGAATAGGCTACTTTGAAATTATCAAATTCTAATGATATCTTTTGGATGAAGTGTTGTGGGGTCTTTAGAGGATTTTTATTTGAATTTGAGCCATATTGCAATTATATATGTGTTTAAAACTTAAACTACTTGCATGGTGTTTCCTCATTGTATCTTATTTTTCCTTATGTATATCTTATTTTTCTTATCTGTAATATGAGAGTATTTTCACTCACCACCTACAAATGGAGGGTCATGGGCAAAACAAAATCCAAGATAGTTTAGAAAGAAGGAAGAGCTGCGAGCTGTGGATAAAGTTGTAAAGCATGTCTGGGATAGGGTTGGGGGTGAAGGAAGGTGGATCAGAGGGAAATAACAAAATTTTATATTTGTATAGTTGTTAAAGTCCACAAAGTCTTTTTTACACTATCTCATTTAATTCCCACAAAACCCCGGAAATAAGCAAAGAAAATACAAGAAATAAGCAAAGAAAATATGATCTCACTTCTACAGATGAGAAAACTGAGGATCAGAGATCCTAAGGAACTTGCATGACTTGCCTAAAGTTCTGCAGCATGTAGAATAAGAAGTCCTACTAGCTGGACATGGATATCTATGTATCAATAGACAGAAGAAAAGAAGTCAGACAAACCCTGGGATTCCTTTGTCTTCTGTGGATTTGCCAAAGATCTCAAAAGCAAACCGCATAAGGAAGAAAAGATAAATGTAACAATCTTTAAGTAGAATACGACGAATCACAGAACTATTGAAATGCGGATATTTGTCAAAAATATTACAAAGTGCAACCAGCAAGTGCCCACTTAGGAACTATATTGCGAGAAGCTTGATTAAGAACTTACTGGGGATGGCTCCAAATGACATTTTTTCAGTGATCTAGATGCCAGGGACAAAAGAACATGACGTAAGCTTAAGGAGTGGGACCATTTATGGTTTACTTTGGAAAGAAGATCTGGAAGAAAAAAAAAAGAGAGAGCTGTTGGCTTGATCTTTTAGTAATACTGACTGTTAATCAAGCCAGGAAGAAAGTCCATTAAGTTGTATTTAGAAATGAAGTGATCACTTGAGATAGCATGGCTCTGTAATTAAAGACACATTACAGGGTTGTAAATCAACTGAGGGAGATATGGAGCAAGTTAGGGTGTGGACAGGGAGAATCCAGTTGTGAGGTGGAATGGTGGCCATTAGAAGCCGAGTGAACCATGCACCTGTCCAGAATCCTTACCTTGGATGGAGGGAGGTTACTGAATTCATCTGAAGCCAGAGACAGTCACACCGTGGGGCAAGACCACTGGAACACTTTGGGGACGTTTTTGTAGGAACAGCTTCTTGTTTAATTTGTTATATGTCAGGCTCAGGTGTTTTCCTGGAGCACTGGTTCTCAACCAGGGCTAATTTTCCCTTCTAGGGGACATTTGGCAACATCTAGAGACATTTTTGGTTGTCACAACTGGAGGGCAGAGGTGCTAGTGGCATCTCTGAGTAGAAGACAGGGATGCTGCTAAACATCCTACAATGCACAGGACAGCCCTCAAAATAAAGAACCAGAAGAGATCACGCAAGCAGAGAAGGAAGGTGAAACTAGAGTACCCACAAAACATCCTGTGGCAGGGCTTTAGACAGAACTGTTGGTTTAAAGGTTAAGGGGTAAACAGGAAAGAATATGTTAAAAGGAAAGAAATGAAAGCTACAAGAAGGAGAAGGATTTTAATTTTTTAACTGATTTAAATATTATTAAAAATCCTAACTTGGATTGCATCAAGCATTATCTTCATAATGTTATTAAGCATAATAAGCTAGCATCATTTGGCATTTCTTCCCCAGCTTTCACCTTGACCCAACCCATAGCAGGCGTTCAGTAAATATTTATTGGGTAAATGAAACTAAATTTGTATTTACTTAATCCAAATATCAACACAACTTAAAATATTTAACCTTTCAGCTTAGTCTGAGCATTTACTCGTAAAAAAATATGACTTTAAAGATTTTTTTTAAAAAAATCTTTTGCTCACAGAACGTGGAGGGTTGAACAAGAACCAAATCCTTCCATTTGTCAATGTGCAGGTTCATTTCATCCCATTACACTATACATAGAGGCTAGGAATCCTCTTTAATTCTATGTTTTATCAAATCTCATGTACAAGTATTGGTCTTCATAACCATAGGCAAAATTAAGAGTTAATGTGAAATTGTCTCTGAAAAAGTACTAGTCAAGAGACTCTTTCACTTTACTCTTTTTTTAAACAAGAATCTGGAAACAATAGAGACTTCTAGAATAGCAAGTCTAAATCACACGTGTTATATGAGGCCAAAAGAAAAAAAACAAAAGAACAAGATCACTACCTAGAGACTAATCACCAAAGGTTTATTGGTTTATTGATGTTAGAGTCAAACAATGATTTTAAATTTTTTCTGTATCATCATATACAGGAAGCCCCCCATTTTCCATAGCTTCCAGAAGTTTGTGGGTCAGTTGTTTGGAACTCAGAATTCATTTCCCTGCAGAAACAGGCATATGGTTAGTTTCCCAGGCTGTCCTGCAGAAGCTGATTTAACTCACAATGTAACTGCACTGATACTGCTACTCCAACCCTGAGGCCAAGGGGGCAGGGGTGTTGGAAGCAGAGGAGGGCCAAAAACAAACTGCTTCTCCTTTTCTTGAGCACAGGACAAGTCTGGAGCAACGGTTAAAAATTCGCAAAGTTTGTTTTTGGCACCTTTCTCTTCTCTTTCTGCGTATTTCCCATACTAGGGCTTTCTCCTAAATTGCTAGGCACCTAAGTACTCACCTTTCCCAGTGGCTTCAAAGTTACCTACCTTCCTTCCATTCCTCTCAAAGTCCATTTCTTTCATGCAGCTCCCTTAGCGAGATGCTACAGAAACTCATTCTGATTTAATAACTCATAAGAGTAGTGGATGACTGACAGCACTTCAACCAGCCTAAAACTACATGCATTTTTAAAGTAAGGTACTTATTAACGTAAATAAATCTTTAGTTAGAGAAATGACAGGGGGTATCTGAAAGTGACATAAAAATAAAACAAGGAGCAGTGATGAAACTAGAGGAGGTGTCCCCCCACCCCTGGGGTCATCTCCATCACATTGTTACTACTTTTCCTGGCTTCTTACTGCCCTACACCTTTGAGCTCTGAAGCACTGCCTACAAACCTCAGCCATCGCCTCCAAACTGCTCCTATGACAGGAGCTGTGGATCTCTAGGATGAGCAGAACGCTGAGACTGGTAAAGGTACCGAACGCTTGGTACATGGGGGTCGCTGATAGGTAAGTCAAAACCTATCTGTGGCCATGAGCTCCTTGAATGATAGCACAATGTTTACTGCAGGATATGGAAGCCGACCAAACAACTTTAGAGAGGAAAACTCTCCGAAGAGCCATGTATTCAAGGGAGGCTAAAGCCCAACTGGAGGATGAAGATGAAGGTAGATCTTTTTCTTATATCTGAAACACTAAAGCAGGGAATAGGGTTTGAGGGTCCTACCTTGGCAATTGATGTGGGAGTGTGCCAGCGAGGAATGACAAGCCACTTTGCAGGGGGGAGAAAGCCAAATCAAATACATAAGCATTTGATTTCATTTTCAGTATTGGAAAATAAAAAGAAGAGGAGTGAAAGAAAGGTATATGTAATCAGTCAACAGGCATCTGGAGGGGTTTCCCATAGTTTGTTTTAGTATATTTGTGCTGTGTGTGAGAGCGAGCTGGAAGGATGGGTGCTAGTTTGTAAACAGATCTACACCTTTGTTCAGATCAATTGGAAAGGTCTAGTAAAATGACCAAATCAAGTTATTAATAAAATGTCAATCTTTCAAAAATAAACAGTAAATGGGGGCCGGCCCGGTGGCTCAGTGGTTAAATTCACACATTCCACTTTGGTGGCCCGGGGTTCCCCAGTGCGGATCCTGGGTGTGGACATGGCACTGCTTGGCAAGCCATGCTGTGGTAGGCATCGCACATATAAAGTAGAGGAAGATGGGCATGGATGTTAGCTCAGGGCCAGATTTCCTCAGCAAAAAGAGGAAGATTGGTGGCAGATGTTAGTTCACAGTTGATCTTCCTCAAAAAACAAAAATTAAAAAATAAACAATAAATGGGGAATAGAAAATACTGTTTTGAAATATTTATACTTGAATCATTCTGTGAGTCCTCATGGGGTTTTCATGACAATATAGCAGTGAAAGTCAAGAGAATTAGAAAGCCATTTGTTTCAGTTTTCGGTATCTAGTAAGTTATAGTGGGGAAAAATGATTTACTGGGAATTTGAGGAATGAGATGAAATAATTACATTTGTTGCCAAGAAGTTTGTAAGATAAATCACACTGAAGTCTGTAGAGTAAATGCATTCTCCTTCATTTCTCCTATACACTTTTTGCTTAAGATTACATTTCTACAAGCCACTTAATAGAAACAGAGAAAATTATAGTTTCAAGCCATAGGACACCAAAATGTACTACCTTTACATTTCAGATGATAACTATTCAGTGTTTCAACAAATACTCTTTGAGTAAATGAATGAATGAATGACTGGATCGTGCACTTCAATTTCTTACATTTAAAAATGTTTTTAAAAAGTCTTTGGTCCTATAAACAGACCTCAGCTTCTAGAATTCAAAATTCATTGTTTCTAATGCACTCTAAAACTGGATTCGTGCCAGTTACTCTCTCCCGTGTTCCAGTGGTGAGTATACCACTTGAGATGCTGGCTCTGCCCTGGGCTTGCTGTGTTAATCCATTTTCTCAGGTGCAAGATAAGACAATAATACTTTCCTTATAAAGTAAAATGAGGTGGTGTATATGAAAGAGCCCAGTACAGTACGTATTATCTACCAGGTTGCTGCTCCTGGCCCTATCATTACGTCTGTTCAAGCCACCAGGAAGGGAAGAAGAAAAGTCATTGCACATATTATAGCTACTACTTACCATTGGCCACTTCATCCCATGGACAGATTAGCTACTGGGAAAGTGAAGAAATGTTGTTTTTAGCTTGACAGCCATAGATAAGTTGAAATTTCAACTAATATCAAACAGAGAATGGACACTGGGAAAACAGCTAGCAGTCTACAAATGTCCACCTCTTTGTTCATGGCAGATTTCAAATCTTGTCCTTCTCACATGTTGAACCCATCCTTACCAAAGGAGAGATTATCTGAGACCTGTTCATTTACTGCATTCAGCTCAAATCATAGGATCCCTGGCGATGCTTAGACTTCCCATTATATCCATATTTAGATCTGTGTGGTCTGATAACCTATAAACCAAAGACATGTTTTCTACCCTTCCTCCCCACAACCTACTCAATATACAGCAGTGGAGTACATACAGGATAACTGCCGTGGAAACTGCCTTTGCAAAAGGAAAGGATGGGAAATGCACAACGGCCACTGCACCATAGAAATGATCGAATTTCGCGGTCAGGAAATGCCAAAATTCCCTGTCCTTGTAATGGAGTTCTTAGGATAGCCATCTTGGAGTTTCCAGATGGTTTATAACATCTGAGAGGAAATCCCTGCCCATTGTCCTTTGTCCTCTAGCTTCTCCCTCTGGAAGGCTTTTCCTTGCTCATGTTCCTCCATGACCACATCTAAAATGGGCCCTAGCAAGCATGGATTATGCCCTCTTGGGCTATGCACAAATTTCAGAGCCTATTTCCTCCTGGTGCAGTTTTACAAATCCAGAAATTTAGAGTTCAAAAAATGATAAATGTTTGCAGGCCAGACATGGTTTTATTGGCGGCATAATTCCTTCCATAACTTGGTAAACTTCTAGTCTATACTTTCAGTCAATTTTGATGTGTAATAAATCAGCAAATTATCTCATCTAGACACAGATTTTGTTTATTTTTTCACTCATTCATTCATTAATTCATTTTTCACTTAGTTTTTATGGTTTTTCTCTGCTAAAAGCATTTAAAATTTCTAAGACTAATACTTGTATTTCTATAAATTTGAAGGAGATTTTTATATGTTTTTTTGTGAGATAATACAAATTCTTTCACCTGTTGCCTGTGTGAGGCATAAATAAGTTTTTGTGTGCAGAGGAAGAGGAGGAAGAAGATGAGGATGATAACATGTCCACTGTAATGAGGCTCAGGACTAAAATGCCGTGGAGAACCTGCTGGCGGTACCTCACTTCTGGAGGATTCTTCTTGCTCTTCCTGATGATTTTCTCTAAGCTTTTGAAGCATTCAGTCATTGTAGCTATAGACTATTGGCTGGCCACATGGACCTCGGAGTACAGTATAAACAATACCGGAAAAGCTGATCAGGTACATGGCTTCTGTTTTTAAATCATCAAGGAAATGTTGAGATTCACAGTGATACCCTTTTATCTAGTTAGATGCTAATAACCCAACTGTCATAGGACTTTTGTAGTATTAGTTAGAATAGGGCCTGAAATAGAATAAACTGTGAAAATGGAATCTATTATTGTCACTTTTATTCTTTAAAGCCTTTCATAAGAAATAGCTAAAGATAGTGTTTCGATTTGGATGCAAGGGAGTTGTATACACATGATATATGTGTGTGTGTGTGTGTGTGTGTGTGTATAACATTCACATGGGACTTTTGTTGTTGTTCTCATGGTTTTTTATTTTAGCTGCTTATTCCAGTGTATTAGCCAGTCATTCTTATTAGGGATAAGAAGAAGAAGCTCGGGCCTGGCTCCGTGGCCGAGTGGTTAAATTCATGCACTCTGCTGCAACGGCCCAGGGTTCGGATCCTGGGTGCGGACATGGCACTGCTTGTCAGGCCACGTTGAGGCGGCGTCCCACATCCCACAGCTAGAAGGACCTTCAACTAAGATATACAACTATGTTTGGGGGTGTTGAGGAGATAAAGCAGAAAAACAAAAAAAAAAAGGAAGATTGGCAACAGTTGTTAGCTCAGGTGCCAATCTTAAAAAAAAAAAAAAAGAAGAATGAGCTCTACAATGTGGAAAGCCAAGCATATTTCAAACCTGAAAACAAACTCTAACGCTTCATCTGCCTCAGGCAAACCTTGAAAGAGAGCGAAGGAAGCAAGCAAGGACTTGGCCGTAGGATTATGGTGGGTGGGGATCCTGCCCTGAGTCTCCAAGAACTACACTCCTTCAGCTGTCTAAATTGATGGAATGATGATCAATGATGCAATGCAATGAAGATAATGAAGTTGCAGTACTGTCTGACTTGGATATTTGGTGTTCTAGGAAGAAAAAACTCAGTTGCTAATTTTGTATGTATTTTTTGTTGGTTGCTTTTAGACCTACTACGTGGCTGGATTTAGCATACTTTGTGGAGCAGGTATTTTCCTCTGCCTGGTTACATCTCTCACTGTAGAATGGATGGGTCTCACAGCTGCCAAAAATCTTCATCACAATCTCCTCAATAAGATAATTCTTGGACCGATAAGGTAAAAAAGTAGTTATTTCTTACTCCCGTACACAAATCATAAAAACATGCATTTTAAAATTTAAGTGAAATATGGAATTTTAAAGATTTTAATCAATTCTTGAGCAATTGAGTAGAGACTTCATTTTCATGACTCCAGGATGTCCATTAGCAGTGCTCACATTCCAAATAGTCTAGCATTATCATACATTCCAATCTGTTCATTGCCTAGATTCTTCGATACCACACCCCTGGGACTGATTCTCAATCGCTTTTCAGCTGATACAAATATCATTGATCAGGTGAGTGCCTTGAGTTGCTTCCAAGTTCAAAAACAAATTTCTCAGTGTAAGCTAAATAGCATTTTAAAATAAACTGTGATTCCTGTTAATAATAGAAAATTTCTAAAACTTAAATGAAAGCCTATTTGTATTCATGTCAATATTATGTGCATAAATTATTTCTAGGATAAAATCTTCATGGAAAATTTTAATTCAAAATAATTTATGCACATAGAAGAGGCTACTTAGAGAATCAGCACAAAGTAAAGAGAAATAGCAAAGAATAACATTTAAATTTTTTTATTACAAAAAGGAATGATTTTGGTCAATGTTGTATCTCCATTCATGATAAAGTTCTTAAAAGTTTAGTGTTGATGCAGAGTGTCTCCCAGAAGTAAAGGATGAAATGCCAAGCCATCTTAGATGTCCTTTACTTTCACAGGATTGGCTCCTGACTGAGAGAAGCTTTAGATGGTGTGGTATTTTAGGGACTATTCCAAGGATGCCCAGTTTAGTCTTAGATCCTTAGGCCTCTAGAGTTTGTTCTGAAATGAAAGACCTCCAACTCTGAAACTGGATCACTCCAAGCACAGACCCCTCAAAAGGATCAAGAAAAGAATCCATCAAATGCAGCCGTTGCCTTTTCTGATTTTCCAGAGTGGCTTAGGAACACCTAAATTATTCTCACTTTAGAAAAAGAAGGCTTGCTGCATACAGCTGACTACAAGTATGCCGAAAAATTTTGATGTTTTCGCGGCATTGGTGTCAGGTCATACTGCACCTAAAACACCTCATAAAGAATATGTATTAGAAAAGAAGAGGCAAAACAGTCCTTATTGGGAAGATGATACGATTGCTACCTAGAGAGTCCAAAACAATTCGTTCAGCAGAGTATCTGCATAAGACATATAAGTCAGTAACTTTCTCTACATCAATTAAAAAATTAAGTGAAAAATAAGTTCCATTCATAAGAACAACAAGAACTATGAAAATATAAATAAATTTAGTATGAAGAAAAGAGATCCAATGATCCTGGAAATCATAAGAAACCTGTATATATAGAGAGAATTTCCCTATCAGATACCAAAAAAATACTATAAAATTAAAACATTCTGGTGATCACAGAAAACAAGCAGATCAAAAGAACAAAATGGAGAATTCAAAACCGCCAGCATATATAAAGATTTAGCCGGATAAATATGGTGCCTTGAATGAGTAAGAAAAGGATTATCTTTTTAATAAAGGATGTGGAGAAATTAACTATCTATAAAATATAAAGCAAATACATATAGAATAAAGATGGCCATATAAAAACACAAAACTATAAAATAAAATGCAGAAGAGTAGTTATAGAATTTGAGGTGGGAAAGGTCTAAGACACAAAACTGAGAAACAATAAGGGAAAAGGCCAACAGAAATGACTGTATAAAATTTCAAACTTCTATTGAGCTAAAAGCATCAAAGTCAAATTTAAAATATAATAAGATTAACTGGGAGAAAAACTGACAACATATGTAAAGAAAGAGGATAAACATCCATAATATACATATGAAAATCAATAAGGAAGATAAACCAACCAGAAACACACAAAGGATATGAGTAAGTAATTGCAGAAAATTAATTTAAATATCTTACCATAGAGGAATAGCTAAATATGTTTTTTAATACTATGCAGCCATTAAAAAGAAGTAGATTTGTATATAGTGACGTGAGAAGATTTGCCATCTATCCTGTTCAGTAAAATAAACACGTTGACAAATAAGATTTATAGTATAGTGCCATTTATATAAAAGCCCCAAGATAAATAGGTAGATAACTGCCAAATGATAAGTAGATAGGTAGACAGATGGATAAATATACTAAACTATGGGAAGTGAGTGAAGTTGAAAGAGTGGAGAATTGCTTACAGTGAAAATGTTTATATACTACTTATGTAACTAACTGTATAACTTGATGTAAATATAAAAGGAATATTTTGTTGCATTGTATCCAATGCTTTATTTGAGCTAAAACATTTTCCTTTCAAATTACCTTCCTAACAGCACATCCCTCCAACTTTGGAATCTCTAACTCGCTCAACACTGCTCTGCCTGTCTGCCATTGGCATGATTTCCTATGCTACCCCTGTGTTCCTGGTTGCTCTTGTGCCTCTTGGGGTCGCCTTTTATTTTATCCAGAAATACTTCCGAGTGGCCTCTAAGTAAGTAAAACAGTGTTCTCTTCATCTTCAAAAGCCTATATATGTGATTTACTGTGATCCACACTTACTGTAGTGTTTTTCAAGATAAGCTATGGAATTTGGAGATGCAACCTATGTTTAACAGGATGAAACATATCCTGATACTATGTTTCATTTGCAGATCTATTATAATTTTTTCTGTAATCGGTTGTCTAAGGCTGATATAGCCCCAGACGTATATTAACATGTGGACTGATCTACTGAGTTTTGAGTTTACAGACTATGCCAAATTTTTCATTCCATGATCCTTTTTCTGAACATGACATTGACATAAAACTTACAAAATCAAGCATAGTCCCAAAGGAAAAGTGATTTAATATCATTAGATTTCACAAGTGGGAAAAAATAGTAAAATATTTTCAAACGTGTAAAATACATTCTGTAAAAGAATTAGTAGATGTCAAAATGGTTAAAGAGATAAATTAGAGTCATGGCTATAAAAGTAGATAATATTGTCTATATGTCTGATATCAGTGCTGTGATTTTAACAGATTGGAAATTTTCAGATTGGATCATTTAACATGCACTTGAATATCCAGCCAAATAAATAAAAGAAAGCCATGAATTTTAAATTCTTCTGTTAATATAATATGTGTCATTTGCTGAGATGTTGAGGAGTTAAATAGAATGTAGTACCACTTGTTTTGAACTTTCCAGTTTAACTTTGAAGCCCTGCTATAAATAGTATCATAGCATAATTACTTTATTTCAACAAACACTTGTTAAGCATTTACTATGTTGCAAATAATTTTGTGAGCCATGTGGCATATGATGAGATCAACATGACAAGAACCTGTTCTCAAGAAACTTAGTCTCTTGGGAAGATAAAAGATATATAAAGTAACCCTTATATGTGGATTAAGTGCCGGAATAGGAAGGCAGATATTGAGTTTATTCAGTAAACTGAAAATATTTAATAGGACTTGAGTGCAGGGAAGATGAAAAATTGGCGAAGCTAACAAGGAAAGGCAAGATTATAGTTGGGAACCTCTGAATATATCATGTAACATTTCTTAATTTAAAAAATATAATGGTTTCTCCCTCAGGGCTATGAATTAGGGTCCTTCAAATATTAGAGATCTATATGAAATCTAGAGTATTTTTTCTCCCCAGCCTCATTCCTTTCTTGTAGCAAATTCAGAGCAAAAGGGAGAGGCTAGCCATCAAATTCACTCTTTCATATCTCCTGGTATCATTGCTGATGCTACTTGCTGAGGGGCGGAAAAGTTCAGTTACTTCTTTTCTCCTGGTTGTTTTCAAATCTATCCTTACCTTCTCACCACTAAGATCAAACCATTGTGTCTTACTTCAATCACATACTCGCTTGGGCCTATTTTTGCCTCTTAGCAATACAGATTGAGGGCCAAGGCTGGGCAAGTATTCCTAGTCCATTATAAATTCGAATGGTGAATTTTGTTCATTCTAAGAGAGAACAATCTGTTAGCATTGATAATGAGTAACCAAAATATGGAGGAGATGATCATTTTTAAAGAATTAACATTGATAATGGATTATAAACCGTTCTTATTTGAAATTCTCTGAAAGTTATCAAATATGACCATATGATACTGAATCTCACAGACGAAAAGACCCTTCTAGATGCTGAGACTCTGCAGGACTCACCCATGTTGAAAAACTCAGGCAACTTAACAAACTATTTTGTAAACACCAGAGGGAGTTAAAGTGGGGGACTAGCAACAGGAAATACCATGACATTTTGAGTATGGAAAATCAAAGATCTCATGTGTGGTTAGCTCTGTAAGTTAAGCGTTTCCTACTTAGAAAAATACAAGATCCAGCTGTACCCTCACCTTGGTGGTTTCATAAAATACAGTCCTGTAAACAAAGGTTCCTCCTTCCTAATTTTTTTCCTTTCACTACGGACCTCAATGTAGTGACCACCTGTCGCTTGTGTCAGATTTACAAATAGCCACTTAGGTTTAAAATAGCAGACTTCGCATTCCTTCATATTCACTCTCTTCCTCCCCTTTTCCTTTTCTTCCCCTCATCTGCAGTGGCTAAAGTGAGCAAATCCATTTTAGTAACTCAAAAAAGACTTTGCATTTGTTTGTGGAACCACATAGGCAGCCACGAACGGACTGAGTTCATTGTTGAAGATGATGTAACAGTCTAATCAATTCTGTTGACTCTGGCAGGTGAATGTCAATGCTACTACTCTACTGCCCTGGACCACAAAGACCTAGAGAAGGGCAGAAGACAAGACTGAAAAGAAAAAAAAGGAATGTTTTGAAACACAATATAACTCTTAGCCTATCTTCTAGAAATGTTAGCTTATGGTTTAAAGAAAAGTTGTCATGAGTGTGCATCTTTAGGAAAACATCAGATTCAGGCAATTACATTCACTGCATTTATTGAACAGCCTATATATATATCTCCTTGGAGGACCTCTGAATAGAAGTTCCATGAAGGCAGGGATTCAATCTCATTGTGGCCAAAGGCAAACTCACTGTCTTTCTCTTTAAATCTCTTTATTCAGTGTAAAAGGCACTGTCATTTTCCAAGTTGGCTAAGCAACAACCAAGTCATATTTGACTCCTATCTTATTCACCGTGCAACAACTAATTGACTGTAGCACTTTAGAAGGCTACTTCCAGGAGACCGTCTCACAATCCTTCCCCAATTTTAACTCTCGTTAGCATCACAGTCATTCAGAACTTAAAAACAATCTCTTATATAGACTACCGTAACTCACTCATTCTCTTTCATCCTTTACACTGTCTCCCAGGTTATGTTGCTCGTGCACAGCTCTGATCATTTTATTTCTAGTCTTCAGTGATTTTTTCCAGTCCACCCAGATTCTCTGCAGTCTAGTCCCACCCATCCTTTATACCGCCTTTTCCCGCTACACCATCTCCAAAGAATTCTGGGCACTAGGCAGATTGAATTTGCCAGCTTCTTTAGTCTTCTGTGTGTGCTCTTCTTGTCCCCTTACCTGGAATGCACTTCTTGTCTGTTTGGTTGAAGCCCTCTTCATGTTTAAGATTTGCCCTAAATTCCACCTGCTCAAAGAAAATAGTACCATCTCCTACATATGAATTAATTACTCATTCCTCTGAGTTCCCATGCAGTTTACCTCAGCTGTTAACAAAGCTGATATTTTTTGTACAACATATTATATTCAGCATGGACCCATATTCATTAGGTACCCATCTTTCTCTTCCTCTTTAGATTGTAAGCTGTTGAAGTTTTTGTTAATGGGATGCTAAAGGAAACTGGTTGCAATGACAAGTAATAACCTTAATTTAGAATGAACACAGAGATCTTTGAGTCTGAATGCATGTCAAGTTTACTTTTGCACTTCTTTCTGTCCTAGGGACCTCCAGGAACTTGACGATACCACCCAGCTCCCTCTGCTTTGCCACTTCTCAGAAACAGCTGAAGGGCTCACCACCATTCGGGCATTTAGGTGAGTAAACATGTTTTCATTTTGTTGATTAAGCAATTAAATCATCAACAAATATTTACTTACAAATCACTGATAATTGCTATCATTTTTTGGATGGCCACTGTGTGTGTGGCAGTATTCTAAACTAGAAGTAAGAAAAATGTGGCAATAAATGATCAGAGTTAGAGTTTAATCATCTGAAATTTTAACAAGAATAAAGAAAGACTGAAGCACCATGTTGGAAAAATACTAGCTCTGTGATTTACACAAGGCTCTTAAATTCCCTAGCCTCAGTTTCCTCATCTGTGAAATGGGGAAATCAGTTTTGTTTCTTAGGGTCCTTGGACTAATTGATATGATGCATGTTAAGCATTAACCACAGTGATTAGCAAATAAGCACTCAATAAATAAGTTAAAATAAATGTGTGAATAATAATAAAAGAAATATTATTATACCGAAATTATTTTAGGATTTAATCAGTTTTCTTCAATGTTGGTAAACAGGGTAATAACCTAAGCTTTTGATTAGGAGTGTTTACCTAACACTTAAAAAATTACCTGCCCTTGTTTTCCCTGATCACGTAAACTCAGAAAAGAAGGTGGCATCATTGAATATTTCATTTAATCTAGAAAATTGACATCTTAAATCATTATATCTTTCTGCAACCATAAATGCAAATATGTATTGATTTCAATCAGAGATTGAATATATTATATATGTAAAATTGAGGCAAAAAGTGGAATATAAAGATACAACCATCCGTAACTTGTATGACAGAATTTCTTCATAAATCTACATAGGTTTCATAAGGAAACATTCATACTTTCTGTAGTGGTGTGTTTTCCCATCAGAATGTGCAATGCCTTTTATTGCAGATGGCAAAACTATTTATTGACATTGAATGTGCATTTAAGGCAAAATTTATATTCTAATAGTAGTCATCAATGACCAGTTGTACTCATTGAGTGCACCGTATTAAAGATTACATTTTTCTTCAAGCAAGTCCTTTGAAATTAATTTCTTTGAGTATTGATCATATGCTAGGTACTACTCTTGCTGTGGATATATAAAGACTACAAAGCTATAGACTTTCATTTCCACCCCAGATGAATATCTCAAAGAAAACAGGTAGGATAATATGGCAGGTGGGGGGCAAGCAATGACTGTCAAAAGCTTGCGTTATTACTCTGTTTTACCAACATTGATTCAGGCAAGCTGGTAGATGGAACAGTAGGAAGTTGATGGGTCGAGCATAAAACAGCCTCTATTTTCTCCCTGAAGAACAAGCTGAGGTCATTTTCTAAGAGTGATGAGGACTAGAATCAGGTAAAACATCTTGAAGGAAATGAAGACAGTTTAGAATGAAAGAGAAGCTTGACCAAGAATCCAGCTTAAGATTTTTCATTTGCCTTCTTCCATAGACACACGAACAGAATTTAGCATGACTATCCCTAGTTTTACATCAGGAAAATTCTAGGTTGCTGTAAGAAGAACAAGATATTACGTGTTAACCTTCAAGGCTTGAATTATGATTGGAAGAAACAAAGGACAAACCAACTTTTATATAAAAGCATCTGCATCATCGTCACCCAGATTTAGCTCTTCCAGGGTTCATTTTCAACGTAAATATTAAATATCACAAATATCAGCATTGTTAAACCAAAGGAAGTTTGAAAATGTGGGGAGGATCCCGCTACCACAAATAAAATTCTAGAATCTTTACATTTGGTGCTTGTGGTCAGGAATCAAACATATTTTTTTCCATCCATTTCTTCCCTTTTTTCAGGCTACCCAGAGTCCCCAGAGTCTTCAGCTCTTCTGGAAAGTTACTATTTACTGATTAGGCTGCCTTTCCTCCCCTGCGCTCAGGGTTCGTGGTGTACTCACATGGAGCAGCGAACTCCCTCAAGTAGTTTACCATGAAAGTATCACAGTTAAATTAGACTGAGATTTCTGTGACCTTTCCTATTTTTTTTTTTTTTTTGTCTGACAGAATAAAGGTCTAAGAATGTTCAGAAGATGAGCTGGATGTGGATGAAAAGATACAGACTGAGTGTGTCAAAGTTTCCATTAGGAAAACAGAAAGTTTCTTGCCAAATAGAAACACACAGAAAGAATGTTCGCTGCATTTCCACCCCTCCCCTCTCACTGCTGCTTCAGACTCTTGCCAACTCCATTTACAAACTCTTTAAGAGTGTGTCTGAAACAATATCCCAAAACAAAAGAAAGAGTAGGAAGAGTCCCAGACAAAGCACTTTGTCAAAATGAAGTGTTTGATGTTCATCTCAAATGTAATCCACTGGCTTCGGGCCAGCTGGCCCCACCTCCCATCTCTCCATCACCACTGTCTTCTAGGGAGAGGACCCTGTCTGGAGCCCCTGAACATGTTGAGTTTTCTTGTTTCTGTGCCTTTGCTCATGTTTGTTCTCATTACATCCAATGCTTTGTCCTCTCTTGTTCACCTGAAAAATTCAGCTCATCCCTTAAAACCTCACACAGACCATCCTCCCAGTCCTCTGTGAATCTTTGCTTAATCCTTCTCTCCCCACCCTCCACGCTATTCCCTACCATCTTGATCCTGTGGCCAGTGGAGATCATCCCCTTTCTTTACGTTCATGTAGCATTTTGTGCATAATGCCATTATAACTAGCTTCTGTGTTGTGCCATCCTTGCCTGTTAGTGCCATATTTACCTCCTTCACTAAACAGTGGGCTTCTCAAGAGCAGAGGTCCTGTCTTGTTCATATATATTCTAATGTCTCACTTAGATTTGGTGCTTGCTAAATGTTTCTGAAGGAGTAGATGAAAAGCTACTTAACATTGCAAGTACAGAATGAATGGCCCTTACATGGATATATGTCTTTACAGTTCGTATCCACTGTCTTAGTAAATCCTATGACCCTGTAAACCATCCTACCTTTTAATCATTCACTCTAGTTATCTCTAAAAGGATCATCACGAGGGGAGTCACGCTCCTCGGACTGCTTAGTCCCGCCCCAGTGTGTTGCTGTTCAGTGCAGGTCCTCTTGTGCATGGCATTTGGGTCAAGGCTACATAACTCAAAGTGAAGTAATTATTTGGCTCTGATTGTAGAATCCTTTGATTATTGTAGATCAGATGTTGCTGTCTGATTCAATTATCTGATTTATGTGGTTTGGCATATTGGAATGATCAGATCGATTGGCCAGATATCAAGTATCTGCTTTATATTGGCCTGTATGGATGGCTCCAGGGGCCAAGGGAACACCCCACCCGAGACTTCTTCATTCTTTGATATAAGTGATGGTTTATAGTAAAGTTTTGCAAATTGATTTGAAGATTTTGGGGGACTTGTGGCAGTCTTTTATCAAACAGGAATCACCGCTGGGCTGTCAGATGAAATTTGGCTGTTGCTTCTAAACATAACGCGTAGACAGGAGGTCTATACAAGGCTAGCCATGGCCGCAGAGAACGAATAAACCACATTCCAATTTGGTGTTTCCTCCAGCCTTCAAACCAGTGATTTTAATTATATTATCCAGCTTTCCATTGTTACTGTTATTCAGAGAAAACAGTCGAAAAATGAAAAGAGGCAATTTTATGATTTAGGAAAGCTTTCTCACATTTAGCACGAGTGTCCATGAGAGCATGGCTCACAGGTTCAAATGGATAACGTTTTTATTAGAAGTTTAATTTGCAACACAGATTTTGGTCTGATTCTATTGTTCACCAAGAATGACCTTCCTCTGGTCAAGGATAAATATCTCAACTGTACATGTCACAGAACCCTGTTAGTACAGCAGCCCAGGAGTTACTTTTGTGCAAAGACCATCCTTACAAATAGTTTTGAACTTTGGAGCATAAGATACCCTATTTAACAAGCACATCTGCCATCTCGGAAGACTCCCATCTTCTGCTTCCTGTCACCGCAGTTTCCTTCTTTGGTTCCCAAAAACACCAGGCAGAAAGAGTAATTTAAAAGTATATATTTGTCTGCTACAAATGCGTAGTTTCCTGTCTCCCCTGGTTTTCATCCAGCACCTTGCACCCAACTCTAACTGTGCCATTTGGAAAAGTATAATAAATGCAATCAAAAGCAGGTAGAACCTATTGCATTTCTGTACAATTTATCCTGGTTTTTGTAAGGCCCTTGCAACATAGGTCATGCCTCGTTTTCATGGCCACAATAATTACATGGAAATTTATGAAATGATCTTTAATAGGACTTTGTCATCAGACAGATTCCTTTTTGCAGCAGGGGTCTGAGAAAGGAAAGAAACACGGGACCACACCATCTCTAAGTCAGGGTGCCGCAGAGCAGTAGCAGCTGGCCTTTATTTTGAAGTAGGAGTCCTTTTACTAGTCATTCATCCCAGCCGTTTGTCACTATGTTGAGTAAATAGTGTAGTAGTAAGTGTGGCTGTTTTTTATTATTTCTCCTGTTGTGTGGCTAACATCATAATATTTTTGTTTTCTGCAGGCATGAAACCAGATTTAAGCAACGTATGCTGGAACTGACAGACACAAACAACATTGCCTACTTATTTCTCTCAGCTGCCAACAGATGGCTAGAGGTCAGAACGGTACGTTCATCTCATGATTTCGAAATGGAAGCCCAACAGAAAGGAGGCCTGGTGCAAAGAGGGAGCCAGTTGTAAAAATTAGTCTTCCACTGAGATTCACATTTTCTGGACTTTAAAATAGCTCAGGTTTGTTTATCTTACAGATGAAATTTGTTGTAATGTTTTAGCTAATGGCAACACAAATAGCCCAAACAGCAAAAATTCATTTCATGTTCATTAGTCTCTAGATTACATAAGTTAATGGAATGGCAAATATTTGTATAACTTCGGGTTTTTTTCATAAGAGCAAATTTGACAAGTAAACAGATGCACTCATTTCCTTCACTGAGCTGGACAGGCCTGGAAGAGACGGTGACTTTTCATGTTTTAAGTCAATTTAGGATCACCTTAGCACAAAATGTTAAAAAAAACTGCGATTAAGCAACTATTGCTTTCTTCTTTCCCATATGAAGTAGGAGAACCAGCATTAGCTTTGTGATTGGCAGACTTGGTCCAGCAAGTTAATGAATTTATTTGAGTCCCAGTTCCCCATTTATAAAATAGCAGTAAAATTTTTTTCCTCATGGGAGTGTTAGGATTAAAAAGTAATAATATAAATCCTCTAGCTCACTGATTAGCAAATGCACTCAATTTATCTTTTGAATGGATGGATGAATGAATAAATGAATGGAAATAGTACCTGCCCTGGTAAGTGGTTATCAAGCCAGCCAGCTGGAGTAGGAAGTAGGAGACAGATGAGACGCAAGTTCCAGAGGGAAGAGACTATAGTTTGCAGACTGGCCTGCATAATCTGTAGTATGAATAAGCTCATATGGTGGTAATGATGAGTTGACTGTAACCTTTTTTTTTTAAATAATCATCCATTTGTGAAGAGGAAAAGGAGCTTTATCTGTACTATTCTTTTTCTGTGTGTGTGAGGAAGATTGGCCCAGAGCTAACATCTGTTGCCAATCTTCCTCTTTATTTTCGCTTGAGGAAGATTGTCATTGAGATAACATCTTTGCCAATCTTCCTCTACTTTATGTGGGATGCCGCCACAGTATGGCCTGACGAGTGGTGCCAGGTCCACGCCTGGGATCTGAACCCGTGAACCCTGGGCTGCTGAAGCAAAGCACATGAACCCAACACTACACCACCTGGGCTGACCCTATCTCTACCATTCTTAGACCTCACTTCCACTGATCAAGCATCTCTACTGTCTGCAGGCTTTCATTCAAAACTCAATAGATCGAAGAAGGCAGGTGGAAAAGGGAATTTGATAAGGTTAAAATGAAGGAGCCCAAGTTAAAATGTGAGTTGTTGATGGATGGATACAGATTGATATGGAATCGTGAGCTTTAGTTGTCGTGATTTCTCATGGTTTACAGAGATTCTCTAATACTGTATGAGTTACTGTGTAGAAATTATTCAGCAATATAACACAATTATATTTCACAGATTTCAGATAGAAGCATTGGTTGTTGATAAGAAATTCTTTCTAGGTAGCTGTGGGGGCAGGACAGAATGTCTCCTGAATTACCTACACAATAAAGGCAGGTGAAGTGTTGCTTAGGATTTATAACAAAACCAAAACATTATTCCTAGATCCTATCTGGACCCTAAATCTTTGTTTTAAGCTTCTGTTTGTTTGTTTAAATTTCTGTTTTCTCCAAGGAAAAAACAATCATCTGAATAATAGAATTAATGATAAAGTAGCTTAGTGAAAGAATGTGCCCAAACCACAAGGGAAAAATGTCAGTAGTAGCCTTTGTACTTGATTTTCCTAAACTTGGAGATCAAGTCTGTTTTCAGGGGGCAAGTGTGTTTGCTTTGGGCCTGAGGTGAGTGTCTTACTTGACTTCTGTTTCTGCTCTTTAGCACTTCCTACTGTCAGGTTAATGGACAAGTGTTTAACAGGCATCTTCAAGCAAACCATATGTTCCATTCTCGTAGCCAGAAGACAAGATATTAGACCCTTCAGACTGCCAAGAAAGGGAAGGTCAGGAAAAATTAGAGAGGAACAGCAGCCAGATTCGGAACGGGTCCGTTTACTTGACTCACAACCCACTGCTTTAACCCCCACGTGAAAAGGCAGCTGGACCTACCGGAATATAAAAGAATTCTAGTTCCACCTGTAGCAACCTAAAGAAAATACTAATATCTGCAACAGAAAGGGCAGAATCTGCCATTCTCTCTGTTACTTTATAATACATTTGTTATTATGTCTTTTCTTTGTTTTCTGTTATAATCCTTCTAAGATTTGCTGTCTAGTCTCATACCAGAACTCTCCCTTAAAAACCAGTGCAAAAAATTAAGGAATCTTTTGCTCTTATTTCTGATGGGTAAAGATACATTTTGATAAGAAACATTGATTTATTGCAAAGTTTCAGGCATAACTGCTGACAGAAGTCAACGTTCAAAGTCCTTTCTGTATGACTTGTCTCCTTTGTCTGTTGTATTTAGTGTCAATAAGTGTATATGGGTATGCACACACACACACTCTCTCTCTCTCTCCTCTAGACAATCCCTGAGATCCAACTTAAAACGAGATTCACTCTCTTTCTGTTCTTATGAGTACACTGAGAGTTTTCTTTAGAACCAGAATATTTAGAATATTAGAATACTAGAATATTTGTTTGAATATAGATGCTATAACCCAAGAGCATAGGCCACAGTGGGAGTGTTGAATAAATAAAAGAGGTCATTCCTATTAGGAAATAACCTTTCTCCCAATTGTACACATGTAAATGACCTCATTACTACTGTGCTTCTGTGGACGTGTCTGCATCACCGGAGACACAATTCCAGTTTGAAATAAATGGATCTTGTGTCAGAAATATGAATGTTGAGATACAGGACCTTGGAGACCAGGGTGTGAACTGCTCTCTGAACCCCACAGCTGGACATATTCTGCCTTGTAAGTCATTTTTAAAAAATAGGTAATGAAAACTTCTATTTGGCCCAGTGAAGCTGCATGGATCTTATCCACAGTATCAACACAACCCCCTCTGTTCCCTGTTCTTTGCCATTTTACTTACTAAGTTAACAAAAATGTCTGCTTACAGCAAATATTCTTGGAGTTCCTACAGCAGAAACACAACTAACCTGGTAGAAGGAGAGGTACAGCATTGGGCATACATCAGAAGAGGCAAGCAAGATTTTCTGACGCAGATCTGGGGATTTCACCAACTCGAATGCAGCGATTCAGCACCTTACTGGAGAGAAAGAGGAGAAAACTCACCATAGCTTTCTGAGGCTCTTTCCTTTCTCTTCATTCCCAATTCTAACTTTCCCAAGCAATGCCATTGAATTCTATAGATAGAAAATCTCAAGGAGAAGGAAGAGAGGGAAACCAGAGTAAAAACACCTTTTGTTGAATTTGGGAAGATCCTTGAGCCTCATCCAATTTTTGTTTATGATCTGATATTTTTTAAATACATAGCTCTCGCTTCTTTTCCTGGTCATGGTAAATCAGAGTTAAGACAATCCCAAGTTATTCTCTTTCTCTGGGCAAACAGTTTTCCCTATGGAAGATTTAGCTCCACTCCCCATATTCATTTCCTATTCATTTTGAATTGGGAGAAAATAAGGGTCACAACACACTCAAATCAAAAAGGATGAGAGTCTAAAAGAATAAAATAATTTGGTGGGTGGAAAAGTAGCCACACTCTGACCACCCGGGTTGCTCTGGCAGCTGAGGGAAGTGGTTTTCCTCTCAGTGCGGAGTGAAGTGGGCCACAATTGTATGCAGTGTGTCACTCCACTCTAACCTTTGAACGCTGCTTACGTTCTTTTGTTCAGCACAGCGTTTTCGCTTCATCCCTCTGCACTAAACAATTCCAGTTCTTTGGCATCAGTGTTTCCATTTGCGAAAATTGTGTAACTCTATCTAAAGGCTGTCTTTCCAAGGCTTTGTCTTGCTGTGTGGTGAAAGGATAAAAGAAAATTCACATCAGGAAGCCAAAAAAAGTTTTTTAGAATCAACAGGCTAAAGTGAAAATAGTCTTCAGGATGAACTTGCACGAGAGTCTGTTCTGTGAAACAGCAAAGAACTTTTCTGGGTGTTCCTAACTCCGGGATAGACAGGTGTGCACTGATCTTGTAATCTGGAGGCCGTAATATATTCTCTCAGACACTTGGTGGTCCCGTAGACTTGTACTTCCAAGGGCTGCGTGAAGGAAAGAGATTGTGTTGCTGTTAACTATTTACAAGTCTGTTTTAAAGAAAATTACAATTTCACTATAATCCCACATATAGATAGATGTCATTGAATTGCTAGAAATCTGACACGAGGCCTCTGTTTTGACATGAGAATCAAAGGTTTTCCTTCTGGAGAGGAGCATTGAATTTACAAACTCAATGAAACTTATAATTTATCACTCTACAGCTAAAATGGCCTGGGGTGGGCTCTCTTTGAGAGCGTGCAATTCACGTACATAGTAGCTCCATTGTCTACGTTGAATCTCTCATTCCATTGTATCCTGTTGACCACAGGTGTGTTTTCATTGAATTGATTGGTTAGAATGTGCAAGGCCTTAGCAATAGAATGAGTGCTGTTAGTGATCCCTAAGTATTTGCTGTGTGTGAGAGCTATTCAGACTATCTGCTTCTCTTTTCTTAATTTATTGCCTTTAAGCCATTTTGTTGTTCACATATTTGAGAGGAAAGGAAAGGTGTGACTGTAAAACCACTTTCTAGTTCATTAAACTTGTTACGTTTAATGGTAAAGGAAGTGGAAAATGGGAGCAAACGTCAGCTCCTACATTATCAATCAGTTTCACACTTCTGTACTCCTGTCCTATC